ATTAACCATGCAAGCGGGCTTATGCTCGCGACCTGCCTCCCGAGTGAGGAAGCCTCCGGGGTCGGTGGGGAACCGGCGTCCGGGTCACATAGGCTAGAGGAAGAGCGGCCTGTTTAGCGTTCCCGGCACGCTGCTCTTGAGTCGGAGGGGTGGTGTGGTGGAGCCACCGATACCCCTGCCGAAGGCGGAGTCCCCTTTCGGGACTCGTGCGTAGTGAGCGGAAGTATGGCTTGCCGTTCCCGCTCACTAGTCTACGCACAGCGCAGAGAACGCTGAGGTGGTTTAGCGGGTGGAAATCCCACATGCCCCTGTCGCGTTTCCCATTCGCATTCCCCTCGTAAAAAAATATATATATGTATATTAACCATGCAAGGATTTTAAAAATGGACTACCGTAGACAACTACATTTTTCTACTTTGTTATTTGGTATAGTAAAACAAGGTATCCCGAAGTATCTATATAACAAATTGCATTGTTCTAGTGACTGCAATAAAACCTATGATACGCGGGCCAGCGGTCATCCCCTGATTGTACCTCGACATCGGTCCACAGCCTTTGAAGGTAGCTTCCGGTATGCCGCCACCAGGTGTTGGAATAATTTACCGCCGCCGTTTCGAAATCTAAAAACGATTAACAGTTTTAGACGTCATTTTAAATGGTTTTTGTTAACGATTGTTTATTCATTATGGACTCCGGCCTATCTTTTTCCATTGACCCCGGCACATCTACGGACGCCGAATTTCGCTCTAACGATGACCCTGGTTTTTGTATTATGGACTCCGAACCTAGCATAAACGATGACCAACACTCACGTAATATGGACACCGAAACTAGCTCCATCGCTAACCACGGCTTGAATATGGACACTGAACAAAACCAAAGCGTGTCTCATGATAGTCTGCACACAGAAGAAGTGACTTCTTACCAATCCGTATCTCTGAGATGCATAAACTGTGGAACTGATTTGATAGAGCGACGGCGACATAGTCTAGATCTTAGTCAGGTTCAGTCTATTATAAGACAGTGGATAGCTCCTCGACGAGTGTCAACTCAATTAATTATTAAAATCACTCGTTTTTTAATAGATATATATTGTATATGCTATTCCTATAATGTAATATGAGGTTTAATTGTTTTATATAATAATAATCTAAGGATCTAATATATAAGTATACTGTTGTATTATTATAAATGAAAAGATGTTTACTCCTAACACATTAGCTGACTTTGTTATCGAAAATTATTTAAATAGAAGGCAGGCAGATTTTCAACCTATAAATGTAAACATGGACAGTTTCATATTTCTAAGAATATAATATAATGATCTTATATTAATTGCATGTGGAACATACCAACTAAAACAAGCTTGTTCGTATTATGGGGAGCACATAAGAAGTGATGGTTCCTATACTATAGAAGTATGTAGAAATATAGCCAGCGACCTAATGTTTGACTACCCCATTCCTTTGTCCAACTGCAGATTATTGCGTGGAAAAATACAAAGCAGGCATGTAAGTCGAAATATATATTTTATATATACATATATGTATATTATATGAAAATAATCACAATGGTAAGGAAGCTATAAAAGAATATTGTTGGCCGAAGGACAGTGGGTTGCTGCGCTCATATAATGACTATTTTATGGTTTTTAAGTTGGGCAAGGTATCAGGAACATATTTCACCACCTGTCCAATTTCTTGAACACATATTAATAACATATGATGTCTGAGAATAAAAATAAATCATAAAAAATGTTGTTTAATTTCGCTTTAACCTGTTTTTTCCCACATGACAAAAATCTCTTTTTAAACATTTTGATACAAAATTAAGTTCATATTCTCGTTATTACTAGTTAGTACTTTTAAACTAATTACAAAAAATATGATAAAATATCTGTTCACGTCAGGCCAAAGTCCCCATACTAAGTGGACAATCTCCTTTTATACATATTACATTAAATCGAAGCAAATAAAACTCGCGACAAGTTTTATTAATAATATGTAATATATGTGTGCTCGCTAGCTTATACGCTTACGCTAAACGTATTTATACATAGTTAATAGTTTTGTGTTATTTCTTCGTACTGTGCTTTCTATAAACTTTTGTATCTTCACTTCCATCTTCCGTATGCTTACTCTTTCTCCTTCTGTGTGTGGACTTATATGTGATAATAAAGACTATAGAAGTAGAAAGATGTCTATCGACGTTTAAATCTTAATAGTTTTACTCGCACTCCCGATAGACTTATCACCTTTCTCCTATAACTGGTGACCCCGTGGAACATTATACATAATGTGTAGCGACGATGAGACCGCGGAATCGGGACAATCGGTGAGAAGTGCACGTGTCCGCCATCGCGTTAAAAAGTGCGAACGTGTATCAACGGATCGGGATCCATCCGCGGAGTTATGCCGCGTTGGCGTCCGCGTGCCGCCATTTTGGGTCGAAAAACCAGAGATTTGGTTCGCCCAAATTGAAGCGCAATTTAATTTAGCGCGCATAACAGACGACAATACAAAATTTTAGTATGTTTTGGCGCATTTGGACGGACAATATTCAGCTACAGTCGAAGACATTATTGAAAATCCGCCAGCTTCCGGGAAGATCGAGAAGCTAAAGCCCGGGCTGATTAAACGACTTTCAATATCAAGGCAGAAAAAAGTCAATAATAATGTTACAATAAGGTAGTTTAAAATCAGAGTTAAGCAACAATTTCTTTCCACTTAAGTATATATATATTTTTTTGAAATTATGTATTTTTGTATGTATGTAAATTGAATGTATATATGTATATTTAGATAATGATATATATTAATATATTTATTTGTATTTAGTGTGTTATGTATTCATTTAAACAAAGTCTACTTCAATTTTATAATAATAAACTACTTGATATTGTACCTACATCATAAATATGTATTACAAATAATCTCCACTAGAATCAGGGTTTCTGGAAGAGATCTCTTGATAGGGATAAGTTATCCCTTTGTACACTTCTGTCATTAAATAATTTACTGTATATTTTGTAGGTACAAATAAATAAATAAATAAAAGTTAGTGACGTTAAAATACTTTACAAGCTCCTCCATGGTCAAACATTATGTTCTGATATTCTCCAGCAGATCCCAATAAATGTCCAAGATCGATTCCTAGATACCCTATTACGTATATTTTTAATCGGAAAAGTTCCAGGACCAACATAAGGTATTATACTCCTTTGAACAGACTCATGTCAACATATAACGAATTTTCGTCTAAGGGTGATATCGACACTTTTCACCCTCAAGGTTGTGCCGAATTTGTAAGGAAGTGTTTAGATGTTATTTACGACGAAGAATGATTGTATTAATAGTTAATAATTATTTGTAGCACTTTATTTCTCTATCTTACCTAGATGAAGTAGATTAATATATGTAGTTATTAATTTATTTCTTAATTTTCAACTTTATTTAAACCAAGCTTATATTTTGTTTTATTTTATTTTAGTTTTATACTGTTTAGTCTATATTTTAATAGCATCTTGTAATCACACACAAACAAATGCCAACAATTTTGTATACACCTGTAAAGGCAAATCATACTGGATTGTACATTTAGTGCATTATAATATTGTGTTTGTTACTATGATAAGTCGATGGTGTATGTTAATAAATAAATAAAAATAAAACATGGTATACTTCAGAAACTACATATATTGCAGGTTTTACTTTTTCTCACTTAATTACTTATCTATTTTTCTGGAGCATTGATAATATTCTAAAGTAGCTAATATGTTCTTTTTTCCAAATCAGAATTCGGCATTGCAGTCAAACTTTTTTACAGGTAGCAGATGTAAACCAAGACAGAGTCTTATACATAAATATCGTTAAGGACTGCAGCTAGGAAACATTCAGTTGGATCAGGTCAAGGTTTTGTGAGATGCAACTGCAACAAAAACTGTTCCACATGCCAAACATGCCAAAACAGCACACCATTTAAAAATAAATAACAATTTAAATGATTGACTTAACAATCAGTATTGATTTAAAAAACAGTATTATTTGTTATAGTAGTATCATTAGGGGATCGATTTGGCATCAAATAAAAATCTTTATATTTTTATTTCCTTTCTAACATCTATATTTTATACACAAAGGTAGGAAACACATTTCGGGCCATTGACCCGCGATGGTAGACTAGGAACCTATTAAAGTATGATTAGTGTTATAAAAGTATTTAGGTATATGATTGCTCATGAGCATTGCTCCATTACCTGATATACAATTGTATTGAGAACCTGAGTGAGGTTTTGATAATTTCTTTTCTTCACATAAATTATTTTGCATTCTGAAAGACAAGGGCTATTTTGACACTGGTACTAATCGAGAAAATAGAACAATGAATAAATAAGAAAAGTCTTCAGAAAAAAAAGGAGAGGGTCATTTGATTACAGCTTTGACCAAAAACATGAAGTACAGTTGGTTTGATAGTAAAGATGAGATGCAGAGCGTCACAGGCTTTATAGATGAGTTAGAAGAAGAACAGATGATAGATGAACAATTGCTTGGCTTTAGAGGGCGGTGTCCATTTAGGATGTACATATATTCCGAACAAGCCAAGTAAGTATGGCATAAAAATCCTCATGATGTGTGACAGCCGTACTAAGTATATGATAAATGGAATGCCTTATTTGGGAAGAGGAACCCAAAGCAATGGAGTGCCTCTCGGGGAATTTTACGTAAAGAAATTATCAAAGCCTGTACATGGTAGTTGTCGTAATATAACGTGTGACAATTGGTTCACCTCAATCCCTTTGCCAAAAAGCTTACTGCAAGAACCTAATAATTAACCATAGTGGGAATCGTATGATCGAATAAACGCGAGATACCGGAAGAACTAAAAAACAGTCGCTCCAGGCCAGTAGGGACATCAATGTTAACCTTTGTTTAGATTCAATTGAGCCATACATATCCCAGCAAACCGCACAGACAACAATAGATTCAACTCAGAATATTAATATGAATACTCAACCTTCAAATAACTATCCAAATGACGTTCAACGATCTCCTGATGCTCACAATCATGTTGATGCAACTGCAGTAGCCCAAGTTCACAGTGTTAAGCATCTTGATGTTCCGGCTTCCGATACAGGTCCTGCTACTTCACAAAGCGAAGATACAAGCACGCATGCAGTTTCTCTATCCGATATCGTTGAATGGCCTATTATTCCTCGAAAAATATCTAAACGCAACATCAGGAAGAGAAAATCAACTATTCTTACGAGCACACCTATAAAAGGCCAGTTAGAAGAAAAGGAAAACAGAAAAAGAGCTAAAGCAAAAGAAATCAAGAAAAGAACAGAAAAAGTGCCAAGAGAAGGATCTCAGATGAAAAAAGTGAAACGTAGTGATTAGACCCCTTTAAATGAAGAGGTCAAACGAGTATTGAAGAATTTTAAGAATATAAGAGACTTTAATGAAACTATTCAAAATACCAAAGAAATAGGAGAAGAGGAGAACGAAGACTACTTTTGTATCTTTTGTAGTGAGAAATATATACACCCCCCTGTTGAAGACTGGATAATGTGTTACATGTGTGAGAAATGGGCTCACGAGAAATGACTGACGGACAGTCAACGTCGGCGAGTGACAAATGTCTTTAGTAATGTTAGTACGTGATTACCCCACTTTGTGTTCGGCTTTACCCTACATCAGTTGGGTAAAACCGAACACTAAGGGTTTTGTTTTTTTGGTCATTTTGTTTTATTTTATAAAAAATAATAATAATGTTGATTAGTAATACGCTAATTAGATCAGGAAAGTTTATAATTCAATAATTAAAGAAACTCTGTAACTTGATTCCACTGTTTTATTTATGTTTTCCCTTAGGTGTTCGCGTTTCCCCCACTCTCCCCTAAAGTTCCAGCCAGAAAAACAATTACCCACATGATTGATGATAAATATTTATAACATTCTTTCGGCACAACTGAAATTAAAAATACAAGATGTAGAAGCACTATCTTTGACTGCAGATGTTTGGACCGACACGCATAATAGTCAAAGCTACTTAGGCTTAACTGGTCATTGTAAATATGAATATAAATTAATGAGCATAATTTTCGGTGTCACTGCTCTAACAGAACCACACAATGCTGACTACTTAGCACAAGTAATTATTCATATGAGAGAAAAATGGGACATCACAAGTGAAAAAGTGGTAGCGTTTACCACGGCCAATGGCGCTAATATCGTTAAAGCAGTCACAAATGTCTATGGCAAAAATAAACACATGCCATTTTTTGCTCATACACTAAACCTAGTAGCATCAAAACCATTTGACAATAAGAATGGCCTTGACGAAACCAAGAGTTTATTAACAGCTGTTAACAGTTAAAGATTCTTCTTCCTCCTGGCAATTTCCCAGCTATAGCCAGGGTCTGCCTTACATGTTGTGAATAGTTTTTGGCTATTTGTTTTTACGACCGTCCGCCTGCCTGACATCAACCCACTTTTGGGGATCAACATTAATCAGTGATGTCTAAATACTCTTAGAAAGTACATATGATTCGGAAAAATCACATTGGTACTTACATATGTACAAATATCTTTAACAGCTGTTAAAGATATTTCTACATACTTTAAGCAAAATACAAATATTGCTGACTCTTTAAAGAAAGCTCAGAATCACCAAACAAAATCTTTGGGGCTTATTCAATCTGTGTGTATGGAAATCTACATATTATTTATCAATTAGAACGATTTGTTGAGTTATCCGAAATAATTGCGCCAATATTACTCAAGTATCCTAAAGCTCCAACAATGCTTACTGCACAGCTGTTAGAATTCATAAAAGATTTTATAAATATATTGAGACCATTAGAAGTAATAACTGTTAAATAATTGTAACAAAAATTCACATATTATGTCCAGCAGCGCTATCTATGGTCATTCCTAAGTAAATGAATGTATAATCTGTTGAAGGAACGAATGAGTAATTGAAATAAAACAGTTCAGTTGATTCAAAACCAGCAAAGCATTTTATTAGGTTATGGGCCCAGCGTTCGCAAAAAAATAAGTTTTAATTGATCTATCCGTGCAGTTAGTATTAAAAATGTCGACGAACTATTTAGCAAATATACCGAAGTTGAAAGGTCGTGAAAATTATGACGACTGGTGCTTCGCGGCGGAAAATGTGCTAGTACTCGAAGGCATGGCGGACGCTATCAAGGCGCCATTAGCAGAAACGGCTACATCGATTCAGAAAGCAGACGATATGAAGGCAAAAGCAAAACTAGTGCTAACAATCGACGCATCTTTATATGTCCATATAAAGCAATGTGCAACGACATATGAATTATGGAGAACCTTGAAGAATATGTTCGACGATTCTGGATATTCACGTAGAATCAGTTTGCTTAGAAACCTCATCAGTATACGCCTAGAAGACTGCGATTCAATGACCAGCTATGTCAGCCAGCTTATGGAAACCGCACAGAAATTGCAAGGAACTGGTTTCGAAATAAATGACCAGTGGATAGCATCGTTAATGTTAGCCGGATTGCCTGAGAAATTTGAACCTATGATAATGGCAATAGAACATTCAGGTATCAACATGAGCGCGGACGCTATTAAAACAAAACTGTTGGATATGAGTATTGAAGTGAAATCGGAAGGTGCATTTATTGCCAAAAGGCATTTTCAAAGTCATAAAAATGGCGGCGGCGGCACTTACGGCGGCAATAGAATGAACGGAAACAGAACAAATCCGTCAACTGTCAATGTCAGTGATGGCGGCAATAATAGTGCATCGGCGAGAAATAAAATAATTCGTTGTTACAAGTGCAAGCAGATTGGACATTTTAAAAATCGATGTCCTCACACAGAAAAAGTAAAAACGAATGCATTTAGTGTATTTCTCACAAAAGGATTTAGTCAAACCGACTGGCACTTGGATTCCGGCGCAAGTACTCATTTGGTTTCCAACAAGAATTTGCTGTCAAATATTTGTTTTCAACCAAAGATTAAGGAGATTATCGTGGCGAATAAAACGATAGTGCCTGTTGAATGTTCAGGGGATTTGGAGATTACGACGTGTGTCGGTAATCAGAACCACAACATAATCGTGAACAATGTTTTGTATGTACCTAACCTGACGACTAATTTACTATCAGTGAGTAGAATAATTGCCAACGGGAATAGAGTTGAATTTCACCAAAATGGATGTTCAATATACAACTTACAGAATGAATGTATTGGTGTAGCTACATTGGAAAATGGTGTATACAAATTACATGTGAAAACTGAGGTGACATTTGCAGAATCAGTGAATGTATCAAGCTCAACATGGCACAGGCAACTTGCACATTTAAATGCCACTGATATGCAGAAATTGAAGAATGGAGCAGTTGAAGGTGTTAGCTACAGTGACAAGTGTGACATCAGCAAGAATAGTTGCACAGTTTGCTGTGAAGGGAAACAAACAAGACTTCCATTTCCTCACAGTGCAACCAAGAGTAGAGGAGTCCTGGATTTGGTCCATACAGACTTATGTGGACCAATGGAGATCGTGTCACTAGGTAAAGCTAGATACTTCTTATTATTTGTCGATGACTATAGCAGGATGTGCACTGTCTATTTTCTACGAGAGAAGAATGAAACCTTCAAATATTTCAAACAATATAAACAGTTTGTGGAGACTCAACAGTCAAAACGGATTAAAATCCTAAGGTCTGATAATGGAGGTGAATTCTGTTCAAAGGAAATGGAGAACTACTTAAGACAGTGTGGCATAGTACATGAGAAAACAAATAGTTACACCCCGGAGCAGAATGGATTGTGTGAACGATATAACAGATCCATAGTTGAAAAAGCTCGCTGTCTCCTATTTGATGCTCAATTTCAGAAGAACCTGTGGGCAGAGGCCGTACATACGACAGTGTACATACTAAATCGTGTACCAGCGGCAGGTATCGGTCACAAGACAACTCCTTATGAAATATGGACGGGCAGAAAGCCAAAGTTGGATCATCTGCGTGTATTTGGCAGCCCAGTCATGGTACATGTCCCTAAAGAAAAACGCAAGAAATGGGACAAGAAAGCGAAGAAGATGTTCCTAGTTGGGTATTCTGAGAGTATCAAGGGCTATCGTTTATATGATCCAGAAGCACGAGATGTTATTACAGCCAGAGATGTCGTGGTCATGGAGAACACAGATGACAGCTCCGCGACAACCATCACTATTGATGAGAGCAGACCACCCAAAGAAGCAGAAGAGGAACACGACTCTGTTAGTGAGGAACAGGATACCAGTGACAACCCGATGGATGAGACATTCATACCGAATGAATCTTCTAATGACACTGATGATAGTTACTGTGATACTTTATCACCAGATGACCTGGATGTCCTCCCCACGCAATGTGACACTAATTTGCCTGAAAAACGTGTGAGACGCAAACCAGACTATTATAATGTTGCAAGCATGTGTGTGGAAGTAGCGGGTGCCAATTATTTATTGGCATTTTAAATATTGGCTATGTACTTAGGGTTAACTATTTAATTATATTAGCTTTAAGATTTTGTAATCATTAATAATGTATCCAACAGTTAAGTGTAATTATACAATTTTAGCAAATCATTATATTATACCATGTTAGTTTTTAAATGTAAATTTATATAATTTTAAGCAATATTGTAAATTGGAATGTACTTATATGTCTGTTGGAACAAAATAAATAAAACTGATTGTGTCTACTCCCCCTTAGCTATAAGAAATAGAAAAAATAGATAAATAGATAGATAGAAAGATACACACTGGTCAGAGGTATGAAAGGGATGGATGAAAGAAAGATTTAGTATGAAGTATGAAAGGCCATCGTGAGTGCGAGAACTTGTATGTAAGGATTTAAACAAACAATTGTAAACAAGGTCTCTGACCACGTCAGAGGGAGCTAGAATTAAAAAAAAAAAAAAAAAAAAAAAAAAAAAAAAATAGCGGGTGAAGAGCTTACTATTAGTGATGTGTTAAATAGTTCAGAAAAAGAACAATGGCAGTGTGCAATAAGGGAAGAGTTAAAATCTTTTAGTGATAATGACACTTGGGAGCTTGTGGATAGGCCAAAAGACAAAACTGTGGTCAAAACTAAGTGGGTGTTTAAAAAGAAACTTAACAGTGATGGTGAAGTGCGCTACAGGGCCAGGCTTGTGGCCAAAGGTTTTACCCAGAAAAAGGGTATTGACTTTGATGAAACTTTTTCACCAGTTTTAAGATATTCTACATTTAGATTGTTATTAGCTTTAAGTGTTCAATTAGATTTATGTATGAACCATCTTGATGTTCCAACAGCCTTTCTAAATGGAGTTTTAAAAGAAACTGTGTACATGGAAGTACCAGAATGTTCAGAATTTAATAATTGTAATAACAAAGTTCTAAGGCTCAAAAGAGCAATTTATGGTCTAAAACAATCAGCACGTGCTTGGTATGTTAGAATTGAGGATTGTTTGTTAAAGTTAGGCTATAGAAAATCTGATTATGAACCTTGTCTTTTTATAAAAAGTTATAAAAGTGTTAAAGTATATATTGCTCTGTTTGTGGATGATTTTTTTGTTTTCTTTAATTGTCAGAATGAATATACACTATTACTAAATGAGTTAGTTGAAAAATTTAGGATCAAAGATTTAGGTCAGTTGAAACAGTGTCTCGGTATGAATATAAATGTGTACAAAGACAGTATTACTGTAGACCAGAAGCAGTATATAGATATTATTCTTAAGAGATTTAATATGTCAGATTGCTCATCTTGTGATACTCCTATGGAAATTAATTTGAAGCTGGAAAAGAATATGAATAATAGTTTGAATAAAAATTATCCATACCAACAATTAATAGGTAGTTTAATGTATTTGTCAGTACTTACCAGACCAGACATTGCATTTAGTGTAAGCTTCTTAAGTCAATACAATAATTGTTTCAATGAAACACATTGGAAGCATTTAAAACGTTTATTAGAGTATTTGAAAGGTACTAGAGATTATGGTCTTGTATATAAGAAAACCAATTGTAATATGCATGGCTTTGTAGATGCAGATTGGGCTTCTTGTTCACTTGATAGAAGGTCATATACTGGATTTTGCTTTCTAATGTCAAATTCTGTAGTGTCCTATGAATCTAAGAAGCAGAAAACTGTAGCACTATCTAGTACAGAAGCAGAATACATGGCCTTATCTGAATCTTGTAAGGAAGGCATTTATTTAATGAACTTACTAAAAGAGCTTATACAATATATAGATATGCCACTGCATTTGTATAGTGATAACCAAAGCTCGATTAAATTAGCTTCTAATTCATTGTTTCACAACAAGCGCACTAAACATATAGATATTAGACACCACTATGTAAGAGAATGTGTTTTAGAAAATAAAGTTAAAATTGAATATGTGTCAACAAATAATATGCCAGCTGATATATTGACCAAAAGTGTATGTAAAGATAAACATTACAAGTTTTTAAGTTTAATGGGTATTTCTAAAGTGTAGTTACATATAAAGTGTAGTATATTTGATTACAACTACTGTATACTTTTGTTTTTTGAAATTTAGTTTATTTTATTAGGTCAGGGTGTTAAATAATTGTAACAAAAATTCACATATTATGTCCAGCAGCGCTATCTATGGTCATTCCTAAGTAAATGAATGTATAATCTGTTGAAGGAACGAATGAGTAATTGAAATAAAACAGTTCAGTTGATTCAAAACCAGCAAAGCATTTTATTAATAACTAAGGAAACATCTGGAGAAAACTACGTTACAGCCAGTAAAATTATATCAATCGCATCTTGTCTGACTGAAACATATAATACATTGGAAAATTCAACCGATATTGGTGCTAAAACTCGAACTTTAATAGTGGACAGCCTTAAAAAAAGATTTGGAAATGTCGAACAAGTTCATTTGTTAGCTGCTGCGACCATTTTAGAACCTAGATTTTAAAACATTCATTTTACTGACCATGTCGCCTATTCTCGAGCAATAAATACAATGAATACTTCAATTTTAGTTATTACGCGGCAAAAACTTCCACAAAATAATAGCGAAGAAGTCGACGCCATTGAAGAGACTGGTAATGATATGAAAAAAAGGAATCTGGGATTGTCATAAGTTGCTTGTGAAAAAGCAACTCTCTTTTTATACTGCACATGCACAGGAAAGTGAAGGCTTAAATGAAAAATTTTAACACTATTTATCGCAGGCATTTGTGCACCTAAATTATGATCCTATTCTCTACTGGCAAGAACAAAAAACTATTTATCACCAAGTTCACTCAATAGCCGTGAAGAATATGAGTATCGTAGGATCATCTGTTCCTTGTGAGCGCCTTTTCTCAATTACCGCAAATATCGCAACAGAGGAACGAAACCGCTTGGATCCCTGTAGACTTGAAAGCAATTTCTTATGTTAAACTTCGAGAAATGGCCTTGCGCTATTTTATGATTTTTTCAGCAACTTATTTATGTGAACAAGGATTTTCTGCTTTATTGGTAATTAAAAACAAAGCGAGGAATCGTTTGAAAGTAAGTGATGATTTGCATGTAGCTTTATCGTGCTTTATCGATAGCCGAACTCGTGAAGAAAAAGCAAGCTCAGATATCACATTAATACAAAATTGCAGAAGTTTAACCTAAAATATTATTATTTCTTTTTTTGTAATATCCTATTAAAGTTTTAGTTTGATTATTACAGTTTATTTTTATTCACTCTTGAGAGTTGTGCCTACGTATTATCTTTTATTAATGTAAGCAAAAATCACTGTCCGTAATGTCACCTAGAAACAAGTTGATATTCGATATGCTACATTGTCAATTTAATACATTATACTATGTTCTGGCGCGGAGTCGCCATTCTACCATCGAACTGAGATGTCGTCATAACAATTAAATATTGTAAATTATATAACAATACAAATATCATAATACAATTCACAAGATATAAAAGGCAAAAACCTTTCCCGAAATGGTTGCAAAAAATGGTTAAAAATGGTTAAAAATGTTGAGGGTCATAAGCAAAGTCCAGCGCTTCTTATACAGGACAATCATTGCAGTCAACAGTCGCTTGACACATGAATTCTGTCGCGAAAATGGAATCCATCTGTCGCGAAAATGGAATCCATCATATCCATATGTAATGGTTTTGGTTTTCACACACTTCTAATTAAGTTCCTTTGTGTTTGTAGGTATATAATATTATTTTAATTATTTTTCTTTTCAGATGAGCTGGGAACAGGAACAAGCGAGATTGGCAGCTTTGTTAGAAGAAATAATATCGGATAACGAAGATAATGTTGCAGTGGAAAGTGATGCCAGATTGGATGAAGATTTTATTCAAGAATCGGATCATAATTCTTTATCAGAACAGGATATTTTATCGGAGTTTTAAGTAGAAGAGGCGAAACTGAGGATCGACAACGAGATTATTACATAGGAAAAGACAAAGTAACTGAATGGCAAGAAGTCAAGTGTCGTACTGCAATTAGAACCCGCGCTCACAATATAATTACTAAAGCTCCATTTGCAACTCTTTGTTACTGACGACATGATGCAGAAATAACTAGTTGCACAAATATTTACATCAAAAAAAATAAGCCATAAATATGCACGTCAGAGGGATTGCAACAAAACCGATGAAATTGAAGTGAAAGCTCTCATTGGCTTGCTAATTTTTTCTGGTTTGTGTAAATCCAGCCACAGAAAGCTGAAAGATTTATGGTATGAGTCTAGACTAGGTATTGCAATTTTCCACAAAACAATGAGTTATAACCGATTTTCTTTCCTACTGAGATGTCTACCTTTCGATGATATAAACACTCGTGAGTCGAGAAAATCTACTGACAGATTTGCTCCAATTAGAAACATTTTTATACAGTTCAACAATCATTGCGGTGACAACTATAGTATGAATGATAATTTTACTATAGATGAACAGTTGCTGAAATTTTAAAGACGTTGTATTTTTCGACAATATATTCCAAGTAAGCCAGAGCGGTATGGTTTAAAAAACTTTGCTTTATGCGATGCAAAGAATTTTTATACGTACCAAAGTGAACCATATCTCGGTCAACAACCAGACGGACCTTACAAAGTCAGCTGTAAACCTAACTTGTAATAAGACTTACTTAATAAGCCTTACTTGTAATAAGACTTACTTAATAAGCCTTACTTGTAACCCTCAAGAACATCATCAGCATACAGTTCTGACAAGTTGGAAAAATGCAAAACTTGCTCAACGTGTGATTCAAAAAAGAAACGTAAAACATTCCATTTGTGTTTTCAGTGCAAAAATCCGATTTGCGTTGAGTGTTCTCAAAAAATGTGTGTAAGCTGTCGCGAGAAATTGTAAATGTTTCGATGCTGTAATTTTGTAATTATTGTGATTTGATTGTGCCAATGATAGTTTTATATAAGAAGTTACATATTTAAGTTAGTAAAATAATTAAAAACTAAGTAAATTTGATTGACTGTTATTGCTTAGATCTCAGCTCAATTTAAAAACCTATAGTTTGTTAAAATATTTGTTAGTCAACTTTCATATATAATAATAATAAATAAATAAATAAAAACAACTGAAAAATATGTAGTTTTATTTTTACCAAATTATGACCTTTTCACCTTCATAATAGTACATACTTATACACAATCGGTCACCATGACCGACGTTAGGTGGATGTGTTACTAGAATACACGTTAGGTGGCCAAGGGTTAAGTTTTATAATTGTTATTTTCCTAAGTAATACTTGGGTGCATATTAATGGCCCATATTTGAGGGTCTAGTCCATATTTAGTGACTTTTTTGCAATTACGTTATTTGTTTGTTTTTGAAATAATAGTTTATTATTAAAACAATAAGACTATTACTGTGTTATGGACAAACGTATGACTGATTACTATAACATTAATAAAAGTTTATTATTTATGTTTATTTTTGGTTTTATTTATGCTTATGTTTATTTTTTAAGTTTGTTATTTATGTTTATTTTTTATTTTTGGTTCAAAAACAAAATGGTTGCCCACATTTAGTTACTTTAGTAATGATGATGGTGAAGGCCAGTACTTATTGTTTTTTCTTATTTTACAAAAATCAGCATATTTTTTTTCCAAGAGAATATTCTCGAAAGTTTTATTTGAAAACGTAGGAAAAAAAAATAATAATAAATATGTTCATATACCTATATGTTGTATTTGATATGTACGAAAACTTACTAGTTATTTTATTTTTAAGGTGGCCACATAAATAAAAAATACAATTAAAATACTTCTCAAAATTTATTACTATATAGCAAAATAAGATAACCTGCAAAAAATACACATCCTATAATAATATTTGGGATTATAAATTAAAATAAAAAAATCTGAGTTCTAATATGATATAATTGTCAACATATAAATTTGTACCACATTGAAACAAATTCCTTATTTGTTTTATAAGCTACAGTGTGTTCACATCACCCAGTCACTATTTGATAACACTATCATAGTTGATTTAAAAAAAAAAAATTATTGAATCATAATAAATGTTCTTCACACATTATAAATACATATAAATTATTGAATATTAGAAATCAATAATCTTGTCGAGAATTCGACTCATCTGTATTAAACAACAGACTAATAAAAAAACTTCTGAATGTTATCATGGCCCTTAACAATATTATAGCAGAATTAATGTAGGAAGAAATAAACATACAAGTAAATTCTAAATATTTAATTGCATCCAACAAGTTATTATTAAGCAAGATCCTTAATAACTCATATAAACTAAACATAACGGCTAAAACACTTCATATCCTCTTCATTTGCACATCAGATACAAAAATATTTTAATATCTTATAACAAATGAAAATTCACACATTCAACTGTGATTTGACTAATGTTTAGAGATGAAACACGCCTTTCTGACCGTCCATCATGACTAAGTCTATATAACTATTCACAAGCCAGAGGCCCTCAATATAAAGCCACAATATACAGATCACTGCATGTGCATTTATCTGAAACAAAATACATACAAATAAATGCATTTTTTAAATATAATGCAATTAGCATATTTGTTTATTTTCAGATATCTTAAAGAAAACATTTTCGACAAAAATTTTAGGATTTCAGTCCAATTCACATATATGTATTTTACACACAAATATTACAGTTTTTCTGGGTAACTTGTGCCTTTAAAAGAAATATTTTTGTAACAATATTTTTGCAACTGTACAGATTTTGTTTAAAGTTAAGAGAATTGAAAGTTTTGTTTCGTGTCAATTCAAAATTGTAGAATATCGCAATGTGATGAGTTTTTATTTAATAAACAAGCCTGCAATGTTACAGTTATATATTTTTTAGAGTAACAGATACATCGCACCTCCGCTCAAAGTGTCACAACTCAAAAAAAAGTTGAATTCAATTTTTTTGCACTATTGGAATCAGAAAACTTCGAAATCTTATCTCAAGTAATTTCAAGCCAATAGTTCAACTATTTATGCATAGATGTGACTTATGACATTATATCCTAAAGTGATATTCGAAATATGATATTCGAAACCGCGATGTTGAATTTTATTTTCTACAAAAACGCGGCATTTTAAAAGCGAATATTCGAGGAGCTATGATTGAAAGAGACAACATTATAGCCCCGCACGCGCAACGAGTGAAGTGCTCCAGCTTTTAACAAAAAAAAACGTGGCATCACGAGTATACCACGTTTTTGTAGCAAAGGTATGTTGTTTTTTGCTGTTGTTTACTTTAGCTTGGATAATGTGATATTAGTTATTTAACTCGTTTTTGTTTTAAAATTCGTGAGTATTGAGAATGAGATAATTACTATTTTCACATTATTGATAAAAATGTTAGAAGTTTTCTTTGTAATATCTTTGAATGTACTATGTTGTTGATGAATTGTTTTCAAAAACTATGCATTATACATATTATTTTAAAACATTATTTTTGAAAATCTTTAAGTTTTTCTTTATATTATGCTAAAATGTTACATTACGCATGCTAAAATAAAGTAACTTTTACGAATTCGTTTTTCAGATGGCATCACGATCTAGGATGTTAGTTCAAGTAGCTACAGGTGTTAAAAATAATTTAAGTGTAAAACTAAGTGATGATGTGAAAGATTCAAACTCTCAGATAGATATTTTAAAACAAGACGAGAATGAAAGTGACAAAAGCTAGACTAATACATTGCATACATTAACGGAAGGTGTTTTATAGTGATATGCATAATGTATTTTTCTTCAAGTTATGTTTCTATGATTGCATTATTTAAATCCTTCAATCTTTGTAGACAAAGACATCGCAATATATTCCATCCGACCACGCAGTAATTCGACCAGTAGCAACGGCTCCTCTAGTTTTAGCAGTTCTTCAAGCAGTGGCCCATCTAGGTATCAAGGTAAGTTAATTTTAATGTAGATAGATGGATGTAAATTATTAACTCCTTAAACAGAAGTTTAGTAACTATAGCCTGGGCCAAATGTATTGGGCTTCCCTTAAAAATGCATATTTAATGTTTACTTATCTATCTAATAATAAATAAATTCGTTTCTTGGCTAATATTTCGGGATCATAAACCATTATTAGGGGAACACGGGGTAATGAGAGCGGTCGGGCAATGAGAGCTACGGTGATTGAACGGAATGTAGGCACGTTTGCGCGATCGTAAGCACTCGGCTGCCTTCGTCAACACTCGGTAAACTTCACTTGACGCGCTCGAACCGTTAGTGCCATTCGTTTAGTCACGAGAGACGGTTGAGTGTTCTTCGCTTCACGCTTACAAAAAATTGCCGATTGCCAGCATCAAGGTAAGCATGAAATTATATTCTTATTTTATTGTATTTATGCTTATTATATCCCTAGATTCATTTACTATTAAGTCTAATTAGTTGGATTGCGATTGAGAATAGAATTACATATATATATTATTACTTTTCAAAATGGTGGTCGGCGGCTAATGGTAGCCTAGCTAGGCTCTCATTACCCGACATAGCTACCATTACCCCGTAGTAGTTATTAATGAAATGCCTTGGTTTTTTTTTTTTGTTTTAGATGCCACGTAAAAGGACTCGTACAACCACAAAAGCTTCTTGGACAGTGGATTCATTAGAAAATGCAGTATCTGTCCTCAAAAGAGGAGGCATTTCGGTGTACAAAGTATCTCAACAAACAGGTATTCCTTACAGCACTCTAAAGAAGAGGTACAATTTAGCGAAAGCTGGCGGTAGTAGCTACAAACACTCTCCTAAGCTGGGAAGATCCACTGTATTTAACGTTGCCCAAGAAGAAATACTGGCTAACCATCTTCGGACTATGTCTAATAAATTTTATGGTTTAACAAGAGAACAGTTTCGCAAAGTATGTTACAGTGTAGCTAAACAACTAGGTATTGAGAAACGATTTAACCAAGACAATCAAACTGCAGGAAAAGATTGGCTGGCTGGATTTTTGCAGCGTCATCCAGACTTAAGTATTAGAAAGCCTGAAGCCATCAGTATTAACCGAATTCTCGGATTTAACAAGACTGAGATAACGCTTTTTTTCAATAACTTGGAAAAATTGATGGAGCAACATAGATTTGAACCTCAAATGATTTACAATGTAGACGAGACTGGTATAACGACTGTCCAAGAGACTGAAAAAATTATAGCTCCCAAAGGACAAAAACGTGTCGGGTCTGTAACGTCATGGGAAAGAGGTAAGACAGTCACAGTAATATGTGCTATGAGTGCAGCTGGATCTTTCGTTCCTCCGCTTTTCATATTTCCCCGGCAACGTCACTCAACACAGCTGGAAAAAGATGGACCAGTGGGAGCCGTTTATACATGTTCACATAATGGCTGGACTAACGAAAAGATATTTGTTTTATGGCTTCGTCATTTTATTAAACATGCCAAACCTGCTGCTGAAACACCCGTATTGCTAATATTGGATAATCACAATAGTCATGCTACTCTCGAAGCTTGGGAATTGGCAAAAGAGAACCATGTCATAATGCTAACCATTCCTCCACATTCATCTCACCGTCTACAACCCCTTGACGTTGCATTTTATTCCCCACTTAAAAGAGCTTATAACAAAGAGTGCAACTTGTATATAAAATCAAGAAATTTGATAAAAATTACTCCATACGACATTGCTGGACTCTTTAATAAAGCTTATACTAGAGTTGCTTCTATAGAAAAAGGAGTATCGAGCTTTAAAGCTACAGGTATATTCCCTATGAATCCTGGAGTTTTTTGTGATGATGACTTCATTAATGAGGAATCCAGATCAGCTGTGCCTGAGGCTGACGCTCAACAGCAGCCAACTAGTGTCACTCCTATTCCATCAACATCAAATCAGGCTGAGCAACCACATGCTAGCCCTGCAACAAGTCCATCTATTTTTTGTGATCTGCAAATTGAAACGGAAATTATTCAAAGGGAAGCTGCTGTAACTCCAGTTTCTATTCCATCGACATCATCACACACTATCAGACCTATCGCAACTCCGCCCAATATTGACTTTGCTAATGTTGTCTCCATTGTCAGCCCACTGCCCCAACAACTCATCTCTCAAAAACAAAAACCGTTGAAGAACAAACAGCATTCTGAAATAATAACAAGCACTCCAATGAAAGCAGTATTTGAAGAAAAGAAGAGAAAAAGAACTGAAAAGGAGAATAAGATAAAGACAATTAAGAAAAATAAAGGAAACTGTGATAAAGAAAATTGTGTCAAGGGAAAATGTGCCAAAGGAAAATGTATTAAGAAGAAACATACCAAAGATAAAGAGATTAAAAGCAAGAAGACTACAACCAGAAACACAAGGATCAGAAAGGCAACAAAATATTTGTTTAAAAGTGATGATGAAAACTCATCTCTTGACCAAATCGACGAAAATGCTATCTGCGATGATGAGTCAGAATATTCTGAAGAGGAGAATTTATGTGCAATTTGTTTAGATCTTGGAAAAAATGGAGAGATGTGGTACCGATGCAGAAGTTGCGGAAACTGGGCCCACAAAGAGTGTACTGGTAGTGATAGTCCAGATACTTATATTTGTGCATTTTGTTTGGATCCGTAAATCAGGATCATTTGTTTTCCATTAATAATTTCATATTTTATCTCCGTTTTGTTTGAATTTGTTTTCATTTTAATTTGTGTTACAAATAGTTTCATTTTATTAATAATTATAATAACTAAGATCTCATTTATAGTGCGTTTTGTTAATTTTTTTTTAAGAGTAATTATAATGGCTCCCATTTCCCATATGATCGTTAAATGGGCTCTCATTAGCCGCATTCGTCGGGTAATAGGAGCGACTGACTTTTTTTGTAAAACTGTCATTGTACCCTAATACATGTCTGTAGTTGATTATAACTATAATTATTGTATTCTCTTATAATAAAGGTAAGAGTTTATAATAAAAAAATACAAGAATTTTGAGTAATGTGCTTTTTATTACAACTTTCCCTTAGTAGGCTCCCATTTCCCTGTTCTCCCCTACCTGGAAAGGTGAACGGCATATTCATAAGGTCATAAAACACCTGGTAACCGAAAACCAAGGATTTGTGTTTTCTTGCAGTCTTATCAGTCAATATTTGGTCAGTAGCATTTTACATTCTAAAGAGTTAACAACCCTCCGTTTCTGTTTAATTAATTACATTCACATCTAATTCTTTAAAAAATGCCGAAAAGGAGTGAAATTAGCTTTGAAAATTTAGTAAAAATACAACTTTTATTGGAAGAAGGGAAGTCGCAAAAAGAAATAGCCAAGTTGGTGAAATGTTTGCGTTGCGCTGTATAATCTGAAATCAAACGATTTGCTCCGACTTGTACTTATTATAATAAACCCAAAACCGACAGGAAACGTGTGACTACGAAGCGCGAGGATAGAAAATTGATACGCGAATCGATGAAAAATCGGAAGAAAATTTCTTCAATGCTGGCTGGCTTGTCCGAAGAGGTTGGAAAGCCAATAAGCGCTCGTACAGTTAGACGAAGACTTGGCGAAGCCGGCCTAAGAGGGTGCAAAGCTAGGAAGAAGCCCTGGCTTTCCGAGACAAACAAAAGAAAATTGTGTATTGTTGCATAGTGATTTCGAATAGTTCAGATGAAAAAAAAATTGTTACTGTTTATAAATAAAGTAATTTTTATTTGATGGATTAGACGTAAGTATTATGATTTATATTATTATTTTTGTTCATACATAGTAAAATATTTAGAAATAAACTCAAAATAGTGTTGATGTATATTTACATCATCATGCAATCATGGTTATTGAGATTCTATAGGAGCTATGAATAACTATTTTGACTGAAGGTTTGTTTTGTTGTCTGTTTTAGGTGCTGATATTTGTCATAATGAATGACAAAGATATTGAAAAATATTTAACATTACTTGAAGATGGGTGGCTGTCGAATGATGATTTGGAGGTGTCCGACCAAGAGGAGGAAAATGATCTTGAAAACCACAATAGAGAACAAGTACTACATATTATGTTACAAAGTAATGAGGAGTACACAGAAAGTCCACAAAATCCTGAAAGTGACCCTCCCATAACAGAAAGTGAAGAAATAAACATCCAGGTGCAAAGCATGAGGGTTCCTACTGGACATATGTTTCCAGGATTGCTAGACAAACGAAAATTGATCTGGAAAAAACCAAATATGAAGTTTGATAAATCCAAAATTACTTTTCAAGGTAATTGTGATTTAGGACCTGAGATTTTACATTTGAATTCTCCTTACACATGCGTCAAGTACTTTTTTACTGAAGATTTTACGAAAAGCAGAAATAATAGATCCTTTATATCCTGATGGAAAACCCAAAGCTGTGAGAGAAAAAAAAGGCCTTAATTAGATCTTTTGCCTTTTACACCTCCAGTGCATCACAGCTTTTATACCAGTATCAAAGATTATGTGTCTGTAAGAATGTCATAGATTTTGAGGATGACATTGATAGTGACTGAGAATACCTTTATTGTTATTGCTGTTGATGTTGCTTTTTTAGTAAGTGTTTTTTAACCCTAGAAAGATAATATACGTCATTGAGACGCACGACCGACATAAATATTGCCATCTCTTTTTTATTTCCCATCGTAACTTTGTGTCCGTCTAGGTTATCCCAGTGGCCGGGCAGACCTTACGCGAGACAGCTGTGTCACCCTGGTAAGTATAATAATTACGTAAATACAGGGTTAGCGTACGTTCGAGAAACGTATGATTATCCTTTGTGTAACTTTTGAACCTCATTCCCTGTAATAATAGTTCGTATTATTTATCGTTTTTTTATTATTTTAGGTGATTTTAGAAAATCTATTGCAATGGCTGCACGCAGAGCCCTTGATTATAGCCAAATTGAAAAAATATTGGAGAACAGTGATGATGAGATTCCTTCAGAGAGAGGGAGTGACAGTGAAGTGGAGGATGACTTGAATAAAGACGACGTGCAGAGTGACACCGAAAACAAATTGATTGACGAAGTTGCTGCTGAAATAATAGAATAAACATCGGAGGAATTGCAGGTACCATCATCTCCGTCACTCTTACCAAACCAGGATTCAACTTCAAATTTGGATTCGCGCATTATCATTCCAACTCAATATATACTATGCGGGAGAAACAAACATTGCTGGTCCACAATTAAAGGTCAAAATAGATGAAGAACTTCTCATATAAACTTAGTACGAACATGTAGAGGGCCTACTCGCATGTGTAAAAATATTTATGAGCCTGCTTTCTGCTTTCAATTATTTATAACTGACGAGATTATAAATGAAATAGTGCTATGGACCAACGCTGAAATATCTCGAAAACGTGCAGACAAAGAATCTAAATTTCGACTCATTGCTGAAAATCAGAATAAAACCTACTCATTTAGTGCTACATTTAGAGATGTAGTAGATTTTGAAATAAGAGCCTTGATCGGTATTTTGGTGCTATCCTCAGCAATGAAAGATAACCACTTATCGACTGAAGAACTCTTTAATAGTACGTTTTCAGGAACGCGTTATGTCTCATTAATGAGCCGTGAGAGATTCGACTTTTAGATTCGATGTTTACGAATGGACGACAAGACATTGCGGCCAGCATTGAGAACAGAAGATCCATTAATACCCGTGAGAAAGGTGTGGAATCTACTAGTCAGCCAATGTAAAAATAATTACATTCCAGCGCCGCACTTAACCATTGACGAACAACTTGCTCGAATTTAGAGGACGCTTTCCTTTCAGATTGTATATCCCAAATAAACCGAGTAAATATAGTATAAAAACACCAATGATTTGTGGTAGTGGCACAAAATATATGGTAAATGAAATGCCCTATATTGGAAAGGCCGCCAACACTAACGGTTTACCTCAAGGCGAGTACTATGTCAAAGAGCTATCTAGAACTGTTCATGGATCTTGTAGAAATGTGACGTGTGACAACTGGTCCACGTCTGTTCGTTTGACAAAAGCTTGATTTGGAAAAAAAGGAATCTGGTGTATGACACAGATAAAACGACTTTCTTGGGGAGTTCTACTGCTTCAGGTGATCTATCACTCTCTGTTTTATAAGGAGTTATTTACAAAACCATTCATAAGACTTGTTTCTTTTATATTTATTATTTTTATACTCTAACATAGGTTCATTTTAAGTCTACGGATAAGTAGTTACTGGAACCGTTTACTACATTTATGATCCACACTCTTAAATAAAAAATAAGAACGGTTTACTGCGCAATAAAGAGTATATTTGTTGTTAAAATTCTTTACCGTGAAATATATTGTTAATTTTTATATCTTTATAAACCAAATACTGGTAATTTTAATTTCTAAAATTTAATTGTGATTCGTATGTTCATTAACGTAATGGCACCGGTTTCCGACTAGCTTCCTCTATCCGACCATTTTAGTTTTTATCCATTAAAACATTTAAAATATCGCGCGAAAGCCGTGAAACCGAACGCATTCAATTTAGTATAACTCATCGTACGTCAATTGTCAAAACTTGTGTTTCAAATGTCAACGGACACTCTGTCATTTCAACAAAAGCTACGCAACGGAGTAGTTCGTATCAAGTTGAATGTGAAAAAAACATAAATCTGTGAAAACAAACATCTGGGTTTTTGTGAAGAATACTCTGGAAAGTTTATCATTTTTTTACTTTATACGTTTTATTAGTGTATTAACGCCTTAAAATTTCAATATGCAAAAAAATCTTGCTTATTTTTATATATTTATCGGCTAATTAATTGTGGACGGAATGAGGTGCCCTATAAAATCATAATATTCCGAATACCGACCACTTGGTCGGTAAAAGAAATTTTGCACGTTGTAAATAAAACTAATTTTCTATTAATCGTGTTGTTTTGTGAGTGTTTCGTTTTCATTTACTGATTCTAAAAGATATCTTTATATAATACACCTGTATCCGAACTATGATAACTTTAATGGATTTTTTGTAAAATTCGTTTTAACTTGCACTTTTTTTCGGTTTACTTCCTATTCATTTCCAAAGACCACTCTGGTTTTAAAACCTTATACTTTATGTTTATTAGACATAATTGCATAATTACAATGCTGTTAGATTTTTATAAGTGTGTGTGAAATAGAAACGCGCTAAAAAATTAATATAAATTTCGGTTTAGAGGACTTATTAGGCAAATATAGGATTGGTCGGAATCTGGATACGATTTGTTTCGCTTGCCCCTGTTTCCGTCCAACTCCGGTGCTTTTGGTTTCGGTGTGCTTGTTTAAAATTGCATGTGTTTATTTCAGGTACATCATCATGAGTGATAAGAAAAGGTTAAAGTATTCGCAGGAAAATATGGAGAAAGCACTACGAGATATACGAGAGAAGAAAATGAGTATAAATCAGGCTGCAAAATCATACGACATTCCAAAAACAACGATATTAGACAGATTAAAAGACAAATATAAAAATCCAGGTAACATAGGCGGTCAAACTGTACTGACAAGCTCAGAAGAAATGTATCTGGTGAAATGGATTTTAGAATTGGGCGAAGTCGGTTTTCCGATAACGAAGACCCAGTTACTGGATTCTGTCACAAAATTAATTAAGAGTTTAGGCCGTCCAAATCCTTTTAAAGATGACCAGCCGGGTAAGAAATGGTATAATGGCTTTCTTGCTCGCCACCCGGAAGTTTCGAAAAGAGTTCCACAATCTCTCACAACATGCAGAGCGATTGTTTCGGAGAATAGTATTAGGAGCTGGTTTTCAAAAATAAGGCAATATATTGTTGATAATAAATTAATAGAACTTCTCCAAGACCCGAAACGTATCTTCAATTGTGATGAGAGCGGTTTTTATCTGTCGCCTCAAGAAAAGCAAGTACTAGTCAGAAAAGGCTCGAAAAAAGTGTCCAATCGTACTGTCAACGACGAGAAAGAGTGTTTGACGGTTTTACTTACAGTAGCTGCTGATGGGGCAATACCTCCACCATTGATTATGTTTCCGTATAAACGCTATGTTCCGTCGTACATCACAGCCAATATGCCTAAAGGGTGGGGAATGGGTCACTCTGATTCTGGGTGGATGACTAGTGAGACATTTTATGAGTACATCACAAATGTCTTTCACCCATGGTTAAAAGAAAAAGGAATCCAAATGCCAGTAGTTCTTTTTCTGGATGGTCATTCATCTCACATTAATATTAATCTGAGTGAATACTGTAAAGAACATGAGATAATTCTGATAGCATTCTACCCCAATGCTACTCACCGTCTACAGCCATTGGATGTAGGGGTATTTTATCCTTTAAAAAAATGGTTGGCGCAATGATGTCCGGGAATGGCGTATGGCAAACAGCGGGAAAAAAATGCAGCGATCAGATTTTCCGATTACTGTGGATAAAGAAAATTCAAAGCGACTTCATACTATTTCTTATTACCTTCCAAGCAGTCAAGGAGATAATATTGAAACTATAAAATACCGATTTTCAAGACCATGTTTTTGAGAACCCTTTCTATCAGCTTTAGACCAAGTTTCACCAATCAACGTTTGTTAAATCTAAACAAAGCATTTACTAACAAACCTTCAAAATAATAATTGTCTGTTAAAATAGTTACGTTCCACGATGATGTTATAATATTTTTTATTTAAATACTGTTCTAGAATTAAAATGCCTAAAAGTAAAACTTTACATATCCTAGCAAAGTATGAAACGACAAGTCATATATGTATGTCACAAATGTTGGATGGCTGCAGAGAGAGCTTCTGTCCACATGACCTCAGGCTCGTCAACATCATTCAGACAAGACAATCCTCAAATATAATAGAACCAGAACAACAAGATCTTCCTGAGGTGTCTCCAAATGCAGGAGTTGGCAGCAACCAACCAGTACCTTCTATTGTTTTGTCTGAGTACATGAGAGCTATTGAAACTGAAAGAAGGTGCTTCATTGAAGGATGCCAAAGAACAGAAAGATACAGAGTACCACTTACTACTCGTAAAATGTTATTTAATGAATATAAATATTACACCCCTGAAAATAACCGTCTTTGTGGTCAACATTTGGTTATCGAAGCATGGGATTTTCTGGATAGTTTGAAATCAAATTATGTTCAGACATTTACTGAGAGACATATTTATCCCTTAAATGCATGATGATGTATATATATATCAGTGTTTTTGTCCTTACATAATTCTTAACGGTAACTCAAACACAGTATTTTTTACTTTTAATAGATGCTAAAAATATTTATTTTAGTTTTTGAATGCAAGCTTTCACGATATGGCAGTTCACTTTTTTAATTGTTATAATTTGACAACTTGGCGCCACATTTTCGAATACCATTTTGGCGGTCAAATTGTAATTTTATTTTAGTGAATACTAAATAGTATTATAACGTGATAAAAGTGACTTACGAGATGATAAAGGTAAGCAGAACACTTTGCATTATTGTGTTTTAGAATACAGTAACAGTTTTTGTAAATATCAGCAGTATAATTGTGATGTAGAAATACATCAGTATGCAAAATCGGCAAGAAATAGTTTTACTGTAGGTTAATAAAAAAGTATATTATACTTTTTTACTTTTTGACTTATTTGTATGCATATACATAATTTATTCATACGAATTTTATAATTATTTATCCAGAATGACCCGTAAAGTGGCAGATAAAGATATAGAACAACTTCTGGTAGCTTTGGAAGATGGAAATATTACTGAGGATGGCCTGGAAGATGAAAGTGAAGATAAAGAAACCTTTTTCGCTAATGCAAGAGAAATATTTCAAGAGTTGGAAGACGAGGATGCAGAGGACCATGAAGATCCTACCTATAGTGATCCACCACTAGTTCAAGATTTGCCTGGCCCATCAAGTCAAATTTTTATTTCATTACCCATGCAAGAAGGTCATCAACAATATGTAGAATTTGATAAAAGGAAATATCCCGATACAAGGAGACTGGCAGTTATCGAGATCGTTTGCGATCGAGAAGGCAGAGAGCAACCACTTCTAGCGAGGATAAATTTATCGTCGTTACCAGCAAGAGGAATAGCCGCCTAACAGCACCAGAAATCCGCGCAGAAGTAAACGAATCCCGATCTAAACCTGTATCACTGACTACAGAAAAAGACGATTGAGAGATGCTAACTTATTTGGTCGCGTTGCCGTTCGAAAACCACTTCTTAGGCCACAGAACGAAAAGAAACGGTTGCAGTGTGTTATTTTATATCTATTTTGTATCGACAATATCACTCATATTTATACCAGTAGCGCCATCTATTTTCTTTGTATGTAATCTGTGTTCCGAATGTCAGATATGAAATAAAGTTCAGTTCGTATCCATGATTCAAGCGTTGTTTTATTAGACAGTGGGCCCTTACCTATTGAGACTGGACTGAAGAAGACTTTAAAAAAGTTTTTTGGACAGATGAATCCAAATTTGAAATATTTAGATCTAAGAGACGAATTTTTGTTCGACGTAGCGCCGAGGTAAAGATGATGCCAGACTGTGTGGTGCCAACCGTCAAACACGGTGGTGGTTCTGTTATGGTCTGGGGATGCTTCCGGGCTATGGAACCGAAGATTTGGTACGAGTCGAAAGAATTATGAAAAAGGAGCAGTACAAACGAATACTACACCCAAACGCCGTTCCGTCTGGCGTAAGATTTTCCAAGAAGATAATGATCCTAAACATAGTTCAAAATTATGCAGGGGTTATTTAGAAGATGAAGAAACAGAGGGAGGGTTAAAAAATGTGGTGTGGCCCCCTCAGAGCCCGGATCTCAACCCGATCGAGCTTTTGTGGGAAGAGCTTGATAGAAATGTACGCAGTTGTGGCCCCTCCTCGCAAGAAGACATGTGGAGGACTTTACAAGAAAGCTGGAACAATATTCACAAGAAACAATCGACAAATTGATTGGTCGTATGCAAGACTCGTGAAAAAAGTAATAAAATGCAAGGGAGGTTTTTTTTGAGGAAAAATCTGTTTAAATATTAAAGGCGTTTTTAATGTAAATATTTTTTTTCATCCAGAGGTACCTATGTGTAGGAAGAATGTATAAGTATGTTAATTATTAATTAAACCTCTTACTTCGTTTTTTCTTTTTGAGTTTTTTTTTTTCATTTTCATTCTTTGATGAGGGTGGTCTCAAACTTTTGGCCGGCAGTGTATTTCCAGGAAGGTGATTAAATAAAGGCTTTCGTGACTCACTTCCTTTGTTAACCTTCGGCATACAAGGTGGGGTTATTTTAACCCCAACACTTTTAAATTGTGTTGATTTTATATTAAAACGAAACTAAACAACTTGATTTTCACAGTAGCTGGAGATTAAATATTGCCGCGTTAAATCACAGCGTCGGATCAGTGTTGCGCGCGCCAGCGCCGTGTGTACACGCGCCCAAAGTGGTTCCCGGGTGTTTTTAACCCCACGTTGTATGGGTCGTCGTGAAAAAAGTTTGTACCTACTTATGTGTTTTTTATATTTTTACAGCTACAATAAGTGTTTTATTTATACTTTTTTATTTTTATTTCAGGTATAGATCGTCAATATGAATAATAACCTGCGGGATGATAGTATTGCTGCGGCCTTATTGGAAGAAAATGAATCTTTGTCGGATGATGAAATCTTTCTGCCTTCTAGTGATGACGAATCGGATCATATCAGCGAAGCTTCTGAAGTTCCAAGTGATACGGACGTGGAAGATGCCGAAATAAACATTGAACCACATTCAGATGATACGACATCAACACTTCAACCATTTTATCTAGGAAAAGATGGAAGAACAAAGTGGTATAAATCGCCACCGCGAACCAATGTTCGAACAAGGGCCGAAAATCTTATTACTCATTTGCCTGGATGTAAATATGCAGCTCGACATAAAAAAACTCACCAAGAATGCTTCGAGACCTTTTTCACTGATGAAATCGTTGACATTGTTTTGAAGAATACGAACCAGAAGATTTCTTTGAGAATGGAGAACTCTACGTCTAATTCAACATACGGGGAAACTGACAAAGCTGAGATAAAAGCCGTTTTTGGGCTGTTGTTCTTGGCAGGGTTGTTTAGATCTGGTCGGCAAAGTCTTATAGACTTATGGAGTAATGACGGCACAGGAATTGAAGTATTTAGAAATACTATGACGAGGCAAAGATTTTCGTTTTTGATAAATAGCTTGAGATTTGATGATTCATCAACTCGTACAGCTAGAGTGGCTGACGATCGCTTGGCTCCAATTCGAGATATTTTTGAAATATTCGTCAAAAACTGTCAGAATGCCTATACACCGTATGAATACTTGACCATAGATGAAGAACTCGTGGCATTTAGAGGAAGATGTAGCTTTCGTCAGTACATACCATCCAAGCCAGCTAAGTATGGGTTGAAAATTTACGCGTTAGTGGATGCTAAAACATTTTACACAATGAACTTGGAAATTTATTGTGGAAAACAGCCTGACAACAGTCCTTATACAGTGAGTAATAAGCCTTTTGATGTTGTCGATCGTTTGGTGAGATGCGTGTCTGGATCAGGAAGAAACATCACCATGGATAACTTTTTATGAGTTATGAAACAGCTGAAAATTTGCTCAAAAACCACAAATTGACTGCCGTTGGTACACTAAGGTCGAACAAGACATGCATTCCACTCCAGTTCAAGGCTCGACGTGAAGAAAAATCATCTGTTTTTGGATTTCAAAAAGACATTACTATTGTATCCTACATACCAAAGCCGCGAAAATGTGTACATATGATGTCCTCATTACATCATGATGATGAGGTGGATCCAGAAAGCGGAGACCAAAGAAAACCGTCTATCATCACATTTTACAACTCGACAAAAAGTGGAGTTGATGTAGTTGATAAACTTGCGAGAACATACGATGTCTCCCGCAACTGTAAGCGCTGGCCTCTTACCGTATTTTTTTCCATGTTGAACCATGCTGGTATAAATGGTTTTATTGTGTATATGCTGAATAATGGCATTGAAAGGAACAAAACCAATCTAAGGAAGAACTTTATCAAGCGATTGGGACTTTCTTTAATCGAAGAGCACCTCAGGAAAAGAAAGGATAATCCACATATACCACGAGAAATAAGAAGACGTGTGTGTGAAATGCTGAATGAAGAAGCTCCAGCACCACCACAAAAGCAACCAAGAAGGTCTCAGCGATGTTCTTTCTGTCCAAGAAACAAAGATAGGAAGACTCTGAACGGATGTTTCAAATGTAATGTCGCGATATGCAAGGAACATGCGAATTTGATGTGTCAAAATTGTACTGATTTACATGACGAATGATCTCGCTCAAATAGCCATAAAGAGCTAATTGTGATGTTTTTTATAAAGCCAAATATAGTTAGTTTTAGTATAATAAGTAAAATAATTAAGATAAGTATGAGAAATATTTTTGTTAATTTTTTATTCCACCTAATAACATTTTGTAAGATTTATGGAGAGGTTATGTAATTTTTAAGTTTTTTTTATAATAAATGTTTAATTTGCTACTTTTTGTACTTCATTAATTAGATTTAATTATACCCGTCACAAAAAAAAAATTACACACAGATTAGAGATAATCTCTTGTGGGGTTAATTTTACCCCACGTTGTATAGGTGAGGATTTTTTTTCACCTTGAATGCCGAAGGTTAAACCAACGTGGTTATAGGACTTAAATGCCTGCTTCAGTAGAGGAGGGTGAAACGCAATTATTTACTATTGAGGCAAATAAATCAAGAGCAGTCACGATACGAAGTTGGGTGGTTGAAGTTGTGAATGGCAGGTTCAAAATGGACTTTAAATTGTTACGGCAATTTTTTTTTAACATAGCCAGTAAAAGTTTTGTGAAAGATTTTAAGGCGGCTGCTTGTCTTCTAAATAAGTTTCATCCACCTATATTTGATCGTGAAGATGCTGAGGAAATAATACAAGAAATAGAAATGTACATGAATATAGAAAATCATTTAGCCAATTATATTATTTCTAATAATAAAATAGGCGTCGAGCTAATAAATATATTCTGAATATTTTTTTTTGTTTTTAGTGCAAAATATCAGAATACGCTAGAAAACGTGATCTTCAGCCGTCGACTTCATCAAAAATTACGAGTGGATAGTCTAACGTTTGAAGAGGAATTCAATGCCCTCTTTCTAGCTTCAGACCAATCAGACAGTGAAGGTGATATTGAAGAGTTTTTGGTTTCCGACCGTGATTGTCTGCAGTTACGCGTAAGTGACCAAGATGAAGATCTAGAGGAGAACATTTCAGAAGTGGATAGCAGCAATGTGAGGAGCCAGATCACTACAAAAGGAGATAGCACCGATAGTTTTGATGACGCTTGCCTCTTTCGGAATTACGAAAAATTAAATTACCGTAGAAAAAATTCGATTTCGTCGAAGACGCCTCCTAATGCTAGGGTTCGCACACTGCAACATAATATGTATAATACGCATGCTTATGGGTCGAAATTGATAGGTGGATATGTGTAAGACCCTTTGAGCATTTAGCATAAATTGTTTGACGAAGAAATGCTCCAACAAGTTTTGACTTGGACTAACAAAAAAATTGCCAGTTACCGGATGAAGTTGATAAGACATTGATATTTGAACTGAAGGCTTTTGTGGGGCTTTTACTATATTCTAACCACGAACGTACAAGTTACTTATTTGCAAGAGATAGACGGTAAAATATTTAGATGCGGCATGTCAGAAAATAGATTTGTCATATTGTTACTGTGTTTGTAATTCGATAACTCAGATGATCGCGCAGAAAGGCAAAACGTTGATAAGTTGGCAGCGATATCTTTTATTATCAACAAGCTTGTCAACAATTCTCAACAACAATACAAATTGAATGAATGCGTAAACATAGACGAGATGTTAGTGAAGTTTCCAGGAAGAAGTCACATGATTTCATATATCCCGGAGAAACCAGATAAATACGGACTGGTCATACAATCCTTATGTAATGCATAAAAAGCTTATTTCCATAACGGATATGTTTATATTGGAAATGGCTCTCACGGTGTCGGTTTGACCACACAAGATCAGAAACATCTCAAGCCAACTCAATGTGTCCTACGTTGATACAACCAATTAAAGGAAGTAATCTAAATGTGACTGCTGACAACTGGTACTCCTCTATTAAACTAATTGAGGAGTTATCAAAACATAAGGTTACTTATGTGGGTACAATGAAAAATAACAAACGTGAAATACCAAGCCAGAATAAATGGTTTGATTTTAATAACACAAACTGGTTATTTACTCTTGGTTATATAAAATTGGTTTTATATAATTTTAAATTTAAATTAAAGTAAATTAAAGTAAGGCATTGAAACGTGATACGATTTGGTACGCAAATCATGTCCGGGAATCACAATATTTACTGCAAGAGTAAAATGTGAAGTGGTTTCGTGCTGTGGTGTGCAACGATCTTGCCTTCGGCGACTACTACGAGAGGGTTTTTTGCCACCACCTGTTTTAATTAAACAGACGTCAAGCGGGTATATAAAAACAGAAAAGGATGATATCGAAGGTAAATTCGCTCCACTATTACTTTAATTACCTTTAAAGCTGAGCGCGTCATCACATTTAAAGCAAGTACCGTATGATAGTTACTGCCCTAGTGTTAAGGATACTTGTGTAAGCGATCATGCGGCTTCTGTGGTCTATATTTTGTGGCCACTAACCAACACAAACAACTTTATAAGATTAAGCAAGATGAAGTTCCCATTGCGAAGAAAAGCTCTCAAAGAATAGCAGCTAGACGTGCCAGAGAAAATATTTTTTTGGATATTTATGATGATGCCTTATGATTGGATGAAAAAGATGTTGACACCACAAATGTTCCTGACGTGAAAAACGAAATGAACTGTGAAGTGACTGCCATGACAGTTATAAATAATTTAAAGGACTGGGTTCAAAGTCCATGGACCGAAGATGATTGAGTTTCTTTTTGAGTTTTTTTATTTTTTTGTTGTTTCAAATATTTGATACTATGTTGATTTCATAAAAAAGTACTTAATTTAAATGGAAATATAACTAATTTCGGAACTGCTGTTTTCATTTAATAATTTTTCGAAGTTAAATTGCCAAACATGTGACGTCACACTTGGAAGGGGGGGGTCTCAGAAATGTGACCACCTGTGACAAGGACGGGGGAGGGCTCTAAACTCATGAACTTAGTGTGACGTATTTTATGGATCGCCCCCAAGAGTCACGACAAACGCCAGAAATCGGTTTACGCAATGTACGGAGAATGGGGGACGTCAGCTAATCAGATCTTCTAAACAATGTAAATAAAAACTTTAGACATGTACCTCCATTATAAAAAATAAATAGAGTTCTGAAAAAAGAAATTATGCTGCCGCACCCTGTACCTTGGCGTCTTGATATAAACTTCAGTATATCATTATCCTAGCATCAGATCTTATTGGGCACGAGCTATACAATTCCATCCAATTTCAGAGGCGATGACGATAAACAGATTCGAAAAGATTCGCCAAATAATACATTTTAGCGACAATAGTATCCACCTACCTCCAGACCACCCTGAGCACAATCGATTACATAAAATACGTACAGTACATACACGACCGTGTCAAAAGTAAATAAACACCTACAGGTGTAAAGATTTATTAAAAATATAGTAGGTGTAAAGTTTTGAAAAAACTATTACAGTGTAGTAAGAAGTAATCTCAGTTTATTTATACGATTTTAAAATGATTTTACTCAAGGACGCATTGTTGGCCAATATGAAGGTGGTAAATCTCAGCGTGAAATCAGAGATGGATTATATGTGCCGTTGTCTACGATTAATCGTGTCATCGTGCAGTTCAAAAGGGATGAGAAGACAAGTGTTCCCCACGATCAGGAAGACCTGGACCTTCTGACAGGCAAAAACGGGCGCTAGTTCTTGAACTTTTTAAGAAATGCCGAAAAATCTGTAAATGATGTGGCTTTAATCTCAAATTTACCTCGAAGAACTGTTCAGAGGTACTTACATAGTCTTGGCTTTTATAAAAGAGTAGCAAAAAAAAACCTCTGTTAACAAAATTTCAAAAAAAAGGAGATATGATTGGTCACAAGATATGATTTGTAAGGATCTTAACTTTTGAAGGCACGTGATTTTTTCGCATGAATCCACAGATATTGAAAATTCAGTGACAGTGGACGAAAATGGGTCTGGCGCCGCTCTGTTATGCAATTGGAAGACCGATATTTACAGCAAAACTGTGAAATTCGGCGGCGTGAGTGTTATGGTTTGGGGGGCTATGTGGTACGGCAGTAGAAGTCTTTTGGTGTTCTGTGAAGGGACAATAAATGCTTAAAATATATTGAAATTTTAAAAGAGGGACTCCTACCGATCTTTGATGGAAGAAATTTGAAACGCGAAGATTACTTTTTCATGGAAGAAGATTCACCATCCCATAGAGCTCAAAAAACAACTGCCTGGAAATCGCAAAAAAGGCCTAATGTTCACCCGTGGCCAGGTCAACCGCCCGGTATGAAGAACCTCATTGAGAATGTCTGGCACATTTTGCAAATGAATATTGCAAAAAGACCTGAGAAGCCCTCGAATAAAAAAAGCGGTATTTGCCGAAGAAACCACACTAATAGGGATTTAAATTATTCGTGCTTAGTTGCCCAAGGGGCCATGACTATAATTTTGAAATTTATTCAGGTGTTCCTGATACCCAAAGACTACCAAATGAACTCGACCTGGGAGTAGTTTCGAACACAGTCATACGTTTGATACGTCCAGTACCAAGGAATGCTAATCACAGGCAAGTTTGTCGCTGTTCCACTATTTATTTAAAGAGGGTATTTATTGCTTGGGAACAGACAGTACAAAAAAACAGACTAGGAAAATCCTGCTAAGTGCCAGATAACTGATTCCTTTTTTATATGCCCAATGTAAAAAAATTACGTCAGTAATGTGTGAGAAATGCCGTGTGTCACTCTGTGACAATAGAAATAATAACTGTTTTAGGGATTTCCACTCGTATTAAATTTTTCATGACTGCATAATTTATCAAAAATGATAGATAACACATTTTTTTTTTAAATAAACTTTAAATGTTTAAATGATTTTTTTTATAATTTTTCCCGTTTTTAGAGCCCCATTTCATAATATAATATATATTTTTTACGAAATTATAAAAAATCATGCATCTCAGGGTTAATCAGCGTAAGAAAGCCGGGTTTAATTATAAATACGGGTTTATTACTTAGCAGCGGAATTAGCATTGACTTTTCACACTGTGAAGCATAATTTATCTTATAATAGCATGGATTGCATAAATTAATTATACAACATTTTATTTCTAGATTCTAAAATATGCTTGGCAAGAACTAAAATGGAAGCTTTAGTAACAGAAGTATTAGGTCCATATTCTGTGGAAAGTGTAATAAATGATTTAAATGATGATGTGTTTTTGTCTCCAGACGGATGCATCAAATAAAAAGAATATCAAATTATTTCCTCTTGTAGTACAATATTGAAAAATAAATATACATAAATAAATGAAGGGATCCAAAATAAATTGATAGATTTTTAGGAAAATTCTAATAAATCTGCTGATGGCATGTTAGAAGCTATTAAGAAGTCTATGGACTCCTACAACTTATCATTCAATTAAGTATCAAGTCTCAGTGCAGACAATTGCAATGCTAATTTTGGCATTGATCACTCAATGTATACAAATATTAAAAAAGAAGTAACATATCTAATAAAAGGCAACTGTCAAGAACACATTGTCCATAATACAGTGAAACATGCAATGGGCTACTTGATTTAACATAGAAAATATTGTTTTAAAAATATAGTCATTTTTCGGTATTTGCTTGTAGAAGAGAAGATATTTAAAAATAAAAATGTTTCTGTTGGATGGCGAATTTCATGAGATTGAACGTCAAACCTTTTACTTAGGTGACATTTGTGCAATAATTATATAAAAATTATTCAAACTAAGTGATCAACAGAATAGGGAAGTTGTTGAAAGTTATCTACACTTTACAAGCCACATGCTTAATATATTTAATAAAACGACTGGAAGAAAATGATGTAACTATACTACATGTCTATAATATTATGGATAATTTAAGAAACGCATTAGAACAAAGAAAAACTGATAAGTACTTTGGTTATGAATCAAGATTACAAAATGGTGTCTGAGACAAATAATTACGCCCTAAATTACTTACAAACAAATCAATAAAACGTAAATCCCGCATGCAGTTGTGGACTGATACGAACTTTGAGGAGATGAAAATATTTATGGCAGTTTTATTGGCTATGGGTTTGTGTAGAGTTCCTTACATAAACTTGTACTGGAGCTAGGACACACTATACAGAAATGAATTTATATGTTCGGCAATGACCAGAGATCGATTTTTGTTGCTACTGAAATGCTGGCATGTCAGTAATATCTCAAATGATGATAGAACTGACAAACTGCATAAAATTAGAGAAATGTTAACAAAGATTACCGACAACTTTCAGGCTGTGTTAGACCCAGGTAAACATGTAGTCATAGATGAGACAATGATACCCTGGAGAGGCCGATTGGCTTTTCGTCAATATATAAAAAATAAATCTCATCGTTGTGGCCTTAAGCTATACAAACTTTTCACTCCTGAAGGTTATACCTATCAGATGGAGGTTTACACAGGCAAAAAAATGAGAACAGAGAAGTTGACCACGGTCAAAATGTAGTGCTGCATTTGATGAATAATCTAACAAACAAAGGGAGAATCGTAATAGTAGACAATTTCTATACTTCATTGGGCCTAGCAGAAAAACTTCTCTTACAAAAGTTTTTCATATGTGGTACATTGAACAAAAGAAGAAAACATTTGCCAAAGATAGTTGCTCTATCAAAATTAAAGAAAGGTCAGGTTACAGGAAAAATGAACAAAAAGTGAGTTAAAATACTGAAATGGGTTGATAAAAGACAAGTTTTAATGCTCACTACTTGCAAAAATTACGACAACAAACTTATAAATACAGGAAAACGAAAGCGAGGCACTAACGAACCATTTAAAAAACCAGGTTGTGTTCTCTTATATAATCAAACTAAAAAAGGAATAGATTTCAGTGACCAAATGTCATCATATTACACAAAATTGAAAAAAGGAGTGAAGTGGTGGAGGAAAGTCATTATGGAGTTGTTATTTGGTACAGCTCTTGTTAATGCCTGGATTGTATATAACTCGATCAATGATGGTGGTAAAATACCCAAGCGAATATTTGTGGAGAAAATTATTGAATCTTTATCAGGAAAGGACTTTGACGCTGATACAGGTAATTTTATAAAACATTGCACTGCACATCCCACGTCCTTTGCCTCACGCTACGCACCCCATACCGCATGCCATAAACCGTACACCACACTTAGTTTACAAATTATTACGTACAATAACACTCACGTAAAAACTTTAATAATAATTTTATTTGCAGAACCCGCAACAAAACCGAATAAACACCAATTAGTAAAGGGCGCGATGAAGAGAAACTGTGTTGGCTGCTACGAAAAGCTTCGAACATTTTTAACAAGTCGGCAAGCTGACAAAAAAGTTAAAAAAAATTTAACACAATGTAACGCATGCAAAAGAAACTTCTGTTTAGATTGTTTTAATTAAAAACATAAATGAATATTATTTTTTCTTTTATTTCTTCAATAAAACTTAGGCCCATCGATATCTGTTTTTCCCATCCCTAAAATATGCATAAACATCCTCTTGTTCAACGCGGCACAGGATATATAAAACCCTGTATTTTACTTTAGATTGTAAACCAAAGAAGCTATCCACGTACGCCGTCAGGATCTCTTCAATCAATTTATTAGTACTAATACTCAAAGCAAAAAAATATGTTTTTTTCTTTACATGAAGCCAAAAAAGAATTAAAGATTTTTTTAACATTACAAGGTATTATATGTCTTGTACCGCCGTAATGGTAGTTTTACGTCCAGGTGTAACACGCCCGGTACCGCAGGAATAGAAAGAATTAAAAAAATGGAACTTGGAACGTGTTAAAACAAAATAATTAACAAAATCTAACAATTAATAACAGAACGGAATAAAACCAGAATCATACACTCGCGATTTGTAAGCAAAGCTAACAACAAAACAAATATAATGGCGGGCGTATAATGCAACAAAATTACGTAGTTACGTTTCGTTTAACTTAATTTGCGTTAAAAAAATATTTTTCAAATTAATTAAAATGTTATCGCAATAAAATTTATAAAATTTTATCTCATATATATATTATATTGGAAGAAATTGTAAATGTGTGTGTTTGAAACAGTGATTATAGTGCTATATTTATGCTAACCAAAACAAGATGTCTTTTTTTTAATCTGTGTGTAATGAAACGTTGTGTGTATAACATTGTGTGTGTAACATTCTTAACCTGTTGTGGTTATACTACCATTATAATACGACTAAAAATATACACCACCAATTACGAAGACCCTATTATATCGCTATTATATACCTTCCTAAATCTGCCAATTGCTTAAAAAACACTCCAAATGTTACAAAACTGCGATTTCTTTACGTCAGCATTAAAATATAAGGTTGTTAGTTTTGTAGTAATATTATAGTTTTAATTAAAGATTTTTAAACTTTTATTTTACGCTAGTTTTCATATAAATTATGTATTGAACCGCTAAATAATTTTTTTGGATTCTATATTAAATTAAAAATTTTGTGTTTAAACAGTAAATTGTGTTATAATGAATATAATTGTAATTATAATTATTATTATTTTTTATTAAGAGTGTATCAACCCTAATTATAATGGCTAATGGTTTGTTTACTAAAATTCCACATCGAATGTGGCTGGAGTATAGTAGTGGGGAGAGTGGGGCATCGAATGACGGGCTCGGTGGCGTGATTGGTGCACGTGTTGGTTATAGTTACGCTTAGTTGGCTCGCTAGTGTCGACATATATTTTCTTATTACTATCACACAATTTTGTTCTATTTATGTTGTTTTCTTGTGTACCTTTTTCAAAAGATAAACAATAATGTCGGGTTTTATTCTAAAAAGGAAACCAATACTAAAATCAAAAGTGGCACTAAACACTTTTTTTAAATAACTACATACCTTAATTACTCACATGTTTTCAATAATTAATAAAAGCCAGATAGTCAAACTGTTAGATGAAATTGATTTTAGTTATTTGCATTAAATATTGATCACAGTATTAGACCAAAACTTTTAAAAGGCCATACTGAAAAACTACTGTTTTCAGAGTGTGATATGTGTACAATGATGGTCAAAGGCACTTTTTTAAATAACTATTTTAACTAATCTATTTGATGGTAACTCTTAAGATGAAAATGTTAAGCTTAATTAACAGTCCTACAATACAGAATTTCTATATTAAGTTCCTAATAAATGTATGATTTATAATTTGACCTTTATTTCAAAAAGTGCTTAACTGACCGCCATTGTCCCCTTTTCCCCTAATACTAAACTGACTGGTATTACCTACTATGGTCTTTAATACTGGTCAAAGCCATATTTTATTACATATTTAAATGTTGATTGTGCCAAATATGTTTCATGTATTGATCTCAATTATTGTGATTAAGCTAGAATAATAATTTTATATTTATTTGCAAAAGATTCTTAAGTAAATACTGATTTTTATTTGATTTGTGATTATTTTTCTTTGTGACCTATTTTATCAATTCTTACCCTTAACATCAAAATTTTTCACAATTCCTTCTATATATTTGGCAACAGCTAAACCTATCCTACTATCCATGTAATTTTATCCCTCAAGATTTCGGCTACAATTTCTTTATTGTTGTTATTCTGTTTTATTGAAATTTCGTATATTTATTAATATGGCAACCTAGGATAGCATCACAAACACACAAAATGAGAAAATCAATTGATTGATTCAGAATTTATAAGCAAAAACATTGAATTACATTTCAAAGTTACCCAGTCTGACTGTATGACATATTTCTAAACCAACAATCACAAGTATAGACTAAGTGTAAAAAAAATATAATACCTAATAATAAAATAGTCTTCTATTTAGTAGTATTATTATTCAACTTAATACAATAACACTATAAAAAGTACAGCATCAATAGTATGGACAACACTTTATTCTGAATGTGATTTAAAATCTTATAAAGAAACTGGGTGTGTAGAAAGTAGAATATAAACAACCTACCATTAATATTACGTATCACTCTTCCATAACTTGATAGTCTTGTCATTTTCGAGGGCTGCCGAGGCTATGATGTTCTCAGTGGGATGACAGGCAGTGCACAGTACTGTGTCAGTGTGTCCTGATAGCCTTTGAACAATTTCTTTTGATTGCAGGTTCCAAATGTACACTAGATTGTCTTCTGAGCCAGATACAATCCACTGTAAATATTATGGTCATTTTAAACATGTAAAGTATATATTCATGAAACATATAATTTTAATATAATTATTATATTACCTTTCCACCAGTGACACTGAAGTTGGCAAAAATACAATATTTCTCATTCTTATGTCCTGTGTAAGTTTTTAAACATTTTCCTCTGCTGTAGTCCCACAATTTGAGTGTGTTGTCAAGTGTCGCAGCGAGAATATATTTTCCATTTGGAGAAAATTTTACAAAAGATACAGGTGGATTGTCGTCATCTATTAGTGTTTTAAGGCACTGGCCGGATGCTGTGTCCCAGATTCGACTGTAAGTAAAAAATAAAAATATTGAGTGAAAAAGAAAATCACAAAACTAAAACCTCATATTATGTATATATGTATACATATATACATAATATGAGGTTTAGGTAGGTATAGCTGTTTTCGAGAGTCCTAACGTATCGCCTTGCACGCAGGTTAGACGACTTCCAGCCTCCCGAACAAGCCGGTTTCCGAAAAGGCTTTAGTGTAGTAGACCACATACATACGCTGCGGCAGGTTATACAGAAGACCGAGGAGTATAATCTACCTTTTTGCTTGGCGTTTGTGGACTATGAAAAAGCCTTTGATTCGATCGAGACCTGGGCTGTACTGCAGTCTCTCCAGCGGTGCCAAGTAGACTACCGGTATATTGAAGCGCTGAAGGGTTTGTACGAAAACGCCACCATGTCAGTCCGACTACAGGATCAGACCTCGAAACCAATACCTCTGCAGCGTGGTGTCAGACAAGGGGATGTTATCTCCCCAAAACTGTTCACCGCTGCATTGGAGGACCTCTTCAAGGTTCTGGACTGGAAAGGACTTGGCATCAACATAAATGGCGAGTACTTATCACACCTTCGGTTTGCTGATGATATCGTAGTCATGGCTGAGACCGTGAAGGACCTGAGTACAATGCTCGATGATCTCAATAGAGCCTCCGAACGAGTTGGTCTTAAGATGAACATGGAGAAGACGAAAATCATGTCTAATGTCCATGTTGTACCGACTCCTATTAAGATCGGAGGCTCTACGCTCGAAGTTGTTGACAGCTACGTATACCTGGGACAAACGGTCCAGTTAGGTAAGTCCAACTTCGAGAAAGAGGTCAATCGTCGAATCCAACTCGGCTGGGCTGCGTTCGGGAAGCTACGTAGAATCTTCTCGTCCAGAATACCGCAGTGTCTCAAGACAAAAGTCTTCGACCAGTGTGTGTTGCCAGTGCTAACATACGGTACTGAGACGTGGCCGCTCACGATGGGCCTTATTAGAAAGCTCAAGGTCACTCAAAGGGCAATGGAGAGGGCTATGCTCGGAGTTTCACTGCGTGATCAAATCAGGAATGAGGAGATCCGCAGAAGAACGGGAGTCACCGACATAGCCCGAAAAATTGCAGTACTTAAGTGGCAGTGGGCGGGGCACATCGCTCGCAGAACCGATGCCCGATGGGGCCAACGGGTTCTCGAGTGGCAACCACGAGCCGGAAGACGCAGTGTGGGTAGGCCCCCAACCAGGTGGTCCGACGACCTGGTGAAGGTCGCGGGAATCCGCTGGATGCGGGTGGCACAAGACCGGTCGTCGTGGAGATCCTTGGGGGAGGCCTATGTCCTGCAGTCGTCCTGCAGACGTCTTTTGGCTGATGATGATGATGATGATGTATACATATAATACCAATCTTAAAGTAATCAATCAATAGAGTTAAAAAACAAATTCTATTATAGATTCAATAAAGGTATAACATTCGTACTTGTACATTGTAAAACGATGACGCCATATTACGCTTTAACTTTATCGGACTTTATGACAACGCTAATAAAAATTTCCAACATTAAATTTACTTACTCAATTATACAAATATTTTACGACGGATATAAATATTAACGACCTACTAAAAATATATTAGTGCGTGTCTATTTCTGGTTTCATATTTTATCTATACTGTACTTTTTTATCCATACAAAAATTATAGTTAACCATAGGACATGTAACATTCAATAGGAAAAATATCAAAAGAATATGTTTGAAGTGTCCTTGAAAATAATTGGACAAAAAGTAATGAGTAAGTATGTTGTTAATTTCAGCAATGACTACAAAAAATATATTTGGTATGCATTTTTAAATAAGAATCCTTCAAAAGGCAATGTAGGAAGTATACTGAACATGGTTGGTGAGGCAAAAAGGCTGAATATATAATTTCTTATTGCTATATTGGTCACTTCCAAGTATTATGAGATAATATGGGAATAATTAAGCTTAATGAAAGATACTCATTTACTATTTAGTCAAAATTATATCCATTAAATAATACAAATAACAAGGTGTGAAGCCTATTTGGCATGAAATATATCCAGTTTTGAAAGTTTTCTATAATGTCATGTTATTAAAAAGTCTCACAGTAGTGTGGTTTAGTTATGTGTAACTATTAAGGGGCCATCCATAAAGTACGTCACACGTAAAGGGGGTGGGAGGGGGTCGACAAAGTGTGACATGGTGTGACAAGGGGTGGGAGGGCTCCTAAGTTTCGTGACATCACATTTCAAAATCTAGAGCTACTAATCGCGTAATTTGAAATATTAATTAAAATCTTTAAAACTGAGCGCGTCATCACATGAATTACTATCAATATTTAAGGAGAATACTCGGTACATGATTCTCATTCGAATTATGTAAAAAAAAGGTACTTAATTTTTGACTAAATTTCCGTATAAATAAATAAAGTGAGGACACGTTCCAAGTGTTCCAAGTGTGGACGCGTGCTAGCGGCGTGCTGATACAACACCACGCCGCCAAACGCGCGTGTGTGTTTGTGTATACCTAATCTGTAGACTGTTCACACGATGCGTAATGAATTACATAACTTTTGGTTAACTTTACTTAGAAGTTTATTAATATTTATGTTATATTAATTTTTATTTTGTCATATATAATCGTCAAATATCACGTCCTCAAGTATCGATAGTAATTCACCAGTCACCCTGTATATATTCATTAGTTTATTTATTATTTCAAATATTTGATACTATGTTCATTTCTTAAAAAAGTACTTATTTTAAATGGAAATAAAACTAATTTCGGAACTGCTGTTTTAATTTAATAATTTTTCGATGTTAAATTGCAAAACATGTGACGTCACACTAGGGAGGGGGGGGTCTCAGAAATGTGACCACCTGTGACAAGGACGGGGGAGGGCTCAAAAACTCATGAAATTAGTGTGACGTATTTTATGGATGGCCCCTAACCTGCATATGATAAAAGGATCCCTGACAATGGCAAGAAGTTTTCAAATCGATTTTAATCCAGTTTTCATCTTTCAATGGAAATGACTGATATTTAATGTATAATAATTAAACCCACTTTGCTGAGTGAGTCTGAGACTCAGTAGCATACTAAGATTGAAATCCACACCCAATACAACTCAAGGCCCCAGAAAAATAGGGGTAAAAAATGGAAATATACAATTGAGATTAATAGAGAATTCTATTCTACTGTGATTCTAATTAATTGAATATTTACAAGAAATTTGAAATAATAAAAAGATTTGAAATATCAACTTTTCATATCAATTGATGTCTTTATGTATCATACAAGTACTATCCATATAAATTTATATTCAATAATTATATGAAATTTATCATACCATAAGCCATCATAACTTGAGGACACAATAAGGCTTCCATCTCTATTAAAATGCACCGCTGAGACTGGATCTGAATGTGCTGGTAATGTCTTTAAACATTTTCCTGGAAATGAGAATAATTATTGATTAAAAACTTTCATATGAAACAAATATTCATAATATTCAAATTGGCATACAAGTTTGAAGAGATTGATATCTTAGATTTTCACCAGAACACATTTAATAAAAGCTTTAATTTTTGGATTTACTACCTGACTTTCATATTGTCTACCAATGATTATAGTAAAATGTAAAATAACAAATAACATGAAAAATCCAAAATCATTAATGTATTACTAGTATTGTAATAATTATTGTTAATTTAAATAGAAAAAGTTTTCAATACATCATAGAAGACAACTATATTATAGTAAAATATTTACCTGTTCTTACATCCCATATCCGCACACTCTCATCAAAACTTCCTGATACAATAAGGTTACTTTGGGGATTAAAATTACAACAAAATACATAATTACTATGTCCTTTTAATGTCTTCAGACATTTCCCTGAACTTAACTCCCAAACCTGAAATGAAAAGAGAATTTTAATTTTACAAAAAAACTTATGAACGAATTTTTTTTGTCACAACTCTTAAAATATACAGGGTGACTGGTGAATTACTATCAATATTTAAGAAGAATACTCGGTACATGATTCTCATTCGAATTATGTAAAAAAAATAGGCACTTAATTTTTGACAAAATTTCCGTATAAATAAATAAAGTGTTGACACGTTCCAAGTGTTCCAAGTGTGGACGCGTGCGGCGGCGTGCTGATACAAAACCACGCCGCCGCGCGCGTATGTGTGAGTGTGTGTGTATACCTAATCTGTAGGGTGTTCACACGACGCGTAATTAATTACATAACTTTTGGTTAACTTTACTTAGAAGTTTATTAATATTTATGTTATATTAATTTTTATTTTGTCATATATGATCGTCAAATATCACATCCTCAAGTATCGATAGTAATTCACCAGTCACCCTGTATATATAATTTCTATTATTTATTTAACTTTTAAGGAATATATATTTATGTATATGTGGAATGTCCATAATGAGCTGAAATTTCATAAATATTTTGTTAAATATTATTAGTAGGTCTGCATCTCAAATTTATTTAATATTTCTCAGCAATACTGAGATTGTAGGTAATCCTTAAAGCTTATCTGGTATGTTGACCTGGTTAACAAATTTATGTGCACAGAGGCCTATCTCTGTCAAGATAAAGCTTCACACATCATAGACATTTATATTAAAATTCTAAAAGTATATATTAATTTGAAAATCTAATTTCAAATTAAATTATACTAAGAAAAAAAATTCAATAAATATACTATAATATTAAATATGCTTCCTTTATAAATTAAGTACAAAGTTGATTATTCAAATCTGAACTAATCAAGATATACAGCACTTATTTAAAGATATATATATTACCTTCAAGGTTTTGTCGTCACTGGCGCTGACAATCAGCCTGCTATCGGAGGACCATGCAACATCACTGATGCCCATTTTGTGTCCCGATATTGTCTTCTCAAATTTGCCATCATAAGCCCCCCACACCTTAATAAGTTTGTCAGCAGCTGAAAAAGTATGTCATAATATAAATACAAAAAATATCTATAGTAGATGATGAATAATAAAATGTTAGCATTAATAATAAAAAAAAACTATTTTGGGTATTTCTTTCATGTCCCAAAAAACTGTATATACATAGGTTTGCTTTGAAATGAGTAACAATACATGAAGTACTAATTTAACTTGCCTTAAATGCCATGACCCAGATGTAAAGTGTAAATTTGTGTTGACATGTTACATATTAAATAGTACATCTAACATACATTTAAAACTTTTTAAATATTATCTAACCTGGATTTACTTCACCGAATATCATTAAAACTTTTATTTCATATAATTAACGTATGGTATACTCAAAAATATAAAAATATTTTTGACCCAATCGAAAGCACTTTTTGGTGTTAATATTCCATAAATTTGAACAAAACCAAATATGTAAAATTATCTTATAACACAGATTGACAAACTTTATTTAAACATACAAACAAACTTTTATCATGTTATATTATATTAATTTTATCTATTATAGCTAGTACTCACAGGAACTCGCGAGCCATTCTCCATTAGGACTGAATTTAACGGACGATACGGCCTTTGTGTGTCCCGCGAGAGTAAATTTAAGAGTGTAATTCGGCTTCTGAAAACCAATATTAAAATTAGCGCCAAATCGCACGTGCTCAAACTAGAAGTTACATAAACATGTGCGAGCCGCCAGATTGATGTAAAACGGTTTAATGTTGAGCAATTTTTCAAAAAACTTACTGCTACTGACGACTTGTTCGATTGCGAGGAACTCTGTGATAACGAATTTGGACCGGATAAGTTAGTTGATGGCCCGCCGTGTGTTTGGTGTGCGGTAGGATGGCCTGGCCCGGGTCCTAGCGGCACCATGTTTCAACTTTCGACGCACTTGTTTAAACTTTGTTTCTCAACCAAAACAATCACTTATACGAACTGTACAAGAAACTAAACGAGAGTTTTCGATAAAAGAACGACAAAACTTATCACTCACTAAAGCAGTTTCATTTATTTCAACGTAAATTTTCAAGGAACATTCTAAATCCGAGCGTCCCAATGCGTGCATTTCGCGAAGAACGAACAGAGATGCCAACCTAACAATAAAATCCCTCCCGCGTTCCTTTTACAGAACCCGACTGCCAACATAACATTACACACATGGTTTTCCTTATGAATAATGGGTGGGTAACATTTCCAATATTATTTGTTTAAATAAAAATCTATTTAAAAAAAGGAATTGATACATTGTTGTTTAATTTTCTACATTCAATTTCTATGCAAAGTTTAAATCAATTTCATATAACATAAAGAATATGTAGTATAATTATATAAATAAATATTAGTATTATCAGATTTTAACTTTATGCAAATAATTTCAATATTTTACGGATTTTTTTATAATAGTACAAACAAGTTATTTTTCTTTTAAATTGGTTATTATAAAACAAACGAACTATATTAAAATTTTATTATGGCAAGGAACATTTGACCCCTTTGACATATACAAGGTTAAATCTATACAAATTTTGATTTGCCGACACTAAAATTTATTTGAATAAAACAATTTTCTTTTCATAATATTTAAATAAAATGGCTCTGAACAAACTCAGTATCGATGCTTTAAATTTAAGTGGAAAACGAGTTTTAATGAGGTGAGAATTTAAATTTATCAAGTACTTAATCTTTTTACTAGGCAGCAATGAATAAAATATATATTAAAACTTTCAGGGTGGATTTTAATGTTCCCCTAAAGGATGGTGTTATTACTAACAATCAGCGTATTGTGGCTGCATTGGATTCCATTAAGTATGCCTTAGACAAGGGAGCTAAATCAGTGGTACTTATGTCACATCTTGGACGACCTGATGGTCAAGCAAACCTCAAGTACACATTGAAACCAGTCGCCGAAGAGCTTAAAAAACTTCTCAATAGGTAATACATAATTCACAACAAAGTTTTTAAATATTATCTAAATGTTAAGCATTATTTTAATTTAAGTAAGATCAAGTATAGTACAGTCATATGTTTTATTGAAATGTATGTTATATTTCAGGGACATAACTTTCTTGTCGGACTGTGTTGGGTCAGAAGTTGAAGGGGCATGTGCTGATCCCCCAGTTGGTTCAGTAATATTGTTAGAAAATCTTCGCTTCCATGTTGAAGAGGAGGGCAAAGGTGTAGATGGCAGTGGAGCAAAAGTAAAAGCAGACCCAGCGAAAGTGAAAGAGTTCAGGTCTAGTTTACGCAAACTTGGAGATGTTTACATCAATGATGCTTTTGGTATGACAAATATTATTTAAGTAGGTATTATATAAATAAAATAAAATATATTTCATATTTTAAATAATGAATAGGTACTGCTCACAGAGCACACAGCTCTATGATGGGAGAAGGTTTTGACCAGAGAGCCAGTGGTTTCTTACTGAAAAAGGAGCTCCAGTACTTTGCTAAAGCTCTTCATGAACCGGAGAGGTGATTATAACTATTTTTAAATAATTTACTGTAATAAAAAGAATTAATTAATAATTTCTATTTCACAGACCGTTCCTTGCTATTCTGGGAGGGGCAAAAGTAGCAGACAAAATTTTGCTTATAGAAAATCTGCTTGACAAAGTTAATGAGATGATCATCGGAGGAGGCATGGCGTACACCTTCCTCAAGGAAACCCAAGGCATGGCTGTAAGTAATATATTTGATATTTAAAAAAGGTTTTTCTTATATATTTAATTACATCTTATGGAAAACAAAGGTAAAAAATAGTTGTCTAAATAATATTAATAAAATCATTTATATATAGAAAGAGAAGATACAGATAGAAGATGGATGGGCCATAGTTAAAGGCATGAAGTTCTTTTAAACTGAGTAATAGTTTAAATCGGGCATAATTAGTTTAGGGACTAAATTATAGCACCGAAATAATAATTAATTCAATTTCACAAATTAATTATCCAAAGAGTCAAGGTTAAGCAAGCTAAGTACAACAAGTGCACATAGCCACGCCAGAGCCAAGACTGCTCTTCGAATAATCGTGCACGTCTTTTAAACAGCTAGTAGTGAGGAGTGAGGCCATCGAATAACGTGATTGGTGCACGTATTTTGTACAGTTTCGCTTAGATGGCGTGCAGGCGCCGACATATGTATGTAACTATCTCCAAAACATAACGGAATTTTGTTTCATGTCTATGTTCTAAACTTGTTTCCTAAATTAATGTATGAAGCGTTATGTGCTATGAGGAAACAATGTATGCTTATACATCATAATTTTTAGATTGGCAACTCTCTGTATGATGCTGATGGTGCTAAAATTGTAGCAAAACTTCTTGAAAAGGCAGCCAAAAACAATGTCAAAGTACATTTACCTGTGGACTTTGTGACAGCTGATAAGTTTGATGAGAATGCACAGGTAAAATTTAAATTTAAAGTCTTATAATTTATGGCAACATAAGATTATAATAATCAGATTATTTCCGAAAATTATACTTATGTTTTTAGTAGTTTTTATAGTTAATAATTATTATAATTTCATAGGTTGGCTCAGCCGATGTTGCATCTGGTATACCTGACGGATGGATGGGTCTTGACGTTGGACCCAAGTCTAGAGAATTATTTGCTGAACCTATCGCCAGAGCCAAAGTCATTGTATGGAATGGGTAAGCAAATTTACTCAACATTCAATTATTACTTTTAATCTTTGTTCTAATATATTTACTATTTATAGACCTGCAGGTGTATTTGAGTTTGAGAAATTTGCTGGCGGAACTCGTGCTCTCATGGACGGAGTGGTGAAGGCTACTGCTAATGGAACTGTCACAATTATTGGTAAGTTAGAAAATTTCCTATTTCCTTAATTAGATTTCCTATTTAAAACAACATTGGCTGTATAGAAGCAGTCTTTGCTTAAAATATTTCACAATGTCTATGGCCATAGATACTAAATACTGGCACTTAAAAAAATAGTTATCAGTGAGACTAATAAATGTTTTATTCTATAGGTGGAGGGGACACCGCTACTTGCTGTGCTAAGTGGGGAACCGAAGACAAGGTTTCTCATGTGTCCACTGGTGGGGGCGCTTCACTCGAACTTCTTGAAGGTATGTCCATAAGTATATTTAAATATTTTAAACAAATAACAAATACTTATGATGTTAAAGTGAATACATAAAATCAGTCTTTGAATTTCATAAAGACCTTCCCTCAAAGTTTTTCTAATCTGCCAAAAGAATAATAAAGAATTTCATATTGAAATATTGTCCAATCACCTTATTGTAATTTGTATGTTTTAAAATATATCTATCTAACATCTTTACATTGTAAGTTAATCTCATTAACATTATACTTTGGTAATTATTACAATATATGTTATTTTATTAATAACTATTACAAATGAGGTTCTAAATAACATTAATCCTGAAAATGTCGTTCGTTAAGTTATTATCAATGATCACATTTCAACTAAAACATAAATATTTATTTTATTCTACCTACTAGCAAACTATCCTTTCACTATAAAAAATCCAGAAGATTCGTAAAAATGAAAATACAGAATTGAAATTGACTTATCCCACACTCTCTTTTCGTCGAACTTTACTTGTCACAACAGTACAGAGTTGTATATATCCCAATATCGACTGATAAAAATATATTCGACATACGTCTTTCAAAGTTCACTATCTGGGATACTGTGGTTTTTGTTGACGATTTTAGAATTCCTGTGATCCGAGCTTAACTCTGACTTTCGTGCTTAGAACTCTACTGAATTTATTTCTAATCTACTGTCGCTTCCCTATAGATAATATTGGTAATATTCCCTCGTTGTGCAAATTGATTTTTGTCCTACCTATTTCTAAGGAGAGTGTATTCTTACAATTATAGGTATATCGCAATAATCTTTCTCCCGCCTTTCTCACTCTTTTCAATCCTCCTTCTCTCCTTTTTTAATTTTTTAAAGGGAATTTTATATTCCGCCCGAATATAAATTTCCCTTCATCTTGAAGTTTCTGTTACAAATTGAACAACACATGAGCCGTTCCCATTATTATATACCAAATTTGGATGGGCGATACACGCCAATGAATACTGTCATAGCATAAAAATCTATCTATCAGTCATTTGTTTAGAAAATATTGCGGATCTCAGATCTAGTATAACTTACCTTATATACATAGACAAAACGGAGGAATACCTTCAAAAACTTATTCGAGCGTATTCAAACGTAAAATTTAGTTTATAAATAAATTATCCGTATAGAAAAATCACTGCGTTTTCACATGCGAGTATACACATGTATATTTATAGTAAAGTTAAAATAAATGAGTATTATTCATATATTTTAAGCATCTGTGATAAATTATATTTTGTTATGGGTGAAATTTTAAAAAACTCTTATAACCAACTAGCTTTTGCCGCGACTCCGTCCGCGTGGAATAGTGACTTCCGGCAAATTTTTGGTTCTTCCCACATAGTTCCCGTTCTTGCGGGGTTTTCGGAATGGTCGAGTTCCCGTAGAATTTTCAGGATAAAACCTATGTTTTTTTTTATTCTTAATGAAGTACTCTTAAACAACAACATATTAATTTGTTTATTTGAATAAAGATTAATATTATTATGTTGATACAACTTAAACAAATTATTTCGACCAAATTAGGTACCATAAAAACGGTTTTTGTGAGTTAATCTTAAAAGATAGACATATACTGTCGCGGACTGTTTTTTAGATCATTAAAAGAGCTAGTATTCTTTAATACATATTTTTTGTGTATCTTGAACCGTTTTCACGGCGCACGCAACGGAAGGCTTCAAAGATGAAATAATTTCTCCCGTTTTTTACACATTTACCACTATATCTTTGCACCTATTGGTCGTAGCGTGATGTTATATAGCCCACAGCCTTCCTCGATAACTGGAATATCCAACACAAAAAGAATTATTCAATTCGAACCAGTAGTTTCGGAGATTAGCGCTTTCAAACAAACAAACAAACTCTTCAGCTTTATATTATTAGTATAGATATTAATTATATCTTTTTAACTTACACTATAGATTGCAACCTATTAAACCTTTTAAAAATATTAAACGTAATAAATATTTTTCTTTTGATATAAAGATGCGAATTATTGTCTGATAAAGACGTTACAACGTTTCGATCAATATCAAGTTAATTAAAATCAAGTTAATTAAAATCGATGCCAGATCGTGGCAAACACTTATTTATATAAGTATAATATTCCGTTCAACTTATACAGAATTTTGAAATATGTGTCACTAATTACACCAGTTGTATTTTGACTTATTTCCCCTTCAAATCTTTCTTATATTATATTTGTAAGTTATAAAATGCTGGAGACTATAATCTAAGTCTGTACTCTTAATTTATGAAATCTATTTAGGCCAAATTTAATTTAATTATTAAAACGGTTTACTTATAAGAACGTTAAATATTATCTAAGACGAGAAGATATACATACATATATAGTTGTCGAGTTTTCTTTTTGTTCAAAAATCAGTCTCACTTAAAAATCTTATTTATGTGTCTATTAGTTGTTTCTTTTTTTCTAAGTGATATAATATTTTAAGCTTTACAAATGGAAATACTGAAAAAAATAAAAAAGACTTAACATCATATGTTAATAAAAATATTTTAAAATTTGGAATATTTCTATATGTATTACATAAGTATAATTAATATTTTTAAACACTTTACCATTGAAATTATGTTTCATAAATTTCTTGCAAGTAAATAAATAGTACAAGGCCTGCAGTTATCCGCAAAGTCGTATACTGCACTCTGCAGTGGGTCAGGTCCTAGGTTAGAAACGATTAAGTCAGCCACAAACACGATTTGATTAATGATTTTTGGATTACCAACGTGCAGTTTTAAAATATACATCTGTATAAAGACGTAACAAAAATAACGTGGTATAATGAAAACGTTTGAACAATACATTGAGTGATGTACTAGAAAATTTTAATTAATGATTGAGACTTATACATATATACATGTATGTAAAGTATTTGCACATTAAATTTGCAAACATTTGATTTATTTTAAGTAGATTTTAAGGGTAAAATGAAGGTAGGGGTTTACTCTTCAACACTAGCTAAAGATAATTGAATGCATTAGACTCGTGGAAGAGGTTCGATAGAATTAGTAAAACTATTGAAGTATCATAGTAAATAGGAATATATAAAAAACTGGCTTTCAAATTGAGGACTGCTACTTTTTGAGATTCGCTTACGAATTCGTTGCAAAAATATATATACAGGGTGACTGGTGAATTACTATCGATATTTGAGGACGTGATATTTGACAATCATATATGACAAAATAAAAATTAATATAACATAAATATTAATAAACTTCTAAGTGAAGTTAACCAAAAGTTATGTAATGAATTACGCATCGTATGAACACCCTACAGATTAGGTATACACACACACACACACTCGCGCGCGGCGGCGTGTTGTTGTATCAGCACGCCGCCGCACGCGTCCACACTTGGAACACTTGGAACGTGTACACACTTTATTTATTTATACGGAAATTTTGTCAAAAATTAAGTACCTATTTTTTTTACATAATTCGAATGAGAATCATGTACCGAGTATTCTCCTTAAATATTGATAGTAATTCACCAGTCACCCTGTATATAAAGTGATAATTTATTTTAACTAATATGAGGTAATTGTATATATAAATAGTCTTTAAATGATATTATATATTTAATTATTTTGTCGATTCTTTACAAAATCTACACGGCATCTTGGTTTTAACAAATATTGAAATTAAATGCCAAGTTCCTCATTAACGGTTTGTGCCGGTGAGAAAAACTAGGTGACGATGAAGATTTATGCTTTTACTACTTTTGTTACGCCGAGTCGTTGACGATTACTTAGCATTTCTTTGGGATGTAAATAAAAACTCTTTCATTGCCTTACTTAAGTTTAATATTTTTGTTGTATTTTTATATCATTACTATTATATTTTTGCAGGTAAAGTACTTCCAGGCGTCGCCGCACTGTCTGATGCATAAAAGTGATCGTAATTAATTCTTAACCGCCTCTTAAGGCGTAGAAAGATTATTATAAAAAATGTGTGAAACTCGTGGTTTTGAAGTTTCTTGTATATCGAATAGATTATTTATTAATAAGAATAAATGTTGAATCAAGTTATTTGTGATTTTATTTAAACCATTTTCTAATATCAATAATTTCATAATACTATAAGTCGTGTTAATTTTTACAATATGGATTATGTATGTGATATATTTTATTTTTGAATGGACTTGTACTAGATGAACTCATTCTGCGGATCGTTAGTCGTTTTGTCTCTCGCCGTTGATCTTTGACTACAGCGTGTACCGTACGCCCTACCTGTTATCTACTCGCCCTATTGGAAATATACTCTATCGATCTGACCTCCGCGCAAGCGTCCTTAACATTACCCATATCAAATACAAGCTATTCCAACATCTATTTTAATTTACGATTAGTGAGGTTACTTAAATTATTATATTAAAATAACTATATTAAAGGATAGTCTCATTTTTTATCAAATACAATTCATTATAGTGATAACCGGACCAATATCTTACGTGAACTTTGGTCCAATTGGCCAAGGTTGGCGCATGCTCACCATAGAGGTGTTTCGTAAAATATTTTCCAAGTGTCAGTGACGCAAAAGGTATCGCTTGCCGCCGGTTTACCGGCAGGCGCTAAAATGCAATTATCGCTATTAACGCGTTATTATTGAATAAATAAAGCAAAAGATAAATAGATTAAATAAAAATTTGATGTCAATTGTTGTTTAGTGAGTATGTTTTAATATATAGGGAAGGTTGTTTTAGGTAATTATCTAAGGTGAGTCCGTGCAACGAATGCTTGTTATTTTCCTGCATAACGTTTATATTTCACATGAGCTCAGTAGATGTAAATAGCACCTTAGGGTTATTGTAAAAAGGATATTTTTAACTTGTCATTACCGAGTATGTGAGGGAACGGAAATGATTCACCAGTGCCAGCCGGCAGGATTGCTTTAAAAATGTACTTAAAACGTTCAAAGTGAATAATACACAGCACAGCTTTCCTCTTTAATTAATCAAGACCTTTTACACTGTTGAAATATCTGATATTTGTCACTTTTTTCTCTTAAACATTAATTATAGTTTTATATTTAAAATATCACTCAGCTTTTGTATGCAGCAAAAATACACATTTTTAGCATAGGTACCTATCGCAGATATAATTCGAAAGGTGGCTGGGATTTTTGGATTGTAGCCTGTAAATTAATATATAATGAAACGAAACAAAGAGAGAAAGAACATGTTGAAAAAACGAATATTGACCTATATATGTTTAATCTATGGAAAAAAAATACTTTAAAGAATAGCTTAAAAAAAATATGTAGGTTCTTTTTGTTAAAACATCAAAAGATGTTAGATGATGAAATATTTAGTGAAATTCCAAATTAATAATAATCGTTATAATATTTCAATTAACAAATTATAAATTTTAAAATATGAAACCATAGGACATAAAGAGCTTTAAAATTGTGAACGTAATATTGAGGGATCAATTATTACAGCGTCGTTACATGCCATATATTATTTTACTACATTTACCCTTTAATAACATACTCGTGTTCCAATACTTAAATCCGCTTTCGTTATATGTAAAATAAATGTCCTTATAAATATAATTCCAATGATTAATTCATATTGGATTATACTATTGCATTGTATTATATATTAAGAATATAATATTTTACTTTGTTTCGATCAATTATTATAAAAACAATAATTTCAAAAATATCTTCAATACCAAAAATAATATCTATGTAAATGTACTTTAAAAATAAATTGAAATTAATTTGCGATTTTTTTATTAATGATAACATAAAAGAAAAAATAAGATGTAGATAAGAATGCTGTGACATTTATGTTAAAATCAAAAAAATTTCAAGGAATATTTTGAAGATAAGTACCTTTTATTATGATTCATACAAAGATGTACAAATTAAAAAACTAATAATTTATAGCAAAATAATTAAAGTGAAACGTTTATATAAAAAGATTTAATAAATAGAAAACAACAGATCTGTGTAATGGTGTTACTGGGCCCTAAATACCTAACAACTTCTACAGGTGGCTGGGAGCTAACAATCATCACATAACAATCGCAGCATTTTGGGAGTTTGTGGTCATTAGAGGTGTTTTGAAAGCACTTCAATTCCCCTTACAAATTATACGTTGCAATTATCTAATGAATTTTTTGTCTGTACGACCTAAACTTTTATTATATTTATGAAATTTAAATAATTGATATTTTTGCAGTAAATTGCTATTTCAGTATATTAAAAAACATTCAGCCCTATTACGTAATGGATATAAAAGCTTTAAAAAATTATAGAATTTGGCAGCCATAGACGGCAATAATATGATTGTCACAGTAATGAATAGAAGAGTGTAAGATATATTTTATTATTTCGTCGTAAACAAAAATATAATTTTGTTACAAAAAAAAAACATTTTTTTTTTCTGGGTTCTTCATGGATTAATATATAGTAAAATACTTTTTTAAATATTCATATGTCCTGATCTAATATATGTAGGTGGAGTAATTTTAAAATGATTATATTTTATTTCTGATTATAATTCCTTAGTTATGACTTATAATATTCGATATACAATATTATATAACATGACATGTTTATACGTCTTATTCATATTTTAAAGTGAAAATCTAAAGTTCAGGTCAAATTAAAAACAATTACATTCACGAAGGATGCATTTTGCTGGTCCATAAATATGTCGCTTTGACGTCAAGTGTTTTTTTATTCATAAAAGCTCTCAAAGCCTTTGTAACCTTTGCTTTTAAACGCCTCATTATACACGAAGCAAGTGCCATTTTATGAACACTTGCCTTAAAACGTTTGAATATGGTTTGAATACATTGTATCTAATTTGTAAATATTTAGAAAGCGAAAATATAATTCGTTGAAAATACATTAAGGACCTGCAAAATATATAAAAATTTTATGTAGCGGGATAGGAAAAATCATATGTCGGCATTAGTCATTTGAGGCAGCAACTTTTATGTGTTTATTATATTATAAATACTTCAGACTTAGTAAATAACCCCATTATTCGAAACTCCATGTGTATTTACATACCTATATACAAAGATAAATGTTACTTACTCGTATCAACAATTAAAGGTATCTTCAATATGTATCTATGTGAAATGTCTCATAACAAAAAGATCATTATTTTTATTTTGCAGTAATAATTATAAGCAATGCCTGATTGGACGTGGTTGGTCGCTGCGGCGCTGTTTGGAGCGTTCAGCGCCCTTTCCGTGCCGCTAGTAGTGGTACTTTACTTCATAAGACCCTTCGAGAAGAAACAACCCGTCGAAGAGGAATTCACCATACCTGTTACTTTACCTCCAGTGAGTTTTATTATTCATATGACCCTATCAACCTGTTTGAAACGAAAAAGGCTGTCAACAGAAAATTCTTAATTCATGACCTATGGATTTATAAGAACACTTGCTATCTTTTCTTTAGATTGAGTAGCGTATTTCTAAGTTTATATAGTTTTTGGCGCTAATGCTTATTAGGAATTACCGTTTCTGAACAATTAAAAAATGCAACTGCATTTCAAGAAACCTTCATAGGACTGGCTAAAAGGAAAAAAAGGACAAAAAGTCTGCAAATTTAAAATAAAATTTACTGAACATACTGTATTTGAATATTTTCAACATAATGTTAGTTTTCTTGTAGACAAATTATCTAAAAATTCCAGGAAATTACCAATTACCTATCAAAATTTGGAGGGACAGCGTGTGTTCCTAGTTTTATAGTATGTAACTTGTTTAACGCTCACATAAAAGGAACATAAAAGAATATACTTTATCTCCAAGGCATTTAGTACTCGGACTATAAAGAAAACATACTGAATACAGCCATATATTAAGACGAATCGTAGAATGACCCATTTTCTTCAGCCAAGAAAAAGTTAATTTTGCGAAATGTGAATGAATTTCCCGTACCTATCTGTAAAATTTGAAAGAACGTAGATTTAACTAGCTCCTCTTATTTGTGTGGTATAAGCAAGCAAAATCAACAGTAAAAAGTTAGTCTGGTTTCGTAAGAGTAGTTTCTTTCGAGATATCTTAATAGATAGTGCGTTAGATGTGATGTAGATAATACTACAAATATTAATAGAATCGGCAGTTTAATTTCCTCCTGGCTTTGAATCCCTCCTGCCTTTAATTCTTTCCCAAATCCATCTCCCTGATTTTTCCTTCCTTATTTCAAGAAGTTCCCATAGGCACAATCCAATTATTACGATTATTATCTATGATAGATGTTCGTCCCTATTCCTTGCGTTAACTATGACTTTAAACCATTTCATTTATGTTTCTTGTAATACATCTTTGAAACCTTCATGAGAACAAGAACAACGAAGTATTTTCGATTTTGCTCAATGAGGAAAAGATCTTTTGATTCCCCCATCTCAAACATCTTAATGGCACGCTCGAAGTAAACAAATGTAAAAGTGAGCGGACATTATTGGCCTAAATTAGCCAATTATGCTGTAGTTATAAAAACTACACTAAAACGTTGTTACTAATACAGTGTTTATTTCTCAAAGATGTCTAAATTCTCATTAACTATGTTTTTTTTTACTGAAGCCAATAAAGAAAAATTGCAAGAGCTACTGCCTTTATTGCGCTTTTAGTCTAGGGTTTTGGTAACATCAAATTATTTTTATTACCTACACACTAAAATAGTTTCAATATAACATATAATATATCATGACACTTCATGCCTCCAAATGTGTCAGAAAAAAGGATCTCACAAATTGATAGACAGATCCAATAAATGTTCTTTTCCTTTTAATGTATAAAAGGGAAGTTTATGAAAAAAAAATAAGTACAAGTTTAACTGAAGCGTAGTATGTAATTAATGAATTTCTTTTTCGTCATTGATCACGGCTTATCGTTTCTGCCTACACGACATAACACTGCTTTCAAAGTAAGATTTATCGGTGAATGCTTATTTATTACAAGGACATTTTACTTTTATGTTATTTTTTTCAAATTGTTTTCATCAAAGTCTCTAATCACGAGTTGTGAGAACATTTAATAAATAATTGCCTTAAAAATCTTGTTACTAAAATATAAAAAAAGAAATCTTTCAATAAATAACGATTGTAAACAAAACAAAATATTCTGTGTTATCTTCACACAAGAGCCATTTCAATAATTCCCACTTATTTTTGAGGGTCGTAAAAAATGCTTTGCAACAAATTTACTACCGACTCACATAAAAGCGTAAAATGAGAAGTGGTCGTTATTTAAATTCCTATGCGATATAAAGTGAAACATAAAAATGACAAATAATATTAGTATTATAATTTTAAAATGTATGCTTTGGTATTGAAATAAATGTAATAAACATTATAAGAGAAAGGTGAAGGTACGAGTGCTTGTTGTTTTTCGTAGAAATACTATATAATGAGTTTTGATAAAACTAAAAGTGAAAATCTACACATCAAAATAACTTATAGGCTTTGTATAGTTTCTGCGAGATCATGGCCAACAGGGAATAGTTTTGTTAAATGTAAATTGTAAAGTAGTTTGATTACCTTCTCTATTTTAAAAACACATTGTTTAATTTTTTCTGAAAACAGTTTTCAGGTCCATGACAACGAAATCGTAGCTATAATTACTTACTTCACTAAAAAAAGCATTATTTTTTTATATTTACAAAAAAAACAACGAAACAAGATATTAACAAACACGAAACGGGAAGTAATTTTGAAGTAAAAAAAAATGTTTCCTTATCCCTGTAATTTGGGGTCACAATTAGAACACGCAATTAGTCAAAATTTATTTTATATTTCGAAATGTTGAGTGATTATTTCAACCGTTAATATAATAAGGATTGTTTCAACTAATAATTTTTTATATTAAAAATAAAATCGTCTGAAAATTCATTAAAGGTTTGTCTTATTATTTACTTTCAATAGGAAATCCTTAATGAGCTGACAAGAGGCGCGGGGAGTACACCTGAGGGTGCTTTAAACGCGATGCTGCAGTTCATCTTCCAACAAAGTACAGCTGATACTCGCTGGCTGCGGAGACGAATGGCCACTGAACTCTCTGAACTACTGGCTAAGACTTCTTCGGGAAAGATATTTGAATCTCTAACGGTATTCAACCAGACCCATAATAATGTATTACTTGTAGTACTTTATTCTCTTCTAATATCTACGCGAAATATTCCTTTAGTTTATAATTGGTTTTAAAAATATTTCTTCATACAATAATCATTTTGATTAAACCTGGTCTAAAGGAACGTTTCTTTTACTTATCTTCTATATATATAAAAATGGATTGCTGTTCCTTAGTCTCGCTAAAACTCGAGAACGCCTGAACGGATTTATCTTATCTTAGTCTTGAAATGTTCGTGGAGGTTCAGGGAAGGTATAAAAGGTGAAAAAATTGATTCATTACTGGGAAAACCATAAAAACAGCCCTTTTCTATTTCCCATACAAACGTTTTTTTTTGACATTAGATTTGACAACTAACTAATATGTCATACATTCTATCGCACTTCAAAACACGGAGATTTATGGCTTACAGGTAAACTCCAAAAATATAAATAAAAAAACGTAATAGATATTTCTTGATTATAGGGCGATACGAAGTTCGCCAGGTCTTCTAGTTTGTAATAAAACGCTCGTCGCGTTGACAATATTTGGAAGCTTACTTAACAATTATTTTTATGTTTTAATTAAATTATCCTACTTCATTAGCTCCGTTCGTTGGAAGTGGGAACAGAGTTTCCCAGCATCACAAACCTTCGTCTTGTAAATGGTGACCTTGAAGACGATGGTGCGAGGTTGAGATCGTTAGACTTGAAGTTTGACCTCGCTTACGACGGCAGCTTCAGAATAGAAGTAGACGCGATCATGTTACTAGGAAAAGTGGCTAACATTTCTATAACTGGTACGTTGTATGAGATTATTTTATATAAATTTAATCTATAATTTGTAGTTAATTTAAAAATTTGTTGTAAGTTTGTCCAAATCCAAGTTCACATTTATGCCAAAATTTTTGCTACGGTTTTGTGACAGAAATGTAAATATATAACAATATTTTGTATTCAGTCGAGAGTATAAGTGGCAACGTCCGTGTAATGTTTCGTCGGACTCCTTACACGCATTGGGCTCTGGCTTTCGAAGCTCCTCCGCGACTAGAGCTTCGGGTTCGAGGACGGTTCCAAGGAAGACAGCTCAAGCCACGGCTAGCGGCACTGGTCGCTGCACATATACGACGAGCTGTAGCCCAAAGACACACACTACCAAACTACAAAATACGGTAGAGTATCATTTTGTAGTATTATACCGAAACTATTGTTTGTTTTTATTATATTTTTTGCTTATGATGGCAGTAACACGAAGGAAAAGCTCATGGTTTAATTTGAATGTTGGTATTATTTTGAACAATTTGTAGATGCATACTGTGTAGTCTAAATGATTTCCTGCAGAATAAAGATTGGAAGATCTTTTGAATAAATTTTCATGCTAAATAGGAAGGAACTTAAGATTATATTCTAGTAACTTAACTGAGAACTTTATATGAAACCCATTCTTATTCAGGTATAAACCGTTCTTCCCAAAATCTGAGCCGGGCAGCGCAGACGGTGAAGACGGTCCAACGCCCCACGGTCGGCTGACTGTCAGACTGGTGGAAGTGACACGTCTACATTGGACCGGTAACAATGGAAACGTTCGCGCAGCACTAGCTGTGGACTCGCATGGATGGGTAAACATTAAATAAAATTGAGAGATCTTGTTGAAACAAGATAATCATAAATCATAATGAATTATGCAATGTAATTTTCGAATAGAAATACAGGAGTTACAATACTAAACGAAAGTGAAAAAAATAGTGATAAGACAAGTGAATGTCAACATTTATCTTAATTTACAAATGTAAATTAAGTAAACGAAAATTCGTATAAATAAAGTATTGTCAATTGATCATATTTTCGTATAACATAAATTTCTTTCATGAAATAAGGCATTGGACCTTCACTTTGAAGAAATTTATTAAGTGTTTTTGCTGCTATTTCTTTTACTAATCTATATATATAACTAATAAGATAAATTGAAAGATATTATTTGAAAGAATTAACATTATTTCTGGTCAATGTCCAGGTTTCACTTCGACGCGGCGTGCTCGTTCTGGACATAGTATTACCAGCAGTCAGTGGTCCACTTGGACTAGTCTGCTGTCAAGGGGTTGGAGCTGTGCTCGTTGACACAGTTGTGCCAATGTCCCCTGCATACAGAGCAGATCTACGCCGCGATGATGTAGTACTAGCAATTGATAACAAACCTGTCAACAATGTTGCACAGGTAAATATAGATATATAATTCTGATAGTTAATCTCGCAACTTTTAATGACTATAGTCATATTTATAGGTTGGAAAACTTCTACGCTACGTAGAACGTCGTGCGGTGACTGTTCGCGTTAAACGAGGCGGTTTAGTTGGAACAACCAGGAGGGATGAGGAGCCCCGAAGACTTCGAACTAACTTCTCATTCAGACGAGTTTCTGAGGTCATGGAAGGTGTCCGTCTTCAAGGCATGAGAGCTACAGTCTCTAAAAATAACTTGACTGTAAGATAAATTGATTAGCATTACTAAATATTAGTAACCCGATTTAAGAAAGATATTTTCTTTCAGGAAACCGAATCACCTTCAAAGTCACCAGAACAAGCCAATGATACAGAGACTCCGGTAAAACAGAAAACAGATCTGCCACGACCCGTTTCGAAAGCGTCAGAAGCTATTGGACCTGCGAACTTTGGTTTGCGTAAACGTAGATGTTCTGTGGAGAACAAGTCCTCGGATAGTTCAGCAGGAAGTACGCCTCCAGCCTCTGGTGCTAGTACACCACTCCGCCAAGCTACTGCTATAAACAAAACAGTCAAACATCCAGATATACCTGTTATAAGAACGGACTCTTCGGAGTGTAAAATATCAGAGAAGGCGGAAACAGAAGAAGAGGAACTATTCGAAACGGGCGGCCCGAGACAGAGCGAGCACGTAGAAATTTGTCAAATGTTTTGGACAAAGAGCGTACAAATAAAACCTATCATTCCATTCGATGAGGAAACAGAATTCAAATTGAACGAGAATCACAAATATCTCAACATAAACGTCTGGGCAACTGTACCGGGTGAGAAGGACGAAGTGCTGTTAGGATATCTGAATATTCCTCTAGCGGCGTTGTTGAGCGAATGTCAAGACTCCACGGTTCCCCATCACATGAAGCGGTATCAGTTCTTACCTCCGGACGTCGACATCAAGTTCAGGTTGGTAGAATCGGAGCTGTTATAAAATCATAACATAATGAGATCTAAGATTTTCGCGAGTTTTATTCATTTAAATGAAACTAATATTTTTCGGATTATACTACTTGATTTTATTTTTATAAAAAAAAACTACATACTCCAGACGTTTCCGCTACATTACAGCAACCGTGATCACGGGCAGACGAGATGTGCAGATATGGTCGCATAATATGTATAATCCGAAAAATGTTAGTTTCATTTAAATATATAGTATTTAATACATTATAATGTTACTAATGACGATGAATGTCCAGCAAAAGTCACAAGCTGTCATCCCATGCTGGTTTCGAGCCGTGTCTATGTTTTGGAGACGCGTTAGTCTGGTGGGAGTGGGAGGGCAGCACCCCCCGCGCTCCCCGCCCGCGTCCCGCGCCTCCCCGAGCGCCACTCGCTAGAACTACCCACGACTTCGTACGCACTCACTTCCACAGATCCACGCAATGTGACTTCTGCAACAAGAAGGTTATATATACGTTATATTATAATATATTTTTAAAATCTTCGAAAAGCCAAAATTAAGCTGAAGGGTTAGGTGTGTATTAAACCAACACCGTATACCATATAGGTGGTAAACGAATTTTTCAAAAATTATTTATCTTCTCTTGAATTATTTTCTTCAATTGTGAAAAAAGTCGAACAAATTTTAAAATTCAGGAAGTCAAATTATCGATGATACCTCAAAGAATATACTTCATATGACTCTATTACTTTAAAACACATTATGTTTGATGATAAACAAAAATGTTAAATATCATTATTTCACATGACTCTTAGATCTGGCTCAAAGATGCTATGCAGTGCCGTAACTGTGGGCTGTGTTGCCACAAGAAATGCGTCACCAAGTGTCAAGAAACATCTCCCTGCGTACCTAGACAAGATAAAGGTAACCTCGTTTTTATGCTCTGTAAAATTTATAAATTATGTCTTGTTTTGTTTCCAATTGATAGTATTCGTTTTCTAGTTCAAAGATAATATCTTGAAATAATATTATTATAATTATTAATGATTTTTCATATTCATTGGAAAAAATTAAACAAGAAATGTTGCCAGTTCATCTTTTCGAACTCAGCTAATAACAAAATATTAAAACTCTTATCTTTGGAAACCCATTGTAAGGATATAAACACTAGAACTAGAAAATTACGAAATAACACGAATCAATTTCTTATATTTCTAATAAAAACGTAAGATTAATAATAACTAAATGTTATTATAGCTAGACTCGTGTAGATTTTTGGAACGAAATCGTTTTTTTTCGAATACCTAACTTTAAAATTACATAAAAGTTGGTACATCAATTTTACTTAAGCTTATAAAATCCAAAACATTCTATATATTTTTCAGTGTTCTGAATCTCATTTTGATATTCCGATTACATCATTTGTAATTATTTAAAGATGACGGGAAAAATAATAACAGATATCTATTAATAGTAGAGAATTTAACAAAAATTAACCACAGCTATGTATATGTGTAAGTGTCTTACTTATTACGAATATCTAATTTATTTTTATTGTAACAAAATATCCTGCTATTATCCTGGGAATCTGATTGTCAACGTCGCAACTTTCTCATATATTGTGTTGGGCATCCTAAACAATACTCTTTGTTCAAGAATCTTCTTCCTCGTTATTAATATAGTTTATTAAAGTAATATATACATGGACTCATATATAAAATGCCTTGAACGATTTCGTCAATAATAAAATATACTTTTTAATCTTAGTAACAAAATAATTGAACATCTTTTATACAGAAGAAAATAATACATATAATTCTACGTGAAAAACGAAGTAGGAATGAAAAATTTCTCACGAGTTTTGTATCAATATCATGTTAATTGTTAAGCTTTTCTCGTTTCCCATTCAGTTGCCAATGTTAATATGACGGTTTATGAAAAACTGTTAACATTTTCGTATGTAGTATGATGCAAACTTGGGTTAAGCATACAGAATTTGAATCTAATTTCTAGGCTATCGAACCCCAATCCGTCTGTCAATTAACCTGTTGTGATCTTACCCGGATCTATGAATTTTGTATTAGGTATATACATTTTGAACCGTCACTTCGGAACGGAGAAAATGAGTCCCAGAAATAAGATCGACATTTTCTAATTTAAATATCAGGATAGAAATAAGAAATGACTTAATATGGTATAACCTTCCATCTCGAATTTATTTACAATACACTAAGTGCTACATTTGTTTTTATTTAATGTGATAAAAAAACTCTTGTGATTTACTTTACACTGTTCTTTCGTCTTGACAAGGAATTACTAAATATTTTTCCAAGTGATAGCTTCTTAAACATATGGATCGGTTTTTGACAAATGTGTTTTTCAACTAAAGTATGCCCACATTTGGGACTAAAATACATTGAAAGTAATGTTGGCATTAGCTCAGCACAAAGAAGTTTCGGTGATTTTCTAAATAACATTGACCTTTGAAACTTTATGATGTTAGAAATAGAAGTCATATAAAATTGAGGAAATTATAAGAACGTTATATTTTGATATGAACATTAATTTTTTTCTTTTCACATCAGCTTCATTAAATATATGACTTTTAAAATTAAGAATGAAGAATAATGTACATACACGACTTAAATAAACGTACCTAAATGTGAGATCTTTATTTAAAATTGTTTATGTATTTTGTTCCAAAAGTGCATGTTTTTTTATAAGCATTTGCCAAAACAGAAAGGGAAAGAAAGAAATGAGGTTAATGAACTACAGAGTATTCTCTTTGAAAATGTTTTATAAGTGAACAATGAACTAGTTAAATGTGAATTATAACGATCGCATCGTTATATGTTTTTATTATCAAAAAATATAATTTGCATGTAATATATTTTGTTTTTAATATCTGGCATTGACACAAAAACTTCTACTGGTAATTCGATTTCATTTTGTATCAATTTTTTAGGATTAAAACTTATGCTTATATTTGTATGAACTGTGTATTTTTTCAATCAACATAACTATTTTCAAATTAGTTTTCATTCTAATTTTAAATTTATTAATAAAATTTAAAAATATTAATAGCAAATAGGTATTATGTAGATATAAAATTATTTCAAAGTGTACACCTCATAATTTTTTGATGAAAAACCTTATTATAATTTAACATAACAAACATAATTTTTCATATACTCGTATATCTTAACCTTTTGTTAAAATAAAAATGAAATGTCTGACCGTCGTTTTTATTGATACATGTTTTAGTCTTTTTGTTTAAAAGCAATGTTTCAGTACTTTTTCTGTGCATTATTGAACAAACTGTTAACAAATCAATTAAAACATGATACAATATAATTGAGTTGTAATTGGCTATTGAATAGTCAATATTAAAAAACATTTTATTGATTAGGTGCTTCACGCGCTGCTTAACCAATGAACGAGTTATTTATTGCTAAACCAAGTTAATATTCTGAGGTTAAATTTCAATACATATTTTACGGTATCTTTTCATGAAAATCTAGTACTATATTTATAATATAAATATATGTCTAGGTTTTCGTTTCACATGTGTTTGATAGTTTGATGCAATAAGATGAGCTCTAATATCTATTAGATAATGCCGAATGTTCCAAAGTCCACTATACAAATTGAATAGTTAAGCATTTTCTGTTGCGCTAAGAGCAATATACCTTAAAGTATATCAAAAAATTCTTTTAATCTCTTCATTAAAAGCAAAGCATTAAGAATGCAAACATACAAAATTATGGTATTGGTTATTAAGTTTTCTTTTTCAGAATTTTAAGTATAATATTATTTCTTTCCAGAACCACCCGGCATAGGATGTCCACCGCCGGAGCTCATAATGACCGAAGCAGACAACGTGGACCCGGACTCTGAAGAGGACGAAAAATGTGAGAGAAAAGACTCGTTAGACGTTCAAGAAGACGGTAGGTATTGATGAGGAATTAGAAAAAGATAGATATCGCATTACACTTTGCTTTGTATACCGTAAGAATCGTTTAGCTATAGACAGAGGAGTGTTTTATGAAAATTTTAATGCTTCATTAAAGTTTGTACGTAGTTTATGATTTAAATTCAATGCACATTATTAAAATTAATTAGTATTATATATACTTACATATGAAACCTATCACATTTATACTTTTGAATATCATTTTTTTTTTGTACAGACGAACTCCTTGAATGCTGACGAAAGCGTTTTTAACACGACCGGACTCTCCTGACACGTAACGACACAAATATACTCAGGTTTTTGTTATTTCTCAGTGTTTTACCAGATTTTACGTCGTGAAAACAGTCTGAGATATTATGTGTTTAATATTTATGCCGATCTAGATTCCCCACTATAGTAGCCATGCTAGTTGGATGCCTATACCTTATAGACAGACATGCGTTATCGTCAGTCATTTGAGATATTTTTTTTGCAACATATTTCGTAATTATTCATTCTAGTTTTTGTTTATGGTTTTTAAATGTCAGTATGATAGACATTTTGTTTTTTTTTTGGTAAATAACTCCATATAGAACCTCTTTGGTAGAACCGAAAGGAACATTTAAAATGTATGCGTATAAGTAACATCGATGTATTGTGAGTTTAACAAAATATGCTGTGTATGTATTTAAGAAAATAAGCTAATTATAATTCATGTATCTATTATTAATATGGTAGATGCTTAACGTTGTTCAGGTAGTAAAAGTGAATTAATTTATGTTATTCGTTATTAAATCTAATATGGCTTACAAGTCTCTATTATGAAACTGTATTTGTTACTACAATTTCCTAATTTATTGAGCGCATCCAATTAAAATACTCATCTATTAATCAATTTTAACCTCACACCTACTTGGGTAATCCGTTATTTTTCCCCAATTCTGCATTGAGAAATATCTTAATTTTTACAACTGTACGGAACATAATGAACGGTCTGATTAATTTTCAAGGATAATTATTCGTATTGAGTAATTAGTAAACAATGCAATGCTCTTGAGCACTTATCTAAGATCTGGCTGAGGCCTGAGGCCGTACATGACTGTTCACTAAACTCTCACATCAAATGAAACTTTATTCGACTTGTAATAGTATGTACATTGGCATTATTGTTACGATTTAACGTGTGGAATGCATGCAACATGTATTTAAAGTATTTGTACGTATATTGAATATTTTTAATTAATACGATCTAGTTAAACGAAGAACATGTTAAAATCTTTAGCAAAAGACAGGAGAACATATGAAGGGAACTATTAACGATATATTTTTATATGAAAAACACTTGTGATATTTACCTACTTAGGATTTATGGAGTCAATGTATGCATGAAAAAAAGTGAAGAATTTAAACGATGATTATTGTAAATATATACAAACACGCATGCCAAAATCAATATAAACCCCTTTAAATCCGATACATGCATTTTAGATTATTCCATAACCAGAATATATCCCGTACTAAATATTATATAAAAATTTAAACGAATGAGTGATTTTAAGTTCTTTGTAAAGGCGGTGGTCCAATGAGTGCGCTGGTGGCTGGTCTACGACGTGCTGGTTCCGCTCACTCCTTGTCCGCGCCACGGAACAACGCTTCATCACGATCTTTACCACCATCTCCAAGTCACACACCCAGGTAAATAAGCAGACAAAGAAAATAACTAGGGTTAATCTTTTTACTAAATATAGGAAATATGCTTTCATTCCTAAAGAGGGTTGAGGTAAAAACAAATAGCCAACTATTCACAACATGTAAGGCAAACCCTGGCTATAGCTGGGATATTGCCAGGTAGAAGAAGAAGATAGGAAATATGCTTTATGGACGTGACTTACAAAAGAAAGTTACAACTGTTTCGTGAGAAAACCTAATCAATTACGTAATTTATATGAAATACTTCATTCATGGATTCTAGACAGAACATCAAAGCTTAATCTGTGTTTAATTTCTATTCAAAAAATTATTGAAATTTTTCAATATGTCTATACATAGAGGAATTCTTATTGAGTCTCTTCCTATTCATTTTAAACAAAGATTTTAAATTTGTTTTGACAATATTTCGAAACTTAGCAGACTTAATAATCCTCAAACTTAGCATCCTCAATTAAATCAAAAAGATGTGAAGAAATCCAATGCATCAAATGAAATTGAATCAATCCACAGAAAACAGTCCCTAGAGTCGGTGAACCCGTTCGCTGGTTGCGGAGCGACGTGGTTGTCCCGCGGCGGAGTCACCGCTATGTTACAACCAGCCCTCCGCAGTGCTCTGCCCCCGGACGCCCTGCTGGCCGCTGCACGGGACTCCGCCCCAGACCTCGCTGCCCGACTCACGCCCGCGCAAATACATGAGATGGTACGCAAAAAAATATATGGGGTGTCATGAAATTTTTTCTTTACTTTGCACTTGTATTAAGGAATATTCCACTAATGTTCTATATACAGGAAAACCGATAATAATATCATATTACAAACGGTTATATCAGAAAAAAGATATAGTCTTATAGGGAAAAAGATACGTTGTACAATAAAAAGATCCCACGAAATGTAATCAATGTAGGGTAGTAATTAAGAATTTCAGAATTTAAATTTCGTCCATCATAACGTATTCTGTCAGAAGTTTCAAATATGTTCACGCACTGATTGTAAAATTTTAAATTTGTAACACAAGCCGTTTGGTCATCTGTTAATAATGGGAGAAAATATTTATTACGTTCAATATTGTCAGTTTCTCAATTTATATATACCCCTTCAATATGTCAATATTTTCACACCATTTTACTCTATATTTTCAAATGACAGTTAAGAGTGGAAATTGGGTTACAAAAGATTACATACATAATAATCATAGACGAATTACAAATACAATAGATAATAAAACGATGTCTGCAAATGTACATATGTATCATTAATAATTATTATATGTTAAAGAATTTGATATAGCTTACTGTAACAGCCAATCACGATGATTCACTAATGATATGATATGATAAGACAATGTATCATCAGTTACAAGCTGTCCGCGAGGAGTTGTCTGCCATGGACACGTGCGAGGAGGGTCCCGACGGCGGTGAGGGTCGAGCCTGCGCCCTCACTGCACTCATGCTGCACTGCTGTGCTGCAGCACAAGTCGCGCAGCAACGCGCGGCCGAACAACTCAACACTTGATGTTAATAAACGTATTCGTCTTTATGATGACTTTTATTCAGAACAAAATAACTCTCCATACTTTATACATATATCGCATTCGAAGTATTCGTGTTATACTGAAATATATTATTAACAATTATACATACCTAAATGAATAAACATTTTTTTAAAGCAATTGTCTCTGATATTCCTAAATAGATAGCTACTAGATAAATACATGTAAATAGAAACTATTTTTTTTTTAAAGAGAATTTGATAAATAAACATGTTTGTACACTCAAGTCACGACGATTATCGTACATAAATACGTTACCAAATACCTAGCTATCATAACAATCAAAATAAATAAGTTTTATGTCTAGGACTTCAGCTAATGATCCGATTTGAACGTTGTCTAATAAAAGCATGTTTTGAATTAATTTCAATCCTCATAGGAGTTGATAAAGTTCTTTTTCTTTTGTTCTCATGCGGACATATAATCAAAGACATTTTGAACTGCGTCGAATATGCGTTTAGAGAGTGTATTGGAAGTTTTCCAAAATCTCCTGAAATAGCACAAAGGATCGACCTCACTGATGAAAAAAACTTCTGCGAAACATCTGTATGGCGGAAAATTTGGTGCGTCATTAACAAAGTGCGCGGTCATGAAGAATAAAACGTGATACAACTGAACAATATTGTTGCATGGCTACAAATAAAGCTCCCTTTAATCCATTATAATATCTTTATATGAAATTACCATAAGTTTTAAAATAGAAACTCCCTGACACGCGTTTGAAACAAATAAATTGTTTATCGTTAATCTTGTAAAATTGGTCATTGGCAATAAAATAAACATTGAAAAATTCACAAAACACAATTCAAAACATAGGTATAAAAGCATAATAATAGAATTATACGTACACTTGCATTATATTTTAGGCTATTACAGTATTAATTATCGTGAGTAACGTTCGGCTTTCATGAAGATTGAGCCAAAATTTCAAAATGTTGTAAACATTCGTCGTGCTTCTGAACAATGTCGAAACGACAACACATACGTTATTTCCTTAATAAATATGTTTCTAAGTGGGTCATAAGAAGGGGTAGATACTTTCATAGATACAAGGTTATATTTTATTACTGTAATCAAATGAAATTTAAATGTACTTTATTCAAATATTTATTAACAAAGATTTTTGAAATGAATATTGTGTGTAGATGTTCAATATACACAACATAAATGACAGAAGTGGGCGCGGCACAAAGTACTAAATTTAAAAAAAATATAACTTGCATTCTAGCACACCACCAATTATTTGTAGTGTTTATATTTATTATAATATTTATATACAAAAAAAATCTTAAATTAATAAATTCAAACTACATTTTATATTAGAAATAATTTTAAAAGATAAATCCTTTATATTGTTTTACGTATTATCGAACACTAAAAATTATACATCTATAATTAAATGTTTTTCCTGTTTATTTTGATATAGTAAATAGATTTTAATCAGGGCACGGGACTTGGGAATGATTTTGGCTCGTGTTCAAGGTTATTGAGTATGAAAATCTGCGTCTCTGTTTGGCCAACGGTTGAAAACACTCCGTTCAACGGACGCCTGATCAACGTCAAAGTCTACTGACGCAAGTCATGTACTTTTATTTATACAATAAACTAACAATAAAGGAATATATTTTTAATAAGTTTTATGTATCCGAATTGTACCACACTTTTTTGAACTGAGCAGCTGCAAATGACATTGATAAATTATGTTGCAATTATAGAAATTAGTTGCCGACAAGAAAGTCTCATTGAATGATTGAATGTTTAAAAAATCATATTTTTACAAGGTCGCTAATGATACTAAGACTTCATGTAAAGTAATTTATTAAAGAAACCAAAACATGTTTGCCAAACACCAACCCAGTTTTAAAATAACGTTAGAAAAAATAATCGCATTATTTAAATTAATAATGCGTATTTGTAATGTACATTATTCTTTTCAATATATTAGTAAGTTACTATAGAATTAAATGATTTTTGAATGCAAGTTCCGCAATGAATTACGACAATGGTCTGTATTCACATGATGGAGCACTGTGAATTGGGCTGGAAATTATTATTCGACTGGCCAACTCATCCTTTTATAATGACCACATTTAAAAATGAATAGAATTTTGAAGCAATTTATCATCTTTTGTAATCTGTTTCAAATACCCTTGCAGCTATCAAAAACCATAATACACCGTTTTAAATAAAAAGGAAAGCTTTGTTTATCAAAAAGTACAACCATAAATCCTGTCAACCATTTATTTTCCACGTGCTTCCGTAAGAAAAGCAATCTTTCGTCAACTGCGCAGTCAGTGTGAGCGAGAGAGATGTTTGTTGTTATTGCCGTCTCGCTCACTCGCCATGCTTCTTTGTTGTGGCGACGATATAAAGGCTGGCCGAGACCGCGGTGTGCAAATTTTCAAGTATCGCCGTCAACCCAGGCGCTTTTGCGTTTCGGAGCGGAGTTTGAAATATAAATAAAGACATAAGTGCACTTTTTGAAACTGAAACACGGTCGTGAAATACAGTGACCACTTAAACTTTGAACTTAGGAGTGCAGTGAATTAAAGTGCAGTGATGAGGCCTCCCGCGGAATATGATAACTCGAGGTTGCCAGCTGAAGCTGAGGAAGGAGATCCTAGAGCACCAGCGATGATGATCTGTGCTAGATTAGCTGGAAGAGCCATTATCAGGGTTGTGGGAAGATGTGAAGACGCACAAGAGAATAGAGAATTAGGTTTGTATATGTTCATTGTTCATTGAAAAAATAATATACACAATAAATTGTGAAATTTATTTTCATTGTTATAACACTTTTTATAAAACTTAAATAATTTCACTGATGCTTTATATTCACGGTGTTAGTAGGTCCATAAAAAAACACGGTTATAGTTCTAACAAATTGTAGTGATCCACTTAAAACACCACCTAAAAATGGTTATCTTATCTTTATAAATGCGTCGTTATAATTGAACCAAGATAAACATATAAACAAAGACAACAAAACAATACCTAATATTAACGTTAAGGTAATTGCCAAAAAACGGAACATAACACAAATTATATTTTTTACACCGTATACAAACATATTTCATAAATAATTACATAAAATTTTTATTTAAAAAAATATTGTTTTTTTATCTTTAACAATAGTTGAATGATAAATTCAATAATCTTTTCGACATAATGATATAGAAAACTATGTTATAGATAACTTGTTTTCAAATAAATAATCTAATAAGATCACATATTATCATATAAGCAGCATTCAATAGAAAACTAGTTTGTTCTCACACCAAAAGTTCTTAAATCAATTGCTTAGTATATTGTAAATATTATTAAATAGAGTTAAATTGCAATGTAGCATCTGTCAAGGCGCAGTTCCTTAAAAGCTTTTGCAAAAGGAAACTAACCAACATGACTAAGCGTAAATGTCTTCGGTAAATATAACGATATATTATGTAGGTAATATAATATGTCATAACTTTTTTAATAAATAAACTGGCAATTTTATTAAACTTTTTCCTTAACATTTATCCTTAACTTATTAATTAAATATATTTAAAAATAAAAAGGTAATTTGTAGAAACTGATCACTCGATATAAATACCGAAAATATTAATCCAAAATATCTTTTTTTAGTTTTTAATGTACCTATGTTAAAAATAAAACTGTTTTATAGAAACTTATTGAAAAATTCTGTTACTTGAAAATATATAGGGTACCTATCATTCGTTTCTTATAAACTTACGACCTTTTTAATATTGGTGTTATATATGAAGTTTGTATACTAATTATGACTATTAGCTATATTAGAAATATTAAAAATATGTACCTTGTCTACCAAATTATATCTACAGCGGTTATATAAAGTATAAATTATACATGGGTTTTAGAAAAATGTGGTAACTCGTGCGTATTACATATTTAATATGTTTGATGATGCAAATACAAAATATTACAACATTATGTTAAACATAATATTACTTCACACGATCATATTATATTAGTAGTATGTTTGTTAAGATTCTATTATTATATTAATTGATAGTATTGAGAACCGACTCTGCAAGATATGAGTCATGAAGAAATTAAATTTTTATTGCTATGGTTTTCCCTTTTTGAGATTCATAAGAGTGACTAATATTGCAACATCATGTCATTGACCTTAACACTTGATATACTTTCTAAATATAAATTTTGTTCACAGATATTATGAATTAAAAAAAATTGTATATATAATTATTTTAGTTACCAACGTAATTATTATTAATATTCCTTGTACGTAATTAGTAAATTATAATTTATGATAACAGAATGTATTATGTAATATATTTTTTATGACATAAGTGCTTCTAATGAGAATAAAATTAGTCCGACTTCCTCATTTTGCGCCATAATGACTGTTAACAGCGACAATCACGTAACGACTTTCCACCAGCTTTTGCTTTTGTCAGTTGCTAGTTAGTTCATAATTAGCGGACCACAAGAAAATTGATCCGGGAAATGTTATAGAAAAAGCTTAAATCATCCGGCCATCTGACCACCTATAGTCTATACTACAAGTAGGATTGCTTTCGAGTTGTGAAAGCAACAAGTGTTTCTCTTTCATTCATCTTTCGCAAACTTCACGAAGATATCGCGTACCAATTGTGAAACAGTAGTCTGTGCGAGGTCAGTTCGTCACATTTTTATTAATGTCTTTGTTTGAGATATTGAAATGTTTAAATTTATTCACACACTAAAAAGTTATCATTAATGTTTCTAATTAGTATTCGACATTACATACACAGGTGCTGTAAAATTTTAGGTAATACTAGATTCTGCTCCTCAAGGTACTCTTGCGCAATAAATGCAAAGGAACTTAAGGATTTCGATTGCGTGAGCCTAATTGTAAAACAAAAATTAATAATTAATCCTTGGCATTAATTTTTTTAATAAGATTAAATAAATATTACTATCCATATATAGAGAATCTATTATTATCAAATACAATAGCAATTTGAATAATTTGTTAATGCATTTTTAAGCAAACTAATTCGATACAAGCTAAAGATTTTTAGTTTTCCTCATACCACATAACATCCATATCGACTCCCGGAAGACAAAGTTAGCACAATGAATGTACTAACACGCGGAAGGCGTTCAGTCACTTGGATATTTTATTACGTGCTCGAATCGAATATGCCTCGTTACTTGATACATGTGTTTAAACTGTGACGGCTTGATATAGAACATCACTATTGACTAGTATGGAATTAGTCACAAACATGAAATGTACTGCCTTTAGTTGACGACAGAGAACGAGTTGGCCTTACGGCTTACCAACTTATTTTATTCCATATAAAGCTAAACTGAGGTCACCTGTCTTATTAACTTCCTTATTTTAAAAAATGCGTGAAAGAAATATCTTTGTAACATTATATGAATTGAGAATGTTGAAATAAAATGGTAAAATGTCAATGGATAGTTTCCAACATTACTCTGCTATTAGATCTTTAAATAAAAAAAAACATATAAAAGAAAATATTTTTTATATACATATGTCCTTTTAGTGGAATAGATAAAGTAAATAATTAAAGGATTTGTCTCAGTAAATTAAAATCCACGGGCTTAAAATACATACTCTGTGTCATATATATAGTTTATTTAACTACAATTTTTTTTGTGTAAATTTTGAAAGTTGTCACATTTGACAATTATAAAAATAATGTTATTCCTACATATTATGTAAACACGGTGTTAATGTTATGATTAGTGAAAGACCATTAATTAAATGTTCTTTGTAGATAACTTAAAAAAGTAGAATTTTGTATATTTACCATTTACATGTTACCACATCATCCCAAAACACTAAAATGTGTAGAAATTAGAATCATTTCTCTTATAACTTCGTAGTATATCTTCACACGCTCCAACCTATAAATAGATTCATTTTGGACTGTGCGGGCTGTGAAGCAACACTAAAATTATATGAGCAAATCATACGTATTTCTTTACCACTTCATTGTTTTAACTTATACATTCATAACAAGTTCAAAATAAAAATCAACAAAAAAAACAATGGCCCTTGCGGTGACAAAAGTGATTTTAAGATGTGAAAATGCACAAGAAACTCAAGAATTAGGTAACGTTCTAACCTAATCGGTGTGAATAATAGAATCTTGTGATTAAGGGTTTTACTGATTTAAATACTTGTTTCAGATTTATCAGAGTGCCAGCTCATGCAGGTTCCAGATGCAGTATATCACCTCATGCGACATACAGAACTCAAAAGCTGTGATCTCAGTGGCAATGTCATCACAAAAATTCCACCTAAATTTACAGTTAAATTTAGTTTAATTACAGGTAAAAATTCATGTTGTTATATTTTTAGTTTTATTTCCGTGCGTAGTGTAGAGATATCTACTTGTACCTTAATTAAGTGTAAATATACTCTATGTTCAAACAGTTATAATTATTGTGTATTATTATAGCTTTGTTTCATACTATAGTTCTTTTCTTCTATTATTTCCCAGATCTAAACTTATCTAACAACCAAATGGGAAGGTTACCAGATGAAATGTGTACACTGGCCTGTCTGCAGCGGCTCGACATATCACACAACACATTTGTGGCTCTCCCACCTATTGCCTTCCAATGTCCGAGTCTGCACACCTTACTAGCACACCACAATCAAATTATTGGTACTTGACTTTTTATTTTTTTGTAAAGGTAAATTTTTACCTGACAAATTATTAATTTCATTCTATTGTATAGACAATAGCTATGTACAAACAAATACAACATATTTGATGTTAACAATGGTCATTACTGTAATTATGTGTTATTTCAGCAAATTGTTAACCATTTTATTTTGAACATTACAGAAGTGGATGTCGACAGATTAGCCAGATCTCGTGCTTTGGAGTATGTTGACCTCAGTGATAATCCCATACCTCCTAGAACCTATGAAGAGTTGAAGCAGCTTACAAGACCATCAATAACTATCTCTGAAAGGGGAAAAGAAGATTGGGAGGAAGATCTTATACTATAAGCAATTGTACAAGACTAAGTATACTAGGTTACCATAAGTATTAAGACTGTTGCTGCACCTATATATGGGGTAAATATTAATGGTCCTAACTTAACTGTGATTAAGCCTTGTACAGGTCATTATTTACCTACGCTTAAAATGAATAGAGATCTTAGAGATTATATGATTATATATAGCCTCGTCAAGAATAATTAATATATGCTCAAGAATTTTTATATTCTTAAATCATTTTAAACAATTGGATATGGTTTTTTTTTACTTTTATACATAATTATGGATGTTACTTGACATTAATCAATATTAATAATTTTGATTGATATAATAATTGACAAGTAATGAATAGAATAATATTATCGCAAATATTTTTTAATACTAGTCCATTACTATAATTAGTTTAATGTGTTTGCAACAACCTAACATTCTAACATTGAAATATGAATTATTGTATCTAATAAAAAATATAGATATGTGTATATGTATATTATTTGTACATTTATTATATTTTTTATTTAAATAGTTAAGGTATAGTTTTGTATTGTAGTACTTTAGTTTTTTTTCCAAGAAATTGTGCAAATAATGTTTTCTTATTTTGTATTTGAACTCAGAATTTGTCTGTGAAACATATAAAGATGATTTTTTTTACCATATTTTGAGTTCAGCTCCTAAATTCGATTTGGAGAGCTAAAGTGAAACAAATTATCAAAACAAAACTTATTTTATGATAAAAACAGCAAAATATATGAAATATATTTAAAAGATATCTTTTTATTGAAAATTCCTTTCAAGTTTTTTTTTAAGTAAGAGCAATAATTGAGACGTATTTATGTAATCAACTCTTTTAATTTTCATGTAAAAATAATTATTCTTGTTTATTTTTATGTGAAAATTATTGAAAATATACCTACTTAAAAGAAGAGACGAAACTTCTTAGCATTCAATGGTGAATCCATGCAGGTGCCGGGTCAGTCGCGTTGGGAAAGGTGCCTCAACAGTGCCTGGGATTTGCGACCCAGATTTAGTTTTAAGGGCCCCCTATATAAGGCTCACCTTAGCCGTCCAAGCACCTGTCTGTAACTTATTAAATTTAAAAAGAACATATTAGGGCTGCCCTTGAAGTACGTTCCAAGAATAAATTGATGTTAGTTCTGGACAGGCCCATTTTTTTTAGTAGGGTAAATAGAGATTTGGCTGCGGTACCTCTCGCTCCCATTTCTACAGCGTATTAATTCCCGACGAACCTATTTCTAGTGAGTTCGTTAATGACCTCGTAATATTTATTGAATCTGATGGAATGGTTTTTGGGGATGTTGGTTTCCCAAGGAACTGTAATCTCTATTATCACAACGAGCTTTAAAATTCCCGAATACATAAATATGTCTGATCTGGATTTTATTCTGTATGTATATTTTGAATATAGAAATTTAAAGTTTTCATTCTGTGCTGGAGAGTTAATGGTAACTTCACTAATCCTCTAGACAAATATAAAATTTAAGATCTTAGCGCTTTCTGAAATGTATGAATATTGTGTGTACAGGAGGAGCATAAAAATTTTTTTTTTTTGCTTAAATGAAAACCAACAATTTTTAAAGAAAAATTTTCAAGATAATCAATTTACATATTTCACACTATTTTTAAGACTTTTTTTTGCACTGTTTATTTTACAATATCAAAACATATTTCCTGATGATCGCACGCTTCGAGGTCTTAGTATACTTCCTACACGTACACCAACTACTTCCTCTAGTTTTGTACTAAGTCTGATGGACATCAAATTTTTAAAAAACCAATTATAAACAATATTACTTATTAGGTATATATTTTTTTTACTTTTCAATCCACTGTAGCTGTTAGCTCTAATATCTTTGACAGGGTCTCCGGGAGGGGTGGGTAGTCCGATAAATACGGGCCTAAAGATACCGGGGGTAATCCATCCTACCTAAGGGCGCATCTAAGTGGCTGAATCTTGGCTTAGGACGTCGTTGAAAGGGGATGGTGTCTGGTTATAGGACTGCATGACGCCTTCCGATGGCAGATCGAACCGACGTGTATGACCTCGTCTTCGCCGGCGAAGGCGATATGTTGGTGTTTCTATTGTTTGTGAGGGCATTTATGTCTATGTTCTTTGTTACCTCTTATCTATCAATTGGTATATTAGTAGATCTACCAACTAAAATAAAATAAGAAGTTGTGATCCAATTTAATTTTAATATGGGTAACGAAAATGCCTAGAGCGGACCATTAGGTATATGCATAACGGTGTACCTACTTCAATAAGATTCGAGTAATTCGTCATCATAATCAATAATAGACATTAGTAATAATGTACGTGCTTAATCCTAAGGTAGTAGAAGTATCGAAAAATATCTATAATCATACTCCAAAATTTTGAGATATTACTGGCATAGCTAGGTGACTCACTACATCAGGTTGCATTTTATAAAGCTGCAAGTTATACGCGTGTAGATGGTATTCCGTATTGTTAATATATTGTAGATGTACTTACTAGAGCTAAGGAAAAATTAATGGTGAGTGGTAAAATTAACTTTGTAATGTTGGAATGAATACAGAAATGGGTAGGTAGATTGATTTTTAAGGATTTTTTTGTGTTTCTTTAAGACAAACTTTATGAACATTATTTGTATACAATTCCCTATTGCTCAGACTCCTTTTATCCGCCCCCATGCCCAGAAAAGTAAACGTTTAACCCAACCTTGTTGGAAGTCCCATAAAAAGTTTCACTCAAAAAGAAGAAAATAAAAGAGAAAACCGTATACCTTTGTGAGAAACGCCAGAAACTGTATGAGACTAATGTGAGTGATCATAACTATTAATCACTGAGATCAACCTGTTAGCGGCTATGGAGATGTTAAAAAATTGTAATGGCAATATACGGCAAATATCACCCGCCAAAACAAACCCAAACATATTATGTCAAAGCAACAGCAAGAAGTTCTCAAGCATCAATATAGTAGCATTGCTGAAGTTGATCAAAACAAGAATGGTGATTCAATACCTTATCTGAAAGCCTCCGTAACCTTTAATTAAGGAATTATTATACTATGCCCGGACTAAAAACCTAATTGTAATGGATAGCCATGATTATTTACGGTAAGGACAAGAAGAAATGTTTGTGAACAATTTATTAGATAATCTTGGATGTCAATGATAAGATAAAAAGGCATTATAGATCTACGGCGGTGAGATCAGCAGAATTTTTCGTTATATGTTGGGAAACATAGACTATAGTTCAAGAATTTTTTTGTAATAATTGGGCTGTATACGAATATACCTACAATAGCGAAGAAGTAAAATATTTAGGAAATATATACCATTCATAAATTAAACTTTCATTTTTTTTAAGAAAAAAGTTACAACATTTGATACTTGTTACTGTATAATAATGTCAAGCGATTAAAAAGTATTTAGTTAAACCTATAACATACTGTTACTGGACAACAACAAATTTGACACTTTCACCACATTTATTTGGATATTTTGGCATTCCATCTTATGTAACAAATTATAAAATCATATTTATTTGATAATTACTTTATTCTGCTGCTCTTTTTAATCCTAAATACCAATGGCGGGTGAGGGTGTTGAAGACGATCCTAATTTAAAAGGATTTTCTCGATATTTTAATAGTCAAACAAATAGAGGACGAGCAAACGTAAGTCAACACTTTCTTATTTTAATCACTCTCATTAATTATTTTATGTAGAAAAAAATAAATAAATTGGTTTTATTGTTGCTTTGTAGGCGTCCATGGCAACTTTTGGGGGAATTGCTTTATTTTACATTTATCACAAGTTCTTCAAAACTAAGAAAAAGAAAAAGCAAGCTTGAAAAGCATTCCAATAAAAATAAAATGAAATATAACACAATTTAATTTTATAACGTATAAGATTTACCTTATACAAAACGCATTCTTATCGATCATACTGTCAAAGTGACATTCCTTGATAACCAATTAGCAGATCTGCACTTGGCAGCGGGTGTCCGTCTTCGTTTTCTCGGTTCCATAAGTTATATAACTTGTTAACAGGTATTTTTATATATACATAAAATAATAATTTCTGAATAACTGTTATGTTTGTTTGAAGATTTCATATAGACTGTGTTTCTTTAAAATTTAAGAATGGCTGGAGGCGACTCGGTTGATGAATCCCAATTCAAAGGGCTGTCGAAATATTTCAACAGCACAACAAACCGTGGACGAGCTAATGTAAGTTAACATTTAAAGTTAATTTAAATATATAAATTGATTTAGCAAATTCGTTAAAGTTCGAAGCAAAAACTTAGGTCTTTGAAAATAAAATATCACTATATACATGTTTAAGGGTTATGGTGGATAATAAATTCATGAATATTACATGTCTCTCATATTTATATAAAAATAACTCTTTTAATTTCCAGACTGCAATGGCCACTTATGCAGTTATGGGAGCAGTTATATTGTACTTCACATTGAAACCCAAATCAAAATCAAAATGAGCATAAATTATTTATTCTGAGCATTTTATTTGTTTTAAAGTGTTTCTGTTAAAATGTAATTGTATAGCAAAGGTAATAAATCTTATAAATCAGGATTTGTTTTTTTATTAACTAGGGATTTGGCTTTGATGAGGTAAAATGATATAAAAGAAAGTCATATTAGAAATGTTTATTTTGTTTGAGAGTAAAGGTGTAGAAAATAATGTGATAGACATTAATCAGATACATTCAGATCTAGAGTCAATAGTATGAATTGTTACATTTGACAGACTAAACAATTTTAACAAATCGAAGATTTTCTCATCTACCAACTATATTATAACAGCATAGTCCCTTTGTGCTTAACATCATTTATAAAAACTTAATTCTAATTGAAGCACTAGCACCAACACTAATTTGAATGTGCAATAGTCTAAAGGACAAATCATTTGCATACCATTTTTTATTAAGATTGATTCTACAAAAATATTGTGTCCTGGTTGTCATTTTTAATACTCTATTATAAAAACTATTGCAAAAATGTTCCTTATTCCTTAAGAGACCTAATAAGTTATATAAAAAAACATTAAAATGACTATTTCAGCATAAGCATTTACTTGTGTGCTTTACTGTTGCAGATAAGCCCATAATACTGTAGGTAGTAAGAAACTTATATAATATGTATATATTATAGTTTAAATCAAGCCCATCTACGAGTTCCTATACCATGACTAGCTTTCTTGTATGTCCTAACAAATGCACCTTCCTTTATAGTTCCTATCTACTATATTTTTAACATATAAAGGCAATCCAAGCTTCATCACAACATTAAAAGCTCTGATAATAAATAATAAATATATTATAACTCAAAAAGTTCTTATACATACAATACAATTGAAATTGTCACAAGCCCACTCTCATTCCCATACAATAGAATATGTAAGAATTAAATATTTCTTATATCATAAATGTAGACGATATTGTTTTAGTAGCAGGCGTCTTGTTTCTGATAATTACTATTATTAGTCATTACTCTATTCATTAAGAAAATATACTTCTCGCATATAACTTGAAAAAGTATACACTAAAAGCTAGAGATTACATCACTTTCATGCCATCAATGGAATATTTCATCGTTGTAAAGTTTAAAATCATCGAAGTATGTTAAGGCGTATACCAGTTACATAAGACATCAAGCACACTGTCATAATGCAGTACCTATTTTATGGATGGAATGCTTCAGTGTAATCTTTGGAAATACCACAGATCGAGCGTTTCATTGGTTAAGCAAACAGTATCATTTCTCTCCATGAAGAATATAATAATGTTATTTTATTCGAGAGTTGCATCATAGTTATATAAATATTCGAGATTTAAATATGTCAGAACGTTTGATTTTGCTTCCTTTATCTTTGTGTTTTTAACCGATAGTTCATTTAGGTATGAGCTGCGGTTAGACTGTGTTTTTAGAGGAATGTTGGTCCTCTTGTGAGTGAGTAGAGAGCCGGTGGCGCGGTTGGTAAAGGAGCCGCGTCTTCTGAGTCTGATTCCTCCGAGGAAACCCTCTCGGCCGCACTGAGAGCCACTCGGGCGTACTCGTCTGTATCAATGCTCTTGCAGAAGTGGATGGCGTACCTTAAAGATTAATGTTTATTAATATTGTTTATTTATACTTAAAACAGTTAAATAATAGTGTTCTACCTGAGTTTTTCTCGCAGCACTGTTTTGCATGAATATCTTGGCATCTTGAGAAGGAAGAAGCACGTGTAACTCTCCGGTAAGAAGTGGTCTGGTGGTTGATATTTGTCAAGTACCTTAAGAACAAATATAATTATATTAATTCATATGAAGACGCCTTTTTGCCACATTAGATTATGACTGAATATTTTTTAAACATAAGCCGCGAGCTTAATTCTCGTTTATATGATACCTGTAGTACAAAGTCTCTTTGTCGCGGGTCCTGCGGCGCCCTCGGCAGCCTCGTGCGACCCCAAACAAAACGTAGAAACAGCGCCCGTTCACTCCCAGACAACTCTTCCATCACCTCCCAGAACCATTGCACCAGAGGCGCATTTGGTTCTATACCTGATAATGAATATATTTAATTTATGTATGTACTTATAGTACTGTATTGTATAACATACTTTTTGTGTTGTGATAACAAATAACATCAATACGCAATATTTTATATCTATTATGTAATATAAAATTTGTAAAAACTATTATATTATATCTTTAGCTTATGGGTCTACGATGAATTAAAAATTTTTGATAACTACGGTTGATTACTTTCATCTAAGTGTCATAGACACTTTTTTCTGGTCTGAGGGCTGGTCAAGGTCATGGTTGCTGAAGAGGAAATCGAAAATTCAGGAAAATGTAGAATTAAAACAATATAAACGCAAGGTTTTCCGTAAACCCTAGTTAGATTTACAAGAGACACAAAAAAATATATCATTACAGGTCTAATAGTAATATATCCAGTTATAGTACTAGATATACATATTATGGTTCAAGGAATAACTACCCAATGGATAGCCAATTCATTCAATAGTCTTTTTTTTATAAATAACATATAAATACACATCTCATCTAGCCGTGATCAAGGTTCCTGTCAAGTAACCGAAACGCCGGGAGTATGTAGTTTATAATAAAAAATAAAAAAAGGGTAGTACTTCTGAAAATATTAGTTTCATTTAAATGAGTACTCGCGAAAATCTTAGATCTCAATATATAAATACCCTTATAAGTGGCGGAGGCTCGTAGTGCATGTACGGGTATATCCGGGGAGCCACACACTAGCGTTTCCAGTTCTGCAGCGCTGAACAGCGCTAGTAGCGGTGCAGGGATCACACGCGACATACCGTCACGTACCGCGCGGACTTGTTCCTCGAATTCGTGCAGTCTGTATATAGTTATTATGTTTATAAAAAAACCAAGCTAACAAACAAAAATATCTTTTTCGTAGGAAATCATCAAATTATGTTCACATGACTGACATTTGTTTAAAAAAAGCTCATAAATTTATTTCACTAAATGAGGCAGCCGATTTAAGACAAAAAAAGCGTTTTTTTTGCCTATTTATAGAAATATGTGTGTGTGTTTGTGGGTGAGATTATGTGTATTTATTACAAAGTTTCTAAAGTTATTTATTACCTATAATGTAAGGCCAACTGCACATATTCGTCCTTGTTGTCAGGAGTGACCCGCTTGTGTCTAGTAGATAGAGGTACCTCGTGACCAGCGGCGGATGGTATGGAGAATGGTAGCTCCAGATTCTGTAACTCCTTTGTTAAGAGGCAAGTAATTAATACACTTTACAAGGAACTAGCTTTGCTGGTGTAGAATATATACATGAAGCAGAGTCTCAATACAAATAAAATAGTGGAAATTTACCTATCATACTATTTGAATATGTACTCATATAAAAACAGTGTCACTTATTAATTTTCAAACAAACAATAAATAGTATCGAATATCTCTGATGGAACTTTATACAGCTGTACCAAAGGTTTTCAACTGCTCTTCTCCTAACTCCTTTTTTCATGAATCGATAATGTTATACTGTTTTGTTGGGTAACAGTTATCCCAAAAAATAATTCCAAATGAACGAAACGTGTATTTGATAATAGTATCTTAGAGAAATAGAGGGGAACCTTTATAATACCTTTATAATGCTATACGCGTTTAGTTACTCTTTCCTGGATCTCAAACTATCTTCATCTGTCTTAAGGTCTTGTATTGTCTTGTGTGAGTGGGTTTGATTGAATTGTTATAAATATTTCTATTTGACTTACAGATTTAGTGATATATCTTTTGATATTATATTTGTCGTATTTTCAAATTAAGTAATTAGGTAATAGTGTATTAAACTAGTGTATAGATGGTACTACAAGAGATTAGATCAAAATTCTTAGTTGTTTAAAGGCCACAGATTATAACAGTACATATTAAATTATAGCGATTTTAATTTCATACCTTGTTAGTGGCGGTCATATCTCGTATACAGAGCAGCGCCGGTAGGAAGTCCTTGTCGACCTCCGCCAGGTCCTGAGGTCTCAGCGGCTGACCGGCCAACTGACGCCACACGCCTTCCGCCAGAGATAATGACAGAGGTGAACCCGTGCGGATCGCAATACCCATGAGGACACCTGAAATTATATGCATTTTATTATTTATAGTTGTTACTATGTGGGATTTGAACCATAGACTAAAAAATATATAATTTCGAATTACTATTATCATACATTTATGTATATGTATGTATGTGGATTTTGTTGACAGTTATCTTGAATACTTCGAATATATAAAACTGAATCGTCAGTAAGGATAATTTAAATTGTTTTCTTAATTATCATTAAAAAAAAATATGACAGCCTGACGAATACTGAAACGAACTATTTCCAAAACAGATGACCAAGGATTACATAATAATTCACGATTTTATTCTTAGGGTATAAATTCTTGGTGACGTCAAATGTCATCATCGGTATTCAAAGGTTAAAATCCAATAATCTCACCTAAAAATCTGAAGCAATTAAGATGTAGCGGTGTGTTGGCTGTAGGGTTGAGTAGGAAGGCGTCTCTGGAGGCGCCGGCGTCCCCTCGGCCGTTAGGTGTTGCCATCAATAAAGGCAAGGAACCGTTCTGTAACTCCTCACACATCTCAGCGATACTCTCACTGTACCCACCGCCGCAGTCGTCTACACTCTCGCCTGTGAATCGATTAAAATAAATTAGTACACTTTATAAAAGTTTATTTTTAATAACTTATACTTTAGTTCCGAAGGTAGGTGAAAAGTCTTAATGCAAGTTCCTTTATGTAAACCAAATTAAATTGAATCGTTCCATTCACGGTCGTAGTAAATGTTTATAGTTGTCGCAAAAAGAGAACAATATCCTAGCCAAAGATCATGGAAAATTATGAATAAAGAAGAACTTAAATTTATGTATATGTATATTTATGTATTTTATACTATGTATATATTTTAAATTTTTCTTTAACATCTGTGCACATCCTACTCACTACTCTCCTTCACTATTGTGGGTTGGCTGGCAGAAAATGCTGTAATAGCGTTAAGTCCGCCCTTTGTACATTTTTTTGTACAATAAAGAATAATAAAAAAACTTACGTACTAACTCCAAGAATTTGACAATCTGTGTACCTACCCACAAACTTGACTTTCCACACTCTATGCGGCAGTGCGAGCGCGTCCTGTGTGAGTGCAGGCAGACGGGCGACCATCTGTCCGAAGACGGACCTCATCCCGGCCGGTCCCGCCAGCCCGCTGCCGCCACGCCGGGCGCGACGTGCCGCCACGCGGGACAACTCAACTACTGGACCGTGCTGACGCTCGCGTACCATCGTAGACATTATCGCCTGGATTGACATATTTGAATGATTAATGAATTTATTGATAACTGACTGTGTAAATATCGAAGATTCTCTTGTAGTATGCTTGGTCTACAAGATTTTTCTGTTCTTTGCCATTTCGGCAGTTTGCCAAAGAAAATCTACAATTTTTTTTAAGTTAATTTTTGTATCAAATATGGCATTGCTATAATCAATTACTTTTTATATTCTTGTTTCTAATATTTCAGACTTGTTAAACAATCGGAAAACAATTTTCTTTGGAATTCCTATTTTTAATATCCGTGATATCCAATTCAATAAATTTATTTGTTTTATTGTACCTATAAAAAAATTATTTAATATATATTTTACCTTTCTAAAGGCAGCTTCCTTGACGCTGTAAAATAATAAATTTCGCAGTTGATCCAACGGCTCGTCTAGAACTAACAATGGAAGGTTAGGACAGACCAGCTCCGAGAATTGATGCAAGAGAACCTGCAAAGATTAATATCGACTTAAAGATATTTCTTCCAAAAATACCAATATACGTCTAGTTTCAAAACTGAGTGAAAAAAGGAATTTTTCTATGTTACATATGTTTTTGAACGTTTTTGAAGCAAAAACTCAAATTCGAACTCAAATAACTTTATTCAATATAGAAGCATTACACTTTCTTATTGATGGTCACTTGAGACACTACCACCGGTTCGGAAAAGAAAATACCCTGACCTGAGAAGAACCGGTGAAAGAAAGCTTTTAACATTATACATATGTAGTCATACCAATCTATGACATATAATGTGGGGCGGTAGATCTCTCAACAGATGACACTCTAACGGAGGCTGCGGCGGAGGGCGCGGGGCTCGTGGCGCCTCCACACACAGCGCTACCGTGTGAGCACTGCCGCAAGCCACGCGGGTCACACGTTTACCCTACGAATAAAATGTTTTGAGAACTCTTGACTCTTATTCTTATTGATTACTTTCATTGGCTTTGTATACTAAAAAAATCATTAAAAGATGGCCATATTACTTTTTAGAAGGTAATGTAAGATTATTAATATGACGGTTGGTTTATTAAGTAATTATGCAAGAAATTATATCTTAAATACTGATATGCTTGAAAATGCTGATTAAAGTTATTAATGTCTCTATTCAATCGAAGAGAAATATACATTAAAATGTAAGTTTTATGGGGTAGGAATAATATTCACCTGCAAAGCCATGAGTAATCTTGGTCTCTGTGCAGCGAGGGTGGTCCCATCTCCTAGTTGTCCTTCGTCGTTGTCACCCCAAGTGTATACCTCGCCGGTATCAGTACACGCCACACAGTGCAAACTCCCTATAAAATATCATTACAAATGTACATACATCATAGCAATTTAGGATGCAAAATACCAGATTTTAATATGTATTAGCTTACTATAATATATACATGAATATATTCCAAATCTGAAAATTGGATTTAATTTATGATTTCCTACACAATTTCCGTGAGATAAAATAAAAACATGAGGTCGGAAAAGGAAAAAATCTTACTAAGTTTTTAATGAATTAATTCCCAAATGACGTGTAACGAAATTAAACAAATGTATCATATCAGGTTTGAAAACATTCCTTTGTTACATTATACTTATTATTAAACAGAATTTCTTCAGGTTTTCTTTCAAAAAGGTACCAAAATAATAGGAAAAATTTGCCAGTCGAACTAGTTATACATATTGCACTTTATACTCACCAGTAGCAATGGATACTATCATTTTTCCTTGCATGCCTGTGACGCGCATCGGACGTCTCACGTGTTCATAACTTCCGTGACCTAGTCTATGGTAATCGCCTTTTCCCCTAAAATGTATGAAAAATTTTGTTGTAAATAATTATCCCTACTAATATTATAAATGCGAAAGTAACTCTGTCCGTGTGTCGGTCTGTCTGTCTGTTACGCTTTAACGCCTATAAAACCACTGAACTGATTTTAATGAAATTTGCTACAGAGATAGAGTTGACCTTGAGAAAAAAACATAAGATAGTGTTTATCCCAGACTTTCAAAAGGTTCTCTTGGAATCACGATATAACCGAACTCCACGCGGGCGAAGCTGCGGGCGGAAAGCTAGTAGTATATAAATTAAAATGTCTATATTCTTACTTACCAAGTGTAAACACTGCCACATTGACAGAGAGCGACAGAAAACTGCGAACCGCATTCCACTTTAATAACTCTTAGTCCTTTCAAACAGTCAATTCTCATCGGCAACTTACAACCTTCAGAACCACCTCGACCTGTAGCATTCAAATAACCAAGGATTAATATCACATATTAATAAAACATATTAATTTAATTAATACTTTTAAGGACTATTTGTTGCAAAAACATTTGAATGAATTCTTGTAAAAAGTTACCATGTTGGCATAGACCAATTTATTTTTGCTATATTATTAGGACATCACTTCAGAAACGTTTCACTGACAATTTTTTATTAGCTTATTATCAAGTAATTATTTAACATATATTTATTATTTTACCTAATTTTCCATAATCTCCGTCGCCCCAGGACCATACATTGTCATCATCTGTAATACAAAGTGTCTGAGCATCGCCCGAACCACACGCGACGTCTATGACTCGGAATGATGATAAAGCCTCCACCTGCAAGGAAAATTCTCCCATAAGATCATGATTAAAACTTATGTCAACTTTTACTGGCATTATATCATAAATTATTTTGTCTTATTTAACAAGAAGAAATAAAAACAAAATTGAATTCGTATTTCGTCAATACTCATTTATTTTGCTACAGATTCTGTTTTAAATACGTGTTTTAAAATATGAGGTTGTTAATAATAATTTTCTATAAAAACTAAAACTTTGAAGAACACATCAAAATAATTGACGAAACTTCACTGTTTAGCCAAATATATACTTGACAAAATAGTCCCTATTTATGTATTAATTGACGGTAAAACAATATTTCAATATATTATTTACCAGTTTCGGTATAAGTTGGTCCTCTGAGTCCCCATGACCTAATCTTCCGTATCGTCCTTTGCCCCACGTGTATATTCTTCCACGAGCAGTGAGACAGGCGGAATGAGCGCCGCCACAGGCGATGCAAACAACTTCCAAACCGGATAGAGCTGTTATTAACTTTGGACGGTCGTAACTCCTGGAAAAGTAACATATTTACGTTACTCTATATACAAAAATTTTCTTGAATATAGAGAAAACAATAATGTACTAAATGTTTGAGCTGACTTACTCAAGGTATTCCCAATTATGGATGGTGTAAAATAGCGGTTCTAAGCAATTAAATTGTAGCTCTTATCGATTCAAATTACGAATTTTCCTTAGCAGTTATTATTACAACTGATTAAGATGGGAAATATAATACACTAAAAAATTTCAACAATCTTATTCAACATTTTTAATTTTAAAATCAAAATTATTCGAAAAGACATACCAGCTGACTTGCTGATATTATGCTCTTCTCGATTAATTTTTATTTCTGTATTAACTATTTAATTATTAAAGCGTTAATATACTTACACTCTGTTCCCGTGGCCTAGTTTGCCATCCTCCCCCTCCCCCCAGCTATACACCTCACCATCCGCTGATAGCGCCAGACAATGTTTACCGCCGGAATTACAGGCCACCTGAAAATAAATTATGTTAGTTCAATTTCTTAGTTCTTGACATAGCCATAATCTTCGTTTTGAAGAGAATTTGGTTTTAAAAATACCACCCCATACAACATCTTTTTATAGTGACTCATTTACAGTCCATTCAATTCGTCTTTGGAACTCTTTTCCACTAGAAGCAAGACGTGCACCATCTATTACTTCTTTTAAAAAAATGATAAAAGAACACTTTCTTGCTTCATGAAGAAATACTACAATTCAATATTTTATTTATTATGTAAGTATCTATAGTATGTAAATGTATGTATATATTTATAATGTGTATGTTTATTATACATATTATTATATATTTATGGAATATTTATTTATGTATCGTACAAATTACTTAAAAAAATGACTTAAAAAATAGATACAATATATACATATATACATTGTATCTATTTTTTAAGTCATTTTTTTAAGTAATTTGTACACCCCTACCATCCTATCTCTCTCCTCTACCAAAGGTTGCCTGGAAGAGATCGCTGTTTTAGCCATAAGGCCGCCTATTGTACATTTTTCTTTTCTTTGTTTTACTCCTATTCTTTTTGTCTATATTGGTGTGCAATAAAGAGTATATAAAATATGTTGAAATACTGTATATAGCTCAGAAAGAAAAAAATATAATAGTATATTCACCTTAGTAATAAACACGTGTTGTATAGACGCTAGAAGCGTTGGCTGAGACACTGAATCTATTCCGCCAATACCAAGTCTACCGCCGGCACCGTAACCTGGAATTAAAATAATATTAAAACACACCCACTTTAATAATAATAACTGCTACTGTAGACTTCATTTAATTTTATTATATTATATAAAAGATTATATTATCTACCTGTAGCATAAACTTTCCCGTCCGGTGTTACAGCGAACAGTGTTTGCTCTCCGCCAACTAGCTGGACGGGGTTCAAGGCCGCCAATGCATGACACGGAGTAGGGGTCCGTACTTTAGCCCCTTCCACTCCCCCCAACTGTCCACGATGATTATGACCCCAGCCGTACACTGCACAACCACGGGAACCACCATTCCACCATCCCGACCAATCCTCGGGACGCCTGTTTGATAATGTTATATATAATTACTTAATTAGTTACGAGAAGAAAATAGTGTATAAAACATTATGACGACACTTACCTATTCACCCAATGTAGCAATTGTTCGTCGTGTTGCCTTGTTAGCCTACTGTTGTCCTCCCAAAGGTTTTGACACTCCGTGCCGCTTTCTTCAGTATTATATACTCCTAAATCAGCTAATCGTTTACGAACATCAGCTAGGAACGGTGTAGGTAAAGGTTGCCGTCGTATGAGTGCATCTGCGGTGCGAATACAAAGACAGTATCGCTTGAACCAGGACCATCGAGCCGAATCTAGACCGCTACAAACTCGACTGTCGATACGTAGACCACACGCTAACCAGGCTAGTTCCTATATTATTGAACATATTTTATAATAATCATTACAATACCACACAAACATTAATTATGACTAAAATTATCGACACAAACCTTAAGATAGTGAGAGTGCAGCAAGTGTGTGCCCGTGCGCAGCGCTGGCTCTTCATGTTCGTACTGCGCTTGAAGAAGCTGTGGCAGCGCTTGAAGCGCTACAGGAGGAGCAACGTCACCCGCCGCACCGCCCACGCCACAAACAACACCGCGCAGTCTTCTTACACACCACACACGACCACGCCATGCTGATAGTAGAAGCCACAGATAATCAAATATTCATATCAATAACCTGATAATAGTAAATATGTAACAATTGCACACTTACATAGCGTAGGCATTTGTGCACATATAGCCAACGCCTGGGCCAAACGCGGTGCCAATTGGTGATCGTTAGATATCGCCGTAAGTAGAGGTCCGTCTAATAACCTCCAAGCCAATTCAACAGACGGACACGACAGTACATATCGGTCTGAACCACTTTCCTGTCAACCAAAGCCATCAATAAATACCATATAACAGTGTATGAAAAGAAATAAATTAGTTTTATTATCACCCTTATTTTCTTACCATATTAGAATGTGACGGTAGTATTGGATGCACGGTGAACCTCCACCCCCAGCCATTTACTGATCCATCACTCGTAAATCTCCATCGCAACTCGTCACCTACAATAATAAGAGCATTTAAAAACCATTACTGACACGTACTTCATAATTGTATTTGAGTATAAAAAATCGTTACTTAGAACCTTTGAATATAAAGAGATGGTCTTAACAAAATTAAGTTTAGGTATAAGAGAAACTAAAAAAAATACATTAAAATAGAAAAAATTTGTCCATATATTTTAAGTTCTAGTTTCTTACTCAAATAAGCAAACAATACTAATTTCTAAATGTACTACAACAGCGGAATTAGTCTAAACATGATAGTCCTTTGACTATATGTAGGCTCTACCAACATTATAAATCACCATTTTATAAGAATCAACACAAGTTTCACTACTTAGATCCCATTTCCTGTACTTAGTGCAAAATAATCTAAATTTCGTATTAGGACAACAAAAATTTTATTAAAATGTAATCATATAAATCTTCCATCATCGTCATTACAATATTTAAGTCATCATTTAATAAGAATCACAACAAATTTCATTACTTTGATCACACCCTCCACTACTAGGTGCAAAATAATTTAAAATTCGTATAAGAACAACTAAAATTAATTTCAAATTTAATTTTATAAATGCATATCTTTAATTTTATTAATCTTACCATTAACAATGATTTCCTGTGCCCAGTCAGTGGGTTCTCTTCCAGATCTCGTGGCCAGAACTCGACCAGCGCTATCAGATATCGTGAGAGGATCATTCCTCCTCTCCGTAGAACATCCCTGCTCGAATGACACACGCAGGGATTGAGCTCCGGGGATTTTAACTACGCCTGAAAAAAAAACACAATTATTATTTATTGAAATCATAAATAGAACAGAATCTATAGTACCATATCATACAAACTAATCTATCAAAAACATTGTTAATTAATTTTTTAATAGTATTTACTAATATACTATATGTGCTTAAATGAAATTAGTAATATCCAAGGACAATAATCTCGCACATTACTATGTCCATATTTAGGGGAACCATGACTTAACTATTCTTATCCAATAAGACTGACTTCATCATCAACCTATCAGAGCCCACTGCTGAGCAAAGGCCTCTTTCTCACTTGGAGAAGGTTTGAGCGCTATAAGACTGACTTATTACCCTTTTAATGTTGGAAGAATGAAAATGACGCTTACTACGACTTTGTTAACTGGACTTTGTAAGCATAGGTATACGTTGAATTTGATTTTGATGACGAAAGAGATATATTTTTAATGAAAAGATGCGATAAACGACCGTGTATATTTTCACGCGATTTTTTTACAAAATACAAATTCCTTAATAACGCGAGTACAATACAGCGAGACCTTATTTTCGGTTTTCCTGAAGTTTATGCTACATCACTAAAATCTTAAATTTAATACATCCTGTAGTTTTTCTTTAAAAATTTAACATAAATACTGCTGTCAAGTTGAGAACCTATATAACTAGGCTTATATGTATGTATATAATAAAGTATGTCTAGCATACACTGACCGGAAATATCAGTATCATCAGCGTACGGATGCGGGCTGTCCACAGTGACGGGGTGTGGAGGAGCGCGCGCTCCGCCCGCCGCCGCCTCTTCTAACTCACACACGCAAACTTCGACCACCATGTCCGCGACCGCCGGCTTACTGGCACACAACGCTGGGGACATATATATGAATATTAAATATTAACATGCAACATTTATGTCAGTGGTGGCCTAGTGGTTAAAAGGCCCGCCTCTCATGCATGAGGGCGCGGGTTCGACCCTGGCAAGTACCAATGTAATTTTTCCGAGACATATGTACTTTCTAAGAATATTTAGACATCACTGATTAATGTATTCCCAAAGAGGGTTGACGTCAGGCGGGCGGCCGGTCGTAAAAACAATTAGCCAAAACTATTCACGGCATGTAAGGCAGACCCTGGCTGAAGCTGGGAAATTGCCAGGAAGAAGAAGAAGAAGATTTAATGTTAATATTAATGCATTTTATTCAAAGGTCTATTGATATAGTAATGGTAACAAATTATCCTATACCCATTAGAACGTCAGTAATAATTTTAACTGCATTCGCCGAATCAGGTACTCGTCCGGCAGCTGCTAGTTTTAGCAGATCTACGAGGGCTCTGGCATCAGATTCTCCGAGATGTGAAGTAAAATCATCCAGGGCCAACTAAAACGACAAATGATTTTTTCACTTCGTGGCAAAAAAGTTTGTGATATGTTATCAATTATCAAAATAATTTGAAGTCAAAATTGTGAAATTAGTATGTATAATAAAATTACTTTTGGTGCCTCAGCTTGCTGCACGGTCATAGTTGCTGCAGCCACAGAGACAGCGCTGGACGACATCACAGCTGAGTGACGAGACGATATAGATCCGCTTAAAGGACTGCTAGCACCGCTCTGCAATATATAATTAAAGATACTAATAGTTAGGGAATGTGTAATAATTAACTTTTTACAGTTGCTTTTAAATTCAATAAAAATCAAAATTGAGATGATGTTGAATGTTGATACAGCATAGAAACATTGTCTTGAAAAAAGTACATAAAAAGAAGTAGAACAGTAAAGTCAGTGGTGGCCTAGCGGTTAAAGGGCTCGCCTCTCATGCATGAGGGCGCGGGTTCGATCCTAGCCCGGGCAAGTAGCAATGTGATTTTTCCGAGTCATATGTACTTTCTAAGAGTATTTAGACATCACTGTTTAATGCAGTCCCAAAAGAGGGTTGATGTCAGGCAGGCGGCCGGTAGTAAAAAACAATTAGCCAAATCTATTCACAAAATGTAAGGCAGACCCTGGCTAAAGCTGGGAAATTGCCAGATAGAAGAAGTAAAGATTATAGCACATAAAATTTTCAGCAAAATCCTACGTTTTTTACGTAAGAAATCGTACACCAAGATCAGTTTTATAAAATATAGCTCAATTCATAACTGCTAGAATATTATCAAAATATATATAAAAAAATAATAACAAAACCTGTCTATGGTTACGTTACGAATAAATAGGTCTGTTTGAAATGGCTAACCAACCATTTTTATTATTAGCCATCAGTACTAACAGGTAAAGTAGCTCTATCAGCGGGCGCCTCCCCTCCACCGGTACGAGCGTCCGCCTCACCGTCATCATCCTCTGAATCCAGCCCTACAATCACCGGAGCTGAAGTAGAACACGCTTCATGAGCACGGAGAGCTTCTACTAGGAGACTTCGAGCCTGTAATTAGGAAATAATACAAGGTTTTTTACTTATGAGAAAGAATTCATTTTTCAAATGGTTGAGTAATAAGATTTTTTTGTATTTTTCACCAGAATACATAAAATTTAAACATATCTAGAAAATAAACCTATTGTTTGTTTTTACTAAGTATTAATTGGGTGTAAGTGTAATAACCTGTGTTATATGTAAGGCTAGTAGAATAAGAGCTAGTGCATGTTGTACGGCGACTGGTGGTTCCAGTGTGAGCGCGGCCGCCGCCAAGGACGCACGTGTTCCACTCGCCTCCTCACACACGGGCTCATCCGAGTACAAGCCTGAACGAGAAAGATATTAGATAATTTATTAGTACATATAAAAGCGATAATTACTATATACTAGCTGCGCCCCGCGGTGTTACCCGCGGTTTTCCGGGATGTAAAGTAGCCTATGTGTTATTCCTGGACGTCAGCTTCCTGTATACAAAATTTTATCAAAATCGGTTCAGCCGTTTGAGCGTGAAGAAGTAACAAACATACACACACACAAACTTTCGCAATTATAATATTAGTAGTATATTAATGAATCAAAATTATGACAATCCGTTTCAAATATACGAATGTAAAAAAATCATATATATAGTTACAGTACCACGAGAACATGTAGCTCTAAATATTTCTTAACAAAAAGTCAAAGTTTTTTGTGTTATCAAACTTCGAAAGACAAAGAATAATTTGTATTATATCTATACGTATTAGGTGTTTGAATTACCAAGGCTATTTGCTCCCAATGGATCCTTAAGAGCGGGGAATGGCAGAGGTGTGACATGTGGTGTTGGTACATCATTGTGTTGTGCCGGTCTTAGTGCCCAGGCGGCTGAGTGTGAAGAGCCGGCGGCTGCTCGTTGCACTCCCTCCACTCCCGCTACTAAGGCCGGTCGCCGGTTCACACACGTAGTGCCATTGCCCTGCTGGCCGTGGTCATTATCACCCCACGCCCATACCTGCATTATATTAATGTGTGTTTTAGAGTTCAACTATTTTATTACTATTGTTATATATTATTAGCAAACAAATAGATTTTGTCAGATTACTGAACTTAACCAGTAACCGAAACTGAATCATCGGGAGTCTGTATTTGAAAACAAAAAATTAGTTTCATTTTAATGAATAAGTCTTACATCTTATAGTTATTGTCAGATTATTTCAAAGATATAGTTCCGACAAGGAAGCAATAAAAAATCTGTTTACGTCACCTGGTTTTCACTAGTAACAGCTAAACAGTGCAATGCGCCGACAGCCACGTGTATAACACGACGACCGCGTAAAGCTTCCACTAGAGTGGGACGACGAACGTGCGCGTCACAACCATGACCCAGACGAAAATAGTCTCCCTTACCCCAGGTCCAAACCTGAAAGAAAAATATATTTATTACCTCTAGCATTACAATTAAAGTATGTAGTAATACAAATATTCTACCAGCTTTAATATAGTAAAGCATTTATTGTAAATATACCTCTCCATCTCTTGTTAAAGCCAAACTGAATTGAGCGCCACATTCGACCTGAGTCACTCCTAGCGAGTTAAGTCTTTCAACGTTCATTGGTATCGCACAACCATCGGAACCTCCTCTACCTGTTTTAAATTCATACATTAAATATCATAATAACTGTTCCTATATTTCCATTTTGAAAGGAAAACTTTTCTGTCTTTCGTATGTACGTTAACGTCCTTGTTACCTAATTTACCGAAATCACCGTCTCCCCATGAGAACACTTTGCCGCATGCTGTAAGGGCTAAAGTTTGAGCGTCTCGTGATCCGCATGCGACTTGAATTACTCTGTAATTTGCTAAAGCTTCGACCTGAAAAATCACATCCTATAGATTTTGTAACCTTATATTATATTAAACTGTTGGTATAATGCTTACCATTTTCGGTACTAGTTGTATATTATCGTCTCCATGTCCCAATCTTCCGTACTCTCCCAACCCCCAAGTATATAAGTGACCTCTTGCGGTCACACAGGCGCTATGTGCGGAACCACACGCTATACTGATGACTCGTTCTCCGGCCAGTGACTCTATGAGGCGGGGAGCTTCCAATGTTATGCGATTACCGTGGCCCAGCTTACCGTCTTCTCCTTCACCCCAAGAATACACCTGTAGTTAACACACATAATGAAAAAATATATAAATAAGTAGATTTCCGCCCGCAGCTTCACCCGCGTCGAGTTCGGTTATATCGCGTTTCCAAGAGAACCTTTCAAAAGTCTGGCATAAAAACTATCCTGTGTTCTTTCTCAAGATCAAGTCTATCTCTGTACCGAATTTCATTAAAATCAGTTCAGTGGTTTAGGCGTGAAAGCGTAACAGACAGACAGAGTTACATTCGCATTTATAATATTAGTAGGGATAGTATTGAATTAACAGACGGTGTGTTAAATTATTACCAAAAAGCAACTAAACTAAACGGACATCTAAATATGCATCAATGGCTAAATCGAAGAAGAATTACCTTTCCATCAGCAGTGAGTGCTAGCGCATGTTTCCCACCGGAGTGTACCGCTACACGTCTAACAAGAACGTGGGAAAGATATGGATTAGCGCGAGGTGTGGACACGTTGTTGCTATGACCAAGACCGAGGCGGCCGTTCGTGCCTTCCCCACAAGCAAATAGCTACAAAAAATATCATTACATTAAGTACAATATATAGAAAATTCCATTTTATTTAATAGGGCCTCCAACTACTCGATATTGATATATAAATAAGAGCGATGGTATATAAGCTATAAAAATATGTGAATTAATTAGAATACCTTTCCATCGTGAGATACGATAAACAATGTTTTAGATCCTCCCGCTATATGAACCGGCCGCAAGGCGCTCAAAGCCGGAGAAAATACTGGAACCTTCACTTTAGAACCTTTCACACCTCCCAACTGGTCCTTGTCATTCAGGCCCCATACAAATACCTAGAAATTATTTATTTATTTATTTATTTAAGCACACTTACAACATACATATTACAAACATTTATATTAAAATTTAGAAGTTATATTAAAGTCTGATATGTACGTCAATTACAAGTGTACATAGCATTCATTGAGTATGTATATTTATTTTATAAGTAATAATAGTTACAGTTACAGAGCAAATTTAAAACTTGTTTAAATTATTTAATTAATTCAGGGTAAATATACAAGTTAAATAAAATTAAAATTAAATCAAAATCAAGTCAAAATAAAACCAAACTCAAATTGAAATTCAATCAATATTAAATTAAATTTAAATTAATTATATAGAAATAAAAATTAAATACAAAATAAATCAAATCAAATCAAAATTAAATAAAAATGAAATTAAAGTTATATAAAAATCAAATCAGAATTAAATTAAAACTAAAACTAATCATGCGTTTTATAGTAATTAAATAACTTATTGCTAAAGAACGAGGGGGAATCGTTAAAAATGTCAATGCCAGGGATTGATTTAAGAATATTATTATACTCGTTGCATAGTCGTATCAAGGGGACTTGATTGCCAACATGCGTTCTTAAACAAGGAGTGTAAAATATTTTGTGTGTATTTCCTAACTAAATTATGTTTAGTTAGGAAAAAATATTAATAATCTTATTAATATGGGTATTTTTACCTTTGGACAATCATTTGGCAATGACGGAGGATTGTTGTCAACTGAGACTGCACCTGTTGGATTATCCTTTTCAATCCAATCTTCAGCTATGAAATTCATACTCTAAAAAAAAAATTAAAAACCAGTCATATAAAGTACAGCAACTGTTAATTTAGATTAAATAATGAAAAATTATATATTTACCGCTAAAATTTCCGAATACAATGGATTTGGTCTGAAACCTGTTATGTAGAGTCCATGGACGCGACAATCGGCGTTGACATTCCTATTTTGCTTGATACCAATTTCAATGCACGGATAGTACTGAAAATAATATCATTGGTTACAAACAAATTCATATGGTATATGACTATTGAAAAGTTCTAGAGTTAATTCTAGTTAGAGCTTAAAAATAAAATCCAATTGTATTCAAAGGTTTATCTAACCTGTTTACAGTCAGCCAATAGCTGTATTTGTGCGAGATGTGTGGGCGGCCTGTCTCGTGAGGGGGGCGCGGGGGTGCAGGGCACGGCGGCGAGGGGGGCGAGGGCCGAGTCCTCGAAACTGTTCCCCGCACGTACTGACAGCGCCGCTGGTCCATGAGCGCCGCCCGATACGCCCAGACCGAGTCGACGGATACGAACACCGCAACGCATCTCAACACGGATCCAATGCTGAATAATAATAATAATAATAATAATAATCATTTATTTCAGACCATATTACTAGATCCATATAGTGTTATGAATGAAGAGGATATATTTCTCAGGAAAGTAACAAGTTATGTTAGCAAAATCAGTGTTAATCTTGTTTTAGATTTGTATTAAGCGAGAGATTAGTGTGTGAGTAATCGTTATTAGTTATTATATCAAATATCTATAATTAATGAGAGGATAGAGATTTTATTTTAAGACAATTCACGAAACTCGAATTGTTTCATATAAATAGTCACCTAGTTAATACTTGTGTCAATCAGGGAGCGGTGCATTTAAGTGGAGGACTATGTGTAGCAATAAATGATAAGCTAACTTGACAGCAAAAAGCCTAATTACTTATATCAAAAGCTAGACTGGCTAGAGAATAGAACAGATAGGAGTGTCCGAGAAACTGAGAAGCTTAAACTATTAATTTCTAAACATAAAACAGCAGGATTAAAAGATGCTTTCAAATATGCTGCAGCAAAAATTTGGAATAACCTACCACCTCCCCTACGTGATTGTCATTTTTCAATTGTAACTTTAAAAAAACACCTTAAAGAATATTACCTACGTCTACAAGTAGAAGCAGCTACGTAAGAAAAACAACTTTATAAATGAATGCGAATGAAGCAAAATATGAAAGAATATAATCCTAAAAACTTAGACGACTCTTTATTTTTCTTTTTATTTAATCATAGTTTCAATTGTCCTAGTCCTGATGTACACATAAGAGTTATGGTTGTTATGATGCGAAGATGTGAAGAAGTTTTTGTCGTTCTGTTAATGTTTAGTTTTAAAATGTAGTTATATACTGGAGAAATTGTTTATTTACTTCTTTTTGAGTTCTATAATAATTTCACCGGTATTTTTTTTACTTGCTTTTATATCAGTTTTTTTTTTGTATCACTTCAATATGTTACGGAACGGTGCGGCGCTTTTAACTAAGACAACATAATGTAGAAGGAGCAAGCTGAAAATCAGCGCTGGGCATAGCACAGTACATAGCTGAGCTTGTAACCAATTGCGATATGGTCGTCAATGAAAACGAGTGGTAAATTAAGAAAAAATTGTTTGCCAGAATGAATAATTTGTATCTCATAAAAATATGTATGTTTTTCTTAAAAGTTACTTTTTAATGTACGACCTGTCTGAAGCAATAAAGTTTTTATTATTATTATTATTGATCGAAATACCTGTCCAGTTCCGCTTGAGCTCTGCCAATTTGTATGTGGCTGTGAGTCCAAGAGACGACGAGCTCCTGCACCAGGTCGGCAAGAAGATACACGAACCGCGCGGACTGCACCGCGCCAACCAACCGTACACCCGCCGGCACTCTCTCCCCACTCCGCTGTACAAACCAATTCGTATGTGAGTATTAAATATACATATGGGTATATATTATATTACGATCATGTTCTTGTCATACATACATTGATCCGTGACTAACTCCATCTCACTAACTTGTCCCGTCCAGCCGGGTTGTTGCGGAAAATCTACTGTCAAATCTCTGCCGTTACTTTGAATTGCTGAAAAATGCATATACGTTTACATATATCAATACATATCGAAATTATCATAGAGTGATAAAAATGTAATTTCTTGTTCAAAATTGCTTCGAATGTATGCAATTATATGAAGAATATTTAACGCACCAGTAACAGTTCCAACGCTGGAGTGGTCAATGCAGCCCCACTTATAACGTGGCTGTGTGACCGCAGCCCGAACACGCACGCGGTCCCCGGGGGCGAAGGGCGGAGCACCAGACACTACCTCAGCATGAGTCGCTCTCACGCCCGCCACACGACCAACGCCGCGCCATTCAACCTGAATCATATTTCTTTAGTCGTACTTTGCCTAACCACCATATAATACTTTACCTTTACATTATATGTATTGAAATTTGAAATAGAATTATATTGAATCCAATTAAAGAAATACGCTCCTAATAATATTCCGTGTTTCAAGTTTATTTTCTTTGTTAAATGAGGATTTCAAGTATGAAATCACCATTTCTTTGTCGTGAATTCTTTCATATTTATTAATGTTTAACTCTTTACTTCATATTGAAGTATTATAGCGAGAACCAGTAAATCAGCGATAAAAATTATCGAAATGAATAAGAATTCTTAATTCATAAAGCCTTAAAAATCAAAGCATTATGATTTTGTCTACGACAAAATATCAACTTTTAAACTAGAGTGATAAATAATATAAGTGCAAATTATCTTAATATTATATATTTTTAAAATCTATAATATCTAAAATCTTAGACACATGTACAGGGTGTTAAGACTCATCAATTATTATATTAATCAGTATTTGGTGAGAGGATAATATAAAAATATGAAATAGCTAAATAAAAATTACTACTCACGTGCAAGAAAACATTCTGCTTTATATCACGCTCTACTTTTTGGACCTGTCCAACATCCCCTAGAGCGATCTAGAATAAAAACAAAATGATCTATGTTCAAAGAAAAATTATCTAAGTAGAGGTAAAATTAGCAAAAACTTACATTTTCATAGGCCTTACAGCATCTGACTGTCATGCCCGGTGTTATGATATCGGATAGGTATTGTGCGTACTCGTCTTCAGAAGCAAAACAACTCCGCCAACGGTAGGGAGTCTGTTTCTTTTCTTGCTTCGAAGTGGTCGGCTTTATTTCGTATACCGTTTCATCCATGCCCTGTTGAGGCAATTCTAATAGATATGCAACTAGTGCTTCCACGGACGGCAAACTTGTTCCACCTAAAATATATTGAAAAATTTATTTATACTACATCTAAAAATTTTGAATTTAATATGAAATGAATAAGGCTGTGTTACGTTTGAGTGCCATGCATTGCGTTGTTTAAATGAATATCTTTTTTATTATGCGATCTTTTAAAATTACTATAGATTGTAGAGCGTAGCTTCAGTAATATTAAAGTATTAAGAACTCCAAGTAGTTACATTTTTTTTTATTTATCAGTCCCCATTTGGCAAATCAAACTCACATTAAGGATATTACATACATTTGCGAATAGACTGTCTAATATCTTTCACAAAATATTGGCCTAAGTTCTAACACTGAGTTTCCTTGCAGAGTTGTTATATTAGAAACAACAAACAACTCGTCTACATTGTTATAGATATAAAAATAAAACACATTTTAAAATGTATACCTAAAGTCTGGATAGCTCCATAAACAGCGTGCCTAGAAAATCCCATTTCAATAACCTTTTGTACTTGTGATGAATTTGCCCACGTGTTCAGATCTTTCCTTGCTGAAATTCAATTTAATATACATTACAAAAGTCTATTAACACGCGCCTTAACTTCATATATAATAGTTTAAAACTGACAAAGAGACGCGGTGCTGGTCGACGGTCCCATAGACACTTGCATGACATTACTCTTGTCTATGATCGGCAATTCTGGCGGAGAATCAAAGTCTTTTTCATCTCCTGTGAATAACAGTAAAAAGTTCACTTTATTTCATCAACTTGCAAACATAAAGAGATTTTTAATTAGATTATATACATTCAGTGTTTCTTACAGTATTGAACTACATAATTTCTAACATGTTTAAGTCATAGTAAATATAAATACGGCCAATTCTAGTATATATGACTATACCTGCAACATGTGCGGCTAGCTGTTGTACTATAGTGAGTGCAGCTGACGCCAGGTCTTTGGGTGAGTGTGAGGCGGCCAGCGGACTGGGACGAGTAGCCAGAGATAACAAACGACGCAGCAATGTACCCTCAGTTCCCGTAGAACCGCGATCTGACGCTCCTGATGAATAACATATAAAGTATAAAAAAATATAGGTATGTTTTTATATATAATTAATGATTATTTTATTTCTTAGCTACATAATTCTAAAAATGTTACAGCAGGCACTATAAGTCTTGGCTTCTATGTTATATAATATAAATCTAAACAAACATATTTTTTTTTAATATTTTACTTCAATGTAATGTATATGTAAATTTATTTTCTACAACGTACCGCTATGATCTGGAGGTTGTAATAGAACCTTCCTTAATCTTGTCCTAGTCGTTAACAAGCCTCTTACGGCACATAATGTGAGTAATTCCATTTGTTGACGTCGAAGTCCGTATACGTCGATTTCAGCTAAAAAAAAAACAAAAACGATTAGTACTATAAAAACGTTAAGAGGAATAATTCTGGAAAAAAATCGTTTTTTTTTTGCAGTAACAAAAATGTAACAATCAGATATAAAGAGTATCTTATAACCCTACATATTTAGCACAAAAACAATTCATTTGATTCAGTGTCACATAGAAAAAAGTCACTAATTTGTAATAGAATAATAATAAGTATGTACCTGGTAAATGATGAGGATGCATCGGTGAAGCTTGAGGTCCTGCTCCTAGGAGTGCGGCACAAACCCTTAGAGCACTTTCACCACCACCCAGGACTTGACTGAGACGTTCACACTCCGCGCTCTGTACACTCGTTAGATCCACCTGAGAAATAGATAGTATTTAGTCTTCTTCTTCTACCTGGCAATTTCCTAGCTTTAGCCAGGGTCTGCCTTACATTTTGTGAATAGTTTTGGCTTATTGTTTTTACAACCGGCCGCCTGCCTGACATCAACCCTCTGTGGGAATTAAATAGCTAGTATTTAATGCTTCATATAAATCTCAAAAAATCCAAAACGTCCAATAAGCTCTTAGTAGTATAAAAAGATAGCTTTCAATTAATACATTCTTGGTCTTTACATATGGCGTAAAATATATTAATTAGTGTGAAATGGTTTTAGTAGAATTTTCGTTGTAATGGTTTTGGAAAATTTCTCGATCTTAGTTGTGACCTTACATCTTCTTCTTCTACCTGGCAATTTCCCAGCTATAGCCAGGGTCTGCCTTACATGTTGTGAATAGTTTTTGGCTATTTGTTTTTACGACCGGCCGCCTGCCTGACATCAACCTTTGTTTTAGGAATCAACATTAATCAGTGATGTCTAAATACTCTTAGAAAGTACATATAATTCGGAAAAATCACATTGGTACCCGGGCCAGGATCGAACCCGCGCCCTCGGCGACGAGAGGCCGAGAGGCTGGCCCTTTAACCACTGAGCCACCACTGACTTAAGTTGTGACCTTATATGTGCAATTATAATTATAATCTCACTTTATAGGGAAAATATTCTAATGATCCAATTTATATATGATATATGTCAATAAATATCAAACTCCAAGCTAACTTAATGCATAAATTAATAGGGTTTTTAGAACTAAACTAATTAAAGAATTAATTTAAATGTATCATACCTTCGACAAAGTGTTATCATCGTGTACAAGAGTTATTTTGGCTCGTGATGATAGCTGCGTCACAATAGCATTTCTGGGCGGTGAACCCGCTATCACACGCTGACCTAATCTTATTCTCCACTCCATTCCACCTACAACACCCAAAGCTCCAGCTAGAAAACAAAATAATAATAGATATAATTATTTGTTTATAACAAATAACATGATAAACATATTTTTTACATACCTATTAGGCATGTATTGAGTGAGGGGGGCGATGGTTTTAAAGTCTGATTTAAATCTTGACTAGTATGCGGCCACCAATGCCAGTCACTTGTTATCTGAAAGAAAAGGCAATTTTAATAGCTTTTTAATGAACTAAAACACATTAATATAAGTTACATATATTATACAAACCGATAAACAATATTAGTGCTACCAGTGATCTCAGAAAACTTTGGAAAAACCATAAGTTGATTTCAATGACTTAAACGATTTTATATACATTTGAAAAAATAGTAATTACATTCGAAAAAAAAATGAAATAATTATACAGGGTGACTGGTGAATTACTATCAATATTTAAGGAGAATACTCGATACATGATTCTCATTCGAATTATGTAAAAAAAATAGGTACTTAATTTTTGACCAAATTTCCGTATAAATAAATAAAGTGTGGACACGTTCCAAGTGTTCCAAGTGTGGACGCGTGCGGCGGCGTGTTGATACAACACCACGCCGCCGCACGCGTATGTGTGTGTATGTGTCTATACCTAATCTGTAGGGTGTTCACACGATGCGTAATTAATTACATAACTTTTGGTTAACTTTACTTAGAAGTTTATTAATATTTATGTTATATTAATTTTTATTTTGTCATATATGATCGTCAAATATCACGTCCTCAAGTATCGATAGTAATTTACCAGTCACCCTGTATATATAATATTATGAGTAAGTATTTTTGTATTTTTATGCAAGCTTTTTGTAGTAAAAGCAAACAAACAATTTATGTGCGTGAAATTTTTTAATGAAATTAATATGTATGTAAATATTTGTTATAACTTGCTTGTCAAAAAAAAAACAAAGCAATCGAGGTAATAATTTCCGAATAAATACTAGATTGAAATCTTTTACTACCCTATAATAATGTCGCTTACTAGAGACCTTATCCAAGTTTACAACTATTAAATATTCAAATTAATGAATACGTAAGTTTATAATAATGTTAGCTATGGAACATAAGTACTGACCATTTGGGCAGCCAGTTGCAGTTTCTCTAGCAGCAATGCTGTAATAGGTCCGTGCCACTGCGGCGCGGCGTGTAACTGATGTACCAGCGACACTAGCGCCGCGCACGTACCACCCGTGTAACTAGCGGTGGCTGGAGCGCGCCATCTGTTGTCTACAAATAAAACGTATTACAAAAAAACTTTGTCACATTAATTTTGGTATTAAATGATATTGTTCCTTTCTCTCATTATGGATATAAATTTTTCATATTATGATTTAATCCCGAGTGACTTGTCTTTTACATAAGTTGCTTATTTATTTATATATCCCTTGCTCAATTATCTTTACAATACTCTAAAGTAATATGATAAAAATGTTACTCATACCTATCTCTTCCTCGTCGACCGGGGACGGACATCCTCCAGCGTTTTGTATATTAGCTCGTAACGTTGGATCAGCTGCATGAGTCTCGAGCCACAGCCGTCCAGCCAGCGCTATCAACTGAGCCGTCACTGTACGTCGCCACTCCCCCGAGCCCGTGTGCTCTTTAAGAACACGACGTAAAAGCCAGAGAGCCTGAATCTATTGCACGTACATGTTAGAAAAATATTATTTTCGAAATGTTTACGTCATTCCGTAACAGAAAATATACCTGCAGATAAACAAGATCTTGTGTAATGGGCTTATCGTTAGATGATATAATACTATAGCACAGCTCGAACCAGGCATCTGTACATAGAGCTGCTCTCATTTCCGGGCTCTGAGCGCTCGCTAAAAATTATATAATATTAGATAATACGATTCAAACAATATTAAACCTTATGTTGTAAATAATAAGGACCTCTTAGTAAAGCAAGTGCGGTATGCGTATGAGCGGCGAATGCCGTGGGCGGCGGGTGTAGGTGTACGTGTGATAACGCCAGCAGTCTTCGTTGTAGCGCGGCCACGTTTCTTCTCGCCACAATCGCACCACTTTCGCTACTAGTGATGCGGCCCGCGCCCGCACATAACGCACGCACCGCACACGTGCACGCTGAACGAACTTCACTGACCGGCCACCATTCTACGCTGTTCTCGATCGCTATATATAATAAAAATATAACTTTTAATGAGTATGCATCCTATAGATCATAGTAATTTCCTGAGCCTAAACGAACCCTTAAAATTATGTTATATGAGCAACCTTTAGTAGCGGCTTTGTCAATATTTTTTAAAATGAAACTACAGTTTAATTCATATATAGTAAATATATAGTGATATATATTAGAACATCTTAAAAATTATTATTTTTCTCATATAATATGTAGCAGAAATTAACAAAGACGAATCACAGCAATAGATATCACAATGAAAAATATATATAAGTGTATACTTAGTACAGGATACGTACCGTTTCCTTGCACTGTTTCGTCAACAGATGGCGGTGGTGAGGGTGATCGCGCCAGCTTAAGGTCATACTTGCCCTCTTTGCCCATCCTGTAGGAGTTAGTTCCTCCCGCGTCCCACGCGACCCTCACCCACCCGTCCTCACCCAGTTCTCCGATGACCCGACCCTCCCCGCCAGGGATGCCGTCCTAGACAAACATAACATTAGCTACAATTACGCCTTTTATTATTTATTTATTTAATATGGAACTCCAACACAGGTACATATGTAATACAAAAAATACAAGTTTAGACAATAAAATTTTAAATGTACCTCCAATTATAGGAGAACACAACAGATTTTTATTAACAGATCATCATGATATTGTCAATTTAATTAAACTGTAGCATAATTTTAATAAAAATGCATGTACAATGAGATGATTACACAAGATAAAGATCTTAAGTATACAATTAATTTCATCAATAATTATATAAAACAACGCAATTATTATGCAAAAACTTAAAAAAAACTTATTTAAATATTTGTATAAAAGTCTTAAAAAATTATTTGTAATGTTTATTGTCACCTGGTCACCCCACTTCCAATCTTTACCGCGAACAACCCTAGTGCCGATTTTCATAAGGGACGCCAGCTCCGGTCCTGATAAAGACGCACCCCTTGCGCGGGCGCCGAGTCTTTCATCTTCATAAATGATCAGACAGTCAGCTGTAACAAACGATTTATATATTAGAAGTTTATTCTAAGTCTATTTAAAGAAAGTCTGTATATACATTTCGGTTTAGCTCCATTAACAATCAATGAAGCGTGTTGTGAAGTGTCTCCACCAATTTGTTTGAGGAGTGTCAGACACGAACTCAGCGCTCCACCGTTTATAAGTTGCTCTAGCTCCGGACCTTGACAGCCTTCAATAAGCAGTGATAGAAGTGTTATAAGGAATCTGAAATAATAAAATTTCTTTATGACGATATTTCTAATATTTACTAAGTACTTTCTAATCTCAAGTCTATTCTAGAATATTATGTTACCTGGCTCTGGATGGTCTATTTAGTAACGCATGCGCACCATAGTTAGCACTCATTTTTAAAGGTAACGGTTGAGTTTGTTCACCCTCTAGAACTTTTGCCTTTAGCTCATTTAGAATAAAGTTCATCATTTTAGATCTTTCCAGAAGAACCATATATTTGAGGTAGGGTATAACAGACTCAATATTTTCTAGTGGTTTTGTCAATGGTATGGTAGGTTTAAGTGGCGCATTGGGAACAGAATCCGCCATACAAGCTCCAATTAAGCCACACAAAGCTGCATACTTAATACTTTCTGACATAGTTTGTGATGAGTTCAGAATACTATTTATAACAGAGTAACCAGTCCTTCTTATGTCTGCTCTTTGAACCTAAATAAAAGAAGTGAAAGATAGGATTTTAGTATTTTAGTTCTATGTTCATATATCATAGTATTATGTTCATATATATCTATATACCTGACAGTACAACGCCCTCCTCAGAATGTCAATATCACAGGGTTCTTCTGTCATGACGAAGTCAATTATAGCAGCGGTTAGACTTTGTTGTTCCGGTGTTACTTCCTCCAGCATCCAATATAAATCTAAAAAACGAAACCAAAGAATTATTATTAGAAAATCTATTCATAGTTCCACAATAAATGGCTGTAAAGCTCATATAAATATTAGTATTAGAAATGTTATCATATTAAACGGACCTTTTTCTCCACAAGCCAGTCTCGCAACCCAGGCGTTCACGAATTTGTTCCTTTCCGAGTTATCATCATCTTTTTCTTCATCAGCTATAACAATTTCATTTTTCAAGTCATCCGCCAAAAGCATTACTTGCTTCTCGCTTTCCAGTGATTCTTTGAACACTGAGTTATCTGTCATTTCATTGATCGAACTTATAGATATTTCATTAGTTGGCGTCTTATCGTCGTAATCTTTGTCTAAGACTTCATCCTTTTCTAATAGTTTGAGCTCACCGCGACTGTCGTGTCGCATGTCGTCGAAATTGGAAGCGTTCTTTAAATCTTTTTCAAGTGGTTTATCTTTCATTTTGATCTTCGTTTTCGTTTGCACAATCGAAGCGTCTCTTACTATTGTATCGCTGGAACCTTCTAAATTGACATAGGCTCTAGGAGGTTCAACGATTACCGTTTGAGCATCATCCTGTTTACTACACTGGCCGCCGATAGTGGATTTTATGAGCAAAGCATCACCTTGAAGTAGAGTACCGGTAGCTTTAAGCATACTTTTACTTAAACTATTCTGCCTGTTTCTTAGATCCTTAGTAGTTTCGAAGCTGTGAAAATCAATAATATTTTATAAGCATTTTTTTAAGAACAAAAATAACTACATACAATATAAAAAATGTCAGTAAGTTTGAATCTAATTTACTAGCAGAAAAATCGAATTTAATGACCACCATATTTATTAGTAGAGTAATAGTTTTGTAGTTCAAAGTCATAAATAAAAAACCGCGTGGTAAATAAAATATTAGTTTTATTTAAATGAGTAAGCGCGATAATGTTAGATCTCAGTAGTAGAGTAATAATTCATTTTATTACCATTTATTAAAGCTAGGTTCCCGAGCCATCTTCAACACTTTTCTGAACACCCTGTGTGAGGCGGGTGCGATTTTTGGAGGTCGTGTTTTCAGCGCTGTGAGGGCGGGGGAGAGAGCGGCGCGGACTTCATGTAGAAGGAAACGAGCGCGCTCTAGTGGAGCTGCGCACACCTATAAAATTTATTTATTTATTATTTATTTATTTTATTTTTTTGCTACACAAATACATTACATATATTATACAGTTATACAGAAGAAGAAAAGAAAAATTAATTTGTATCAAGGGGGTCCATCTCAGTATAAGCTGTGCTAATGCACAGCACTGATTTTCAGATGGCCCCTACATGTGAGTGTTAAATAAAATATACATAATATTTTATTTAACACTCACATGTACACAGAGTACTGCGATATAAATTTACCACCCTTCCACATTTAACTATTATTTCAAAACAATTCACTATGTTTAAATAATTTCGTTTATTGAATTGTATATATGTAATTTTATATATTTTGTAGAAGTGGAAAAATAACAAATTATATTTTTCTCTGTCCTAAACTGAATGTGAACAATGCAATATTAAAATATACGAAGTTGATAATAACGAATTAAAAGCATTTTTTTATGAACAAACACCGGCTTATGTGTTCAAGTAATTTAGGATTATTTAAAAACTTATAATGGCATATCCTTAAAAAAAATTAATCCTGCTACATTGTATAAAACTGACCTCTTTGTAACCCCTTGACAACTGTTGTCTTGTCCTCATTAGCGTCCATTTACTCTGCTGCACAGCTTTTACTATCTCAGACATAGCCGGAGATAATTTCACTTCCCCTTTATCCATTTCTGAATAATAAAAATATCTGTTATAAATATCAAGTGCTCATAATAGTAATATAATAGTATTGAGTGATAAGTACCAGCTGTTGCAGTAGCTAAAGCATGATCCTTAAGACCGGCGTGATATAACAGAGCGGCTAGTAGCGCCCTACGGAGTTCTTCCAAGGGATGTTCCGGAGGGAAATGAGGAGCACAACCCTCGCGACGTTCGCACGCCCACCATAAATGTAACGCCAATGGATCCTAAACATATAGATTCATTTAGAAAATTCCTTAACTAGACTTCTGAAACCAACATATGAAGAAACATGATGATAAGTATTTATAATTGTAACGGCAACAAAAAGCTTCGATATATTGTAAAAAATATATATATAGATATATATGTAGTATCTTTGTTGAATGAATGAATCTTACATGTAACTTGGGCTCAGCCAACGCAAACAATAAAGCATCTGCCCTTTGTGGGGAGGCGGTCACGTTCACTTTGGGGGTACGCAGACGTGTTTGTGGCGGATGCAATACATTGGACGTTTGCATGTGAACGTGTGGCGCGTCACTAGCGGGACTGTTCCCGCCCGTTGAAGAACCGCTTCTGGCTTCAGCTTTCTCTTCCTCGAACGGGTTCGTTGGTTTTGATGTCTGTAAATCATTGATATTGTATGTTATTTGAATTTGGAAATATTTGGATTTGTAGCTTGAGTATATTCAACATTTATTAGTAGTTTTGAACCTAAAATATGGATAATGAGAAAGAAATTTATTAATTTTTCTTTACATTAATTAGCTTTTGGATATCTGACCTGCAATCCTCCTCTAAGGAAGACGGCTGCGGCGAAAGTTGCATCCCTTTCAGCTTGCTGCTCGGGTAAAGATTTTGCAAGACGAGCGCCTATTGAAGACACGCCCAACGCCAGGTGAAACGCACAGGAGGATAGAACGTGATGCGTTCGAATACTGGATGTACTGTCCTATGGGTCAAGTAAGAATGGTGATAAAGTAATACAGACCTTGCATTAGTATGCACTCCACTAGTGTGGAGTACTAATTTAATTGGTTGTTGGGTAATATAAGCTAGAAAACCATAGGAAAGTCTAAAAAAAACTAAGTGCTTGCAAATTAGATAAGTTAAAAAACTAATTAGCTATATATGAAGTTCCCATATATGAATGTTATGATATTAACAGACTATAGTTGAAATATACTTAGGTACTTACTTGGATATTATTCTAGTTTAATTGATATAACCGTAAATTAATTCACACACCTGACATTTGTGACTGTGTATCTGACTGGCGAACATCCCGACACATTTTTCTGTTATTCGAGATAGATAAGCCGCGTGCGGCTCAACACTTAAAGCGGATGTAGCATCACAACCTCGTAACTTCCGAACCAACTCTACAGTACTGGCGTTGTCGCATTCAAAATTTTCTACATCGAAAACATGACCGGAGACAACAATCCAAGAACCACCTTCCTTTGTATGATTCTGGAGATCGCATCTGTAACAAGAATAATATGCCATACAAAATGTTTTAAACTACCAAAAGAAAGGTTTCGTGGAATTTTACTTACTTTCTTATTATACTGGTATTCAATGGTGGTCGTCTAGAGGTCAGGCCGGGCCAGCCGAGTAGATCAGCATCTAACTTGTCAGCGCACGGTAACGAGCGAGCAGCGTCGTCACACGCTCTGACTATCTTAACCAGTGCAGCGCTACTTTCTGATAACGCTAACGCTGACCGCGCTGCGCATGCGCATACCCATACTGCCAGCTCACTCATCACTCGACCTCGAGAAATATAATTATATATTATTTATTCAGGTCGTAATTTTTTTACAGTGAAAAAAGTCAATTAATTTAATCAATTATTCTTTCTTTTGCTATCTATGAAAGTCTATGAAAACTTCTTTAGTCAACTATTATAATAAAATGGATAAACACGACATATCAAAATATTTTAGTATCCCGAATCCCAAAAGTTTGGATGAGAATAAGATAATAATAATATCGCAGCAAAAAAATCTCTTTAATATACAACTTCTTTTAACATAAACCAAATTACACTTACCAACGATGTCAGCACTAATGAGGTCACATAGAGCTACCAGCTGATCATTATCAGCTCTGTGTACGGCTCTTGTGAAACAACTCAGTGTTGAGTGTACGTGTTCTGATAGTAGGGCGGTATATTGTGTGAGGAGGGAGGTAACGCCGCCGCGTGTGCTACGACCGCCGCGGGACCACATCGCCTCGCTGAATAACAACCTTATAACAAAATATCATGTGATTACTGTCATTGCTGTATGAACATTTTAGCAATACTAGCGTTAACTCAGGGTCCCTGGATTAAAAACTTTTTTTGCAAAACGTAATGGGTCACTTTTTAACATGAAATCATTAAAATAAAGTTTATTAAATGAAATTGGTGTCATGAAAACGTGAGACTGTACTTTTAGCTTCCACTTGAAGTTGTAATTGTCATGTAAATGTTCTTAAAATCTAAGGTAGATAAAAATTGATGCCGCACCCCCCCCCCCTTTGCTTAAGCTTGGGCTTTTGTATCGCTTACCAGGAAAAGCGAGGGTTTAAAGTTAAATACATACTATTTGCTAATCAAATCTTTTTAACAAAATCATTAGATTATTTTGGCGCGTTTTGAATGTCTTATTTTTTCCTTTTTCCTTTATGTTATCAGTGACACAAATATACAATTTAAGAGCAGTAAACAAAATTGTTTCCACATTAAATGTGGAAATGATTTTCACATGCTATTATACGAGTCGTCGTAGTATAATTTTGCTATACAAATAATTGAAAAAAGTTTCAATCAGTAAAAGAGCTACTCGAAATAGGTATGAGGAAGTTTTATGTATAACAATCTTGATTAAATATTAATAGCTGTAATTACCTCTGGAATCGTATTAAGAGATCGCAACTGGGACTAATGGTGTCATGTCCTTTTAAATCATCAGTCTTGCTTGTGTCGCCGTTCATAATAGCATTTATATACATTTGAGTTTGACAACTTGTATTACGTATTAAATGTTTCACCTGAAATATTCATATTATTTTGAAACGATTTAAATTAAATGTATGTCCTTAAAGATTTACAAAACATAATAAGAACATTGTTTTACGTACCAAATGCATCAAAGGCACGGAGGAGCCGTTTTCGCACGCAGTGGAGTTGTTGCTTATTTGATATTCGTTGATACACCTCGCTGTGACAACACCTCATTGTAACATTAAACTATTAAATAAACAGTATTTTATGTATATTTCAAATTACCTTGAACTGTTTCGCTGTCATCAGACATGGTAGTCGCTGGTACACCGCGTTGCCCAGTGACTATGTCTATTTGATCGTATTCACTGAAAAACACATAAAACCTACACTGTTTCTGTATTTTTTCTGGTATTAAAGCCATTATTTCTCTTTTCATTCGCTTAAATAGGCAATTAATTTAACATTTGGACAAAACCTAATCCTAACCAATATTTTAAACCTAATATTTTGTTTTAGTCATACTATCGATAATTAACAAGTCTTAAGTATTATCCCATACTCGTCTAGCTGTAGATGGTTGTAGGTGTCGTTGGAATGAACCAACAGTGCGTTCCTGAGGGCATCTCTCAAGCCACCACCTCCTAACAGTGACCAAACAAGTAATTCTGTCATGAACCGTGCGCCCGCACTAGCGGGAGACGAACCTGATAAAGAAAAAACTTAATTAATTATATATATACATATGTAATTTTGAGTATAAATTAATTTAATTTTGATTGCAATGTAAAAACTTGTGTGTTCATAATATTTATCAATAAGTACAAAGTACATGAGTAATTAAAACATTACCAATTATTATCTTTTTTTTTTTGGGAATTTGGGAATTACATCTCAGAAATGTATATTTTTCTTCATAATTTATATAAATTTTTTTTAAACACTTAATTTTTCATAAAACTACGAAACAATGTCTTTCTTTAGGTCTTTGAAAGTATATTTTAAAAAATCATGGCGTTTAATTCAGTAGTTAGGTGAAGAAAGAACAGATAAACTAACTACTAAGTGTTGCTCTCACTCATTTTCAAAAATGATCAATGTCTATCTTTGATAAAATTTATTTAAACTGCTAGTACTCGACTCTGTGAGTGCTACAAAAAACTACCTATTTTTCTGACTCTCATTATCACTTCTGATATCATCATCATCAGCCTATCAGAGCCCACTGCTGAGCACAGGCCTCTTTCTCTCATGGAGAAGGTTAACTTCTGATATAATGAACATCATTTAACACCTGAAAAAATTACCAACCTTGAGGCAATAGAGCAATAAGGTGCTGCGCTCGTATCTGCGGAGTTGGCAATAGTATGGGCCAGGCTGCTGCTAATGCTTTTCTAGCAGCCGCTGCTGCTGATGCCCCAGCTCTACCCTCGACTAAGGCAACTAACGCAGTATGAACTCCAGAACACCACGATCTACTGTCAGGGTCTACTTCATCGATCTCGTTGCCACGAGCACATTGCCAAGCATGTACCTAATGAAAAATTTAAAATTATTAATGTAACTAGCTTTCCGCCCCCAGCTTCGCCCGCGTTGAGTTCGGTTATATCGCGTTTCCAAGAGAACCTTTCAAAAGTCTGGGATAAAAACTATCCTATGTTCTTTCTCAAGGTCAACTCTATCTCCGTACCAAATTTCATTAAAATCAGTTCAGTGGTTTAGGCGTGAAAGCGTAACAGACAGATAGACAGAGTTACTTTCGCATTTATAATATTAGTAGAGATTTAGATAATGGGATCTTTATTGTTAAATTACTTACTTGTAACCTAAGGAGGTTTAAACATGAGATCGCTAAACATTCATTGTCCTTTATATTTGTTAGTCCACTTTGTTCCACTACTATTCTTAACAGTCTTTCTAAGGATCTGCAAAAATATATGACTTGTTACACTGGAAACCTTTAAAAAAACATATTAATTAACTTATGATGAACTCACTTAAAAGTGTTATCGGATAAGTCAATAACAAATGGTAGAGACGAAGGTAAATCTCTTGGGTTTTCTTCACTCCATGCAAATATTTGGGTGGGTCCACTGGACACTCCTATAAAACAAATAAATCTATAGAATATTTTACCATAGTATCATGTAAAAGCGCTCCAAATGAAAAATAAAATTTGTATGAATAAGCAAATAGTATTTTGAATATAGTTGAGAGATTAGAAATATTACCATTGGCTTTAAATGATGGGTTAAAGGCCTTCACTGGCTGTGGTACAGGGTTAGATATTTGTGTTCTCTCATGAGTTCCCCAGACAAATAATACTCCTTCAGACGATAATGCAATACCATGTGAAGCTCCAAGAGACAAATCCACAATTTTAATACCTGAAACAATAAATAAAGTCAAATTATACCATTCTAATACTATGTATTTGTAATGTGATTATGTTGAAATACCTTGAAGTGCTTCTACTAATTTAGGAATTTTAGTTGATTCCATATTCCCATGTCCTAATCTGTAGCCATCACCTTTACCCCAGGTGTACACTTGACCTCTGAAAAAATAATGTTTCATCTATACTAATATTATAAAGCTGAAGAGTTTGTTTGTTTGTTTGTTTGAAAGCGCTAATCTCCGAAACTACTGGTTCGAATTGAATAATTCTTTTTGTGTTGGATAGTCCAGTTATCGAGGAAGGCTGTAGGCTATATAACATCACGCTAAGACCAACAGAAGCAAAGATAGTGGTAAATGTGTAAAAAACGGGAGAAATTATTTCATCTTTGAAGCCTTCCGTTGCGTGCGCCGTGAAAACGGTTCAAGATACACAAAAAATATGTATTAAAGAATAATAGCTCTTTTAATGATCTAAAAAAACAGTCCGCGACAGTGTATGTCTATCTTTTAAGATTAACTCACAAAAACCGTTTTTATGGTATCTAATTTGGTCGAAATAATTTGTTTAAGTTGTATCAACATAATAATATTAATGTTTATTCAAATAAACAAATAAATATGTTGTTGGTTAAGAGTACTTCATTGTGAATAAAAAAAAACATAGATTTTATCCTGAAAATTCTACGGTAACTCCACCATTCCGAAAATCCCACAAGAACGGGAACTATGTGGGAAGAACCAAAAATCTGCCGTAAGTCACTATTCCACGCGGACGGAGTCGCGGCAAAAGCTAGTGTTTTATATGTATTTAATGATGTCCTCAAATCCAAGTCTTATGTTTTAGTATATAAAGAGCAATTCTGTTTCTTTTTTAATTAAAAGAATACAAAAAAAAAAACATTATTTTGTTTGCAATCTCATACTTTTTAGCTTACTTAGATCAGTTCATAATTATTATTTTTTGTAAAGAATTAAATATTCCTGGTCCCTAAAAAGTTTTCTCGGCAAATAACTTTAAATATTCGAAATACTTTCCATAAGTTCCGCATATTTTAATCTTATGTGATATTTGGGAACTTGGTTTAGATGTAGTTTGGAGGTCAATGTCAAATGTATATAATATGTACCCATCAGTAAGTGCCGCATGCCAGTGCTCCCCAGTATAGACCCTAGTAACCCTGAACATTGCGAGTGTGGAGAGAGCTCGCGGCGTCCCAGCCTCCCCCTCACCGAATACCTGAACCGCCCCTTCCCAAGTACAACAGAGAGTAGAACCCTCCCCCCAACCTGAAAATCACGTATCAAATACTAATACACGAAAAAGACAACATAGCTGGTTAAAGTAAATTATAATTATTGCGATATGTAATTCTATTTTTGATTTAAAGTTATCGCAATCAACATCCATTAATATCGTTAAATTATTGATACAATTAAAACATATTTTACACTCACCAAGCGCCACGTCAATGATACGTTCGATGTTGTGCGCGTTGAAAGAAACGGGTTGGGGCGTGAGACAGTTTTCTATGGTACCATGTCCGAGTCGACCTTGAGCTCCGCGACCCCAAGTGTAGAGAGCTCCGCGAGAGGTTATCACAGCACTGACAAATATTTCAAAGTTAAAACATAAATTAATATATTCATTCGCTTACATAAGACTTAAAACATTGCCTTTATCTGATCTATTAGCAATCATATTCAATACAGTATTAATATGTGTGGAATACATGTAAAAGTAATATTAGTATAACTAATAATATCTACTAGTATACCTGCAAGCTAGACCTGCCGCGACTCTAACGACTTCATGGTGTGCGAGATGATGCAATGGTTGTGGAGCGTCCCTTGCAGCGGTATCTCCATGTCCAAGGCGACCGTCCTCACCAACACCCCACGACCAGGCGCCTCCACACGACGACCGACAAAGATAGTGCCGTCCCAACGAATGACAGGATACTTGGGTTATTATTTTGCTCTCCAGACCTGGAAATTATTAATTTAAGGAGTTTTTTGCTAAGTTGTATGTCTTCTATCATTTAAGACCTAAGAGTAAAATAATTTTTAATGGTCTTCCAAATTGTTCACTAGCTGCAAAATTGGGATAATATATATATATATATATATATATATATATATATATATATATATATATATACAGGGTGACTGGTGAATTACTATCGATATTTGAGGACGTGATATTTGACGATCATATATGACAAAATAAAAATTAATATAACATAAATATTAATAAACTTCTAAGTAAAGTTAACCAAAAGTTATGTAATTAATTACGCATCGTGTGAACACCCTACAGATTAGGTATACATACACACTCACACATACGCATGTCGTGACGTGGTGTTGTATCAACACGTCGCCGCACGCGTCCACACTTGAACACTTGGAACGTGTCAACATTTTACTTATTTATACGGAAATTTTGTCAAAAATTAAGTGCCTATTTTTTTTACATAATTCGAATGAGAATCGTGTACCGAGTATGCTCCTTAAATATTGATAGTAATTCACCAGTCACCCTGTATATATGTGTATACTACTGAAACAATAGTTGGGAAAACAAACCAGGGACTAGATGCGGCGTCATAGTGTCGTATGGCAGTGTGTACACAGCGCCATCGTGAGTCAATAGCAATGCCAATTTCTCAGCACACGCTATTTGTTGAATTCTTATACTTCCGAGTTGTAATGGTCCTGACCCAATGGAGACGACTTCCTGAGCAGACTCAGTACACTGCAAAAATGATAACTATTGTAAAAGTAAAGTAAATTACTCAAAAATTTACCAACAAAAATCACAAGTCGAAACTAAAACCACAAGAAAAACGCAGTATGTTATACATAAATAAAACTAAAATGTCTCGAAGTTAATATTTACAGTGACAAATCCTTTTAATGGTGGCAACAATGGTGCGCCCAATCTATCTAAATGGCACAGTAGAGCAATTCCAGCCTTTTTAACACTCATAAGTCCATCACCACTCGGTATACTCAGTTCTCTAGAAGCAAAAACATAATTATTAATATGGTAAAAAAATTATGAAATTTATTCTGGAGATAGTTGCAAGTCTCACTTCAGATAAACTTCTGTTAAGTTGCCTTCAGTGTTATGTTCAGAGTTAACAATGGGGTTTGGAGCCGATACTTTGGCCATTCTCCTCAAAAATGGTCCCAGAGGCGCTGTGCATTCTTCTAACACTATCCTGCAAAAATAGAACATATATTATTTAAAACTATACTGCTAAGAAGGTCTAATTTAAATTAAAGGAATGTTTATTGCACTTGTCCTAAGTGCAACTTACCTGTTATCTGGTTGTCGTTTTTGTTTAGGGGGTAATGTTACAAGTACATCGGCAGCTCTTAAGAGAGCCGGCAGTTCTGCCCTTCTAGCACAAAGTTCTACCCATACACATAATGAAGTCCTCCAGTCTCCTTGTGGTACATTGCATCCAACTTCTCTGCAAAGATAACAAAATATAAACATGTTATTGCTGTGGGATGAAATGCAATATTTATATTATTTTATAAGAGAGCTTTAAAATATTTATAAAGATTTTCTCTTTAATATTATGACTCATTTATTAGTCACACAATTGTAAATAAGAAAATAAGAATAATAATAATAATTACAATTCAAATAAAGCGAAACAAAGGCAGTTTTTTGTCTTTAATAGATCTTCCAGATGTTCTCTGAGTTGGGGCTAAATACTATGACTTACCCAGCAACAACCTGATGTAGGAATTTTGCAGCACTGTCTACTACTTCAGCCCAGATTTTTTGAGAACGCGGTGCCTGAACTGATAGTTGGCCACTGCCGGCGTACAAGGCTGCGTCAGGTAGAGCTCGGACAGCATCTAACGCATCTCTCAGCAATGCAGAGCACACATCAGCATCCTCACCACAACGCCATGCTCGACGCACTAATGATAGGGCGAGGCGTAATGCTGCTCTTGCACCTACTCTAGCTAATCCAAATGCACTGGAAAAGAGTAAAGTTACATGTATTAACAATAATTAATTATTTTCTTTTGTTGTCTTTTGAATGGAGTTTAAAAATATAGAACATTACAGTGTTATGTTAATATTTTTTTTATGTGAAAGGTGGCAAATGAGCAGATGGCCCACTTGATGGAAGGTAGTTACCATCACCCATAGACATCTGCAACATCTTTTTTGTGAATGTGTTGCCAACCTTGTTTTTTAGGGATAGGGAGGGGTGGGAATAAGGAAATGGTAGGAGAGGGCGGGAATAGGGAAAGGGCAACCGGCTCTCTCACTCATCGGACGAAACACAGCCATTAAAGGCTACTTCACGCCGATCTTCTGTGAGAGGGTGGTACTTCCCCGGTCGAGCCAGCCCATGTTCGAGCTGTAGTAACTGACCACAGCTATGCTTTACCACCTCAAAATATAAATATAAAGGTTTGTTTGATTGAGGATTGTGCAAAAATTCTTTGTGTTAATCAATGTTTTTATAAAGTATTAATGTGATCAAATATTTGATATAATTATACCTTTCAGAATCATCAGGTGGTTCCTCACTCTCGTCAGTTGCATCGGAATTAAGCTCTACTGGTTTATTTAATACAACATTACTCAGCGCCCTGTTACTAACACCATGCATAAGTTTCTTTTCAGATTTAGTTTTTCTAACTTCTTTGTGATTGTTCTGCTCCCTTAAAGATTAACATAATTTATATTTATAATATAGTTCAGATAATTATTTATATTTATTTTTATATAGTTACCTTATAACAGCCACAAGATGTCTATGACAGAGTACTATTAAACGGCGTATTTGGGATATAAAGGGACAACTAACAGCAGTATTGATCGCTCTAACTCGTTGTTCCCAAACAAGAGCATCAATCAAATTTTGTAAACATTCTGGACCTGAGACAATTATATGATTATTATTAAGAGAATGAAAAATTGTATTAGTTATTTAAATACTTTTCTACACCTAACTTAATATGTTAAGAAAATAATTACCTGGATCTTGTTTCCATTTAATTTCATCTATAACTTGGAGAGGTGGTGGTGGTGCTACTATTTTAGATTGGATAGAAGCCCGAAGTTCTTCCTCAGTGGAAAGAGCAGTGCAAGGAGTGCATGCACATCCAGAATGGGGACCACAGAGACCATCACAACAAGTACAAGTTAAGATCTAAAAAGAGGTGCAGTTAGAAAATATTGGTTGTAAATTAACGATATATTATAGAAGTATTAATTATAAGGGAACTTACCCTCAAACCGCAGTAATACTTTCCACTATCCCCAAGTTTAGCTGTTATTCCAGCACCATTAACTAGCCCATTTCCGGCGTCAAAATAAATTTCTCGGTCTTGTATGAGGCTATTAAAAAGGGTACATAAAGCTTCAGGATCATGAAGTGCTTCTTGTAAGTCAGGATTTAACCATTTTGAATCTAAATGTTGCTGAGGCCGAAATATAAAGTCGTCCTGTTCCTCCGGAACAGACATATTTTCGACCTGTTTTATTAACTATTTTGTGACAACATGACGCCTTTTCATTTAGAACAGCATCTTCCAACATACGTTATCTCATTGAGATTTCTGTAAAAACATATTTGAGCAGCTAATAGAAAAACAGCAACGAAAATCAAGCTTGATATAATACAATCAATCGAAGTCGAAACTAATCATTCTTGATTATATGCATAGAAGTCTGTCGGCTGTCAAAAATTGCAACATTCCATTTTAAGCTCGGTATCGACTACAGCTGTTAAAAGTAAACAATAATATCTTACTCGTAAATATAAATTAAAATATATTTCAAATAATTATTTTTTTGATTTTTAATCAATTATTTATACTTAATAACAAACCAATTTATATTTAGAAATAAAATAAGTTATTAAAATACAAATTTACAATTTTATTATTGTTTCTGCACACAACTCACACTGTCCAATCTGTGACATCTCAGCCTCATCACAGGACACAGATTATTAAAAAACGTAAATAAACTGCACTTGCATTGATACGTAATGAATTGTTAAAAAACTAAGTGAATTTACTATTTTAATTAAAAAATTAACTTGATAATATACAGGTTTGATGGATTCCGATATACGCCTCGATAGTAAAGACTGTTTATACGGTAAGTAAGTTATTTCGTGTATACGAAATCCGGCTGATTATGAAAACAAATCGCAATGTGCATGCTTACAATTCATATTGAAACAATAATGTTGTTGACCTTCCGGCTTACAAATTTTTTGAAGCAAGACAATTTATGCTACTCATATATTATTGCAGTCCTTGAGAATACTTTCAATTTTTATTGTTGTTGTTATAATTTAACTTAGCTTGTGTGAGGTTACAATATACTTTTAATAATTTTCTGCGCAATTTAAGAAGCGCAATTGAATATGTACTATTTATAAAACAGATGATTGTTTCTTCAACTGTGTATTCTTTGTTTAAGGTGAAGATTTTTTGGATCATCTCACCAATGAGTATCATTGGCCCTCTGTATTAGATGTGACTGATGCTACTCCCAGCGAAATATTAGCTGATGCAGCACCAGTTCTCGTACCTGCTATATCACCAGATCTGAGTATCAAATCTTCTCCCAATGAGAGCAGTAATTCTGATTCTAGCAGTGATGATGATTCAAAAAAGTAAAAATTATACTTCTATTATACTTTCAAATAAAATAATATTATATATTTAAAACATTTAAATATTTTAGCAGGTATTACAAATATACGAGACACCTGTCGCAATCTCCATCTGATTATAATTCTATTAATGATGAACCTACAAATCAATTGAAGCTTGAAGATGTAGAACTATTTCTTCAAAAATCAGGTAAAGTCAATACAAATAGGTTTTATATTCAATATAAAAATTATCTGTATTATATTTATTAACCAGTAGTTATTATTTTAAAGTACCATCGAGCCCACCAGTTCCCGATATATCACCTACAACAAGGCCACCAGAACAAGCCAGTCCTGTTATGTCTATTGAAAATGGTGTTATAAAGGTAGTATTATTGAAATCATGTGTGAAAAATGTTTTCACATAATTATTTAATTTATGTTAAATTTCCAGGGTGTTAAAAAGGAAGTTGACGGTGACAAAGTTACTACTACACAATCAAAAACATCTCTTGGTAAAACATATTTTTTTAATATTCTATAAAAAAAATATTTTCCTACATACATTATTAAAAATAATTTGTAATTTTTTAAATACAAGTATACCAAAATATATATTAGATTTCATGCAAAGTGACAATTATTTTTATATTTCAGCTGCTGATATCCATCTCACAAATTCTATATTCAAAGTTGTGAATGAGAATTCGCAAAATATGTTAAAATTTGATGAAAATATTCAACTTTTACTTGACAACCAGGGCAGATTGAAACCAAATGTTAAAACAAAACCAAATTTTGTAATTTCATCTGAGACTACAAATGGTAAAATTGCTATTACGCCAGTTACTTTAAATAAACACTACCAAGTCACAAACCATAATAGTTACCATATAAAGGTGAGTTAAGAAAAACAATGAGTATTATTTCAGTAACATATTATAAAATGAAGTGAATATTATTTTAATATTGACCTTTAATATTATAATGATAATACATAGTAATTAATATGTACATTGAATCTTAATAAGTATAATTAGGGAGTACAGTAAAACAAGTGAATCAAACTTATAACATCTGTGTACACAATTATTAATTGGCTTCAAAGTAAATTGAAATAAATGACCTTATTTCAAAATTGGAATACAATATATATTAAATAATTTAAACTTATAATATTTATATTTTCAGGCACATTCACCAAAAAGTATAGTTATCAATCCCAATTTAGATGTTAATAATAAAAGTAACAATACAAACAATGTCCAAGGAGATGACCCAGAACTTCCTTTTATAGATTTCTCAAAGCTCACCGACATTGAGATCAGGGCTATCAAAAAACAACAAAGAATGATCAAAAATAGGTAAGTGAAAAGATTTCTTCTGGGAAGTCGACACAATGCTATTTTTGATCTTATTGTATGACTGTGCACATATGATACGCAATTTATTGTTAACTTGTAAATACCATAAAATTCTTGGCAAAATCACAACTATTCCTTGTAAAGAAGTACTCTCCTAAATTTATAAGCATTATTATAATAATATCAATATAGTCAAAATAATGTACTTAATGTATTGATGGTGAAAAATTTTGTTACTACAGTGCAACCTCGATACAACGAACTTCAATGTAACGAATTACACGATTTAACAAATTCTTCGTAATACCCTTGAATTGTCGATAAGAGCCAATATAAAATATATCTTTACATTGCGAAAATTTATTGTGAATTTTTTTTGCGAAAAACCTCTTTACGTCGAATTTTCAACTACCAAGAAAGAGTATACATATCTCTTATCAACGAATTTGTCATAAAAACCCTTTATATAAAGTTCCCACCAATATATAATTCTTAATTTTATAATATGTGAAACATGTCGCGACATATTTCGAAACGCTTTTGTTGGTAAAACAATCATTGTTGTTTCATGGAAAGTAATGTAAACACTTCAGCTCGTCACAATTGTTAAAGATTTAAGATAAAAATAGAGCTATTTTTACCTCTTTATTACAAATTTTAGACCAACCTAACCTCAACATAAAAAACCTCAGTTCAACGAATTACTTGATATAACGAATATTTTCTTTTTCCCCTCTGATTGTGGTTGCACTGTATTAGCATTTGCGTATCGTAACTATACTAACTATCGTAAAATATGCAACAATCTGACAAAGACTCAATACTATTTAAAAAAAAATTAATTAAACATACTTTTGGGACTTAAAATATTGCTAGCTTTATGCCCCTAACTACTAAATAGAATTAGAGTACTAGTGAAGTCATAACTTCAGTAAAAGTCATAATTTATGATGAATTGTTTCAGTAGCATTCCATAACAGAAATATATATAGATATCATCTGGTTATGTTTGTAGTTCACCCTTAACTAACAACTGAAGATATTGTTCTTGTCCCTCTTCTTTACCAGAAAGTTGTATTTTATGGGTAGTTTTTGTCAAATTTAAGATCAGACTTTAATGACTGCACTACATATGTGTGATAATGGTATTGAAACTTAGTTTAGATTATCAAAATATGCAAAATATTTTTTGCAAATATGGCTTAAAGGAATTAATGTATCCACTTAAATTTTGAAGGGAATCAGCATGTCAATCACGACAAAAGAAGAAAGAATATGTGACAGCTTTAGAAAACCAACTATTAGAAGCACATCAAGAAATAAGAAGATTACAAATAGAGAATAAACAATTAAGGGAACAGCTCATATTAAATGGGAGAAGTAGAAAGGTTGCTATTATTGTGATAATTGTTCATATTTAGTACTAACATGACAAAATAACACCAAAATTATGTGTATGGATGGGTATGTCTATGGTTCAGTTAATTCTTCCCATAGAAACTATACATATGATTTAAAAACACAAGCACATACAAAAATATCAGAAGAAACATCTCATGTAGAAATTAAAAGACACTTTAAAATAAAATTGTCCTTTCTTTCTTAATAAAACCATTTGTTTCTTTTGTTAAATTAATTACTAGATAAAGTTTGGTTAACTTAGAAATGGACATCTGCTTGTAAACTATTTCCAAGCTTTTGTAATAATATAGAATCTTCATTTCACAGATACCAAAGCTTGATTCAACAATCTCAATACCTAAAAGGAATATTGCTGTTATATTTGCAATGGTATTCATGGTGTCCTTAAATTTCAATATTTTAGGGTAAGATAGATATTGTCTTTCTGTATTAATATGCTATAATTGTTTTATAATTTTGACCCAATTAATGTCTTTCAGATGGAATTCAAGATCATTTTCTGGACAGACATCCATGCATGTTAATTCAAGACACCTTTTATGGTCAGAGGATAATAAGGACATAGTCACAGATGGTAAAATCTCTTTATACATATATTTGATAAAATTATAAATAATCGCAGTTAGTTAATACATTTATTAATTTTAGACTATGACCAGTATCTCAACCGTAGCAATGAAGGCATGGACTGCAGGAACACAACATTAAGTGATTTTCTTAAGATTAATCAGACGGAGAGTATAAGGATAGCTGGTGAACTGAAAAGGTGGATAGGTGGAGGAAAAACTTTAAACTTAACAAAGGCACTGAAAAAACATAAGGTCTACTTAAATGAACAGCATATTTCAGGTAAAATTCTAGGTACATTCTGTTAATAAATATGTAGACACTACTTATAAATATGCTTATAAGATATGTATGTCTTTTTCTTTAGGAGGATTTTTGGACAGCTATGAATTATTCAGCAAATTAAATCTACACAATTTAATCGACATTCCCATTACAAGTAAACAAACAAGGAATGCTAGAGAAAAGTCACGTTTAAGGAAATTAAGGAGGCATACATCGAAAGATATAGATTTCGCTGATAGTTCATTATACTATGAAAAATTGTATAACAAACCTATTAGAAAATCGGTGGATTTTAATTTGGATGATTTTGGTGAATGGAACGCGTTGCTTCAAGCTCTCCATAGACGGGATGACACATTCTATATAGTAGGCGTGGGGAAGGGAGAGCATTTATTGTTACCGGCAGTCACTCATAACGTCACTCGTCCCCCCAAGATGGCGTTAATATTACCCGCACGTTCCGGAAATGGTATGAATATGGACACTTTATAGTTTGTTTTAATTATATACGCAAAAAAAAATAAAAGTTTTTCTGTTGTAATATTTACTGAATGTGGAATGTGTATTTAGACATCTATAAGAACTTTTATTACAATCTGTCGTGCACTTCTTCCTGATAGCAGGAATATGTTGTTATAAGTGCAAACTGAATAAAAATGACTATTTTGTGTCAGTATTATCTTAATTTTACAAAATTATTATTTTAATTTACATATTTATTTTCCTATAAGAAATATTATGATATTAATAAAGAACAATGAGTTTAATCTTAGTTTCAGAAAATCCCTGTAAGCCCCTTTAAGTTCTATCGACATCTAATCTGACTGCCTGGCTTTATACAAAGCTATTCATAGGTATACACAATTTTTGTTTCAGATTCATTGATGAATGGTCATGTAACACTCATGCAGATTGATTGTTCAGTCGTCAACACAACCCTAGTCAAACTGAAATCGGAAGCGTTGCCTGAGAGTTTAAGGAAAGTTAATTTCGATGGGAATCCCTCAATTGATACGAAACCAGAAAATGCAAAAATACAGAGATTCAAAGTTGATACTAGTCAAGAAGATGTACATAATAATAGTTTAGATTATAGAAAACCATATTTAAATGTCGATAAAAATGATTTGTTTACGCAGTATTTGCTATCGAAGTCGAACATAAAAAATAGTTCTAATGAAATAAAATATTCGGAAAAAAATGATTTTAGAGATAGTAAGAAATCTGATAATGAAAGATAATTTTCAAACTATTATTAAAAGGCTAAAAATTATTGTCAGTTTTCTGGTACAAAGATTTTAAATGCACCTCATACTTTGTGACTGTAATTATATATAAAATGTTCAATGAGAACATGACAATTTAAAATTAGTATGTTTTTACATAGTACACATACACACCACAACTTTATTAAGTTACAACACTAAAACAACAAATAAATATGTTACACTTTACATAATGTAATGCATTCATATAAATAAACTTTATTTATTTAAGATTTTATCAAATTAAAGGCACTTTAATTCCATGTTATATTTTCCATATTAGCCACTTATAAAAATATTATGTTTTAAATTATTATACATGTAACTAGAATTTAAGTATTATATTTTCTAAGTATAGCTATTGTAACCATATCTCTTTATTTCCTCGAAAAAATTTTGTACTACAAAATACCTTTATGACTATCCATAATTGTACTGTTAGAAAAATTAGAAGTGATTGATAAAATAATTGTCATTGAAAAGTATTTGTTAGGTAAGTTTTTTGTGGTCAGTGGAAGGGTCAGTACCATGACAGGTTCGTAATATGTAGCGTTTTAGACTTTTCATGTATTCCAATACTTTAAGGCGCTGTGCTTATAACTTTGTACCTAAATTAATTTTATCGGTATTGTCGGGATAGTTTCAATGTATTTTTCAGGTTGTAATATTGCAACGGCGCGAATCTTGACTATGGCACGTAATGGTTGTAAGTGTGGCCAAAATAGAGTAATATGAGACTGAGATTTTAAGGTTATCATGGAATTTATGTGTGCTATACGATAGATTTATAAATGGGAAGATAAGAAGTGAAGGATGCAGATTCGTACATTTTGTTACCATTTTAACAACTTTTTGTTTCCTAATAGTCTATATACTTTTTTGGAACCTAATAAAAAAGGTAAAATTTGAGTAGCTCCTTATAATAAAACTATTATTTCTGACAGTGTTATAAACAATTGGAATTGATCAAATGATTGTTTGTGTCAATATGTACTAGTTTTATTATTATAAATAATATTTTGTTTCAGAAATATCACAAAATTATATTGTTTGTTATAGTTTTAACATATAAGTTATTGTTTTTTGTTAGAAAAATATTAATGTTTACATTATTTTATACTTTGTATTATTTAGTGTATTAAAAAAGCTATCAATAAAAGTCACGAATAAAATAAGTGTAGTGTTATTAAGTATTTTATAAACGAGATAGATTGATTCCAACTGGAAATGTAACGTTTTGATTGAGTAATTAAAATATGAATGTAGAAATTGCTGGAATAAATTGTACTGTCTCTGAAAAACTAAATATAGTGACAACCACTTTTCTACTTAGCAAATTTTTTTGTTTTAAAATTGATTAACATATAAAATCCTCGGGGATTTTATATGTTAATCAATTTTAAAACAAGTTAATCTGTATATTTTATATGTTAATCCCGAGGAGGAGGAAAAACAATATAAAATTCCCAAGGATATCTGTGCGTCAGCCTCCAGACCAGATATATTTTTGTTTTCGCGAATTTTAAAGCACGTAGTGATGATTGAGCTTACGGTTCCTTGGGAAACCAACATACCCAAAGACCAACATACCATCAAGGTCAACAAATATTACGAGCCGGCACTAACGAAGTCACTCGAAATATGTTCGTCGTGGATTTGTCCGCGGTAGAGGTAGGAGCGAGAGGTATAATAAACAGCGAAATCTCTCTGCAACCTACTAAAAGTCATGGGCTTGTCCGGAACTCACAATTTGGTTAGGTAGGGAGAGGAGCTTGGACAGTGGAGGTGAGCGTTTACTCCGCGTTAGATAAGGGGCCCCTTAAACTTACTCCTAGGTCGCAAGTCCCAGGAAGTGTTGAAGCTCCTCTCCCTGCAACGCGATGCACCCGGCACCCGTACGATGAATCCATGGAATGCTGAGAAGTTTCGTCTCTATTATGTACTTGTTATGCGAGTAAACAGCCTTAATAGACTTTTTATTTCACAATATTATATTATTTAAAAGCACAGACCATCTCCAAACCTTTTATTTATAGTTTCATTTACGTCTACTTTATAATAGTAACAGTAACAAAAAATGAAATCAGTTTATTATAACAATTACTATCAAGATTTTCCTTTTTTTGACTATCTTTATGAATCACAGTTTAGTTCTTATGCCACCGCAGTCACTTTAAACTATTGATCCCATCATTAACTTTGAAATAATATTGTTTTGTTTGTCATATTATCGATATAATATATTACCAGATATAATCTACATTCGTATTTTCAATATAATATGTTGTAAATATTTCATTTAATTAAACGTTGAACGTTACTTTATAAATTAGATTTTTGACACCTGCAAAACTGTCATTTTCAGATGTAAACAGTTGCATAACCTATAAGTTATTACTTAAATAAAAGTAAATAAATTGACTTGTTTCTGTAAGTTTTGTACAAGTTAAGATTTAAACGTCTCTAAAGTATGAATTGCCTTCGCCTCGTTCGGCTAAATCCTCTCCATTCGACATTATCAAGACTAGGCACTGTGAAATTTATATCGCATCATCCATTCAAATTTACGGAAAGTCAAGAGAAATGGAGACAAATAGATCAAATGCCAGACAAATGGGACCTCATATATAAAGCACCTATGGGGACAGTCCTTAATTTTTCATCGGCATATTTGACAGCGTCGTCGGCAATCCTATCTGCTGGTGCAATTTATTACTCTTTGTTTAAATTTGATATTACAAAACTTAACGATCCGATCATAATCGGAGACGACGTCGTTATCGCAAACAATATGTATGAAAGTTTAATATACGTCGGTGCATACATTATGTTCCATGTTGCACTGAAGATCTTACTTTCAAAATTCGTTGTACGTCTATATAAAAATGGTGACGAATATACAGCTGTTTATAGAGGAAATTGGTTCAATAGTATATCGAAACATAGATTCCATCTAGACGAATTCAAGAAGTTGAATCCAACATTAGTTGTATCCTGGGGTGAAGCGAGATATGCACTCGGCAAAAGACATGGAATTCTACTGGACAACTATTTCAAATCACCAGAATATTTAAACTACTTAATTACTAAGAATAAAATAGGATAATATACACATAATGATACATCCAGTACCTATTATTAATATATTTATATTTTATAGAAGTTATGTATAATAAAACAATTAAAATTGAGTTAATAAATCTATTTTTTTATTTTCTACTTTCACTTTACTTATGTATTATTTAAAATCCACCAGTGAATGCATTATTCCATTTTAACCTTGTATCCCTCTTAATTGTTTCTGAATCCATTTTCTTTGGGTTCTTTTCAAAAGATTCTAAAGCCTCTAATTGTTTTTCATTGGGCTGTAAACTCTTTGTTACAATGCATTCCCCGTTTTCTCTCAATTTAGTATACTTTATATCCTCTTCTTTTGGCTCACCATATGGGAAAGTGATTGGTGTTACTTTAATCAAATGTTTAACTTTCCATAACTTGGCATTCATTTCGGGTATATTTTTGACTATAGCAACTTTACTCTGAAACTAAAGGGACAAGATAGTAATGATTTTGCAACACTTAAAGTATAAAACAATGGCTTAGTTAATTTAAGAAAAATATGATTTGAATGAGTGCATTGATCTTGAGCAAATATAATAATCATCTCACCATATCCACTTTCAGTTCTTCTAATATTTTTTTCTCCCACCGTGGATGAAATTTACTAGATTTTATTTGTTCTACTCGAAATAGTTTTGTTGGTGTATATTCAGGGTCCTTGTGGTTTGGATGTCTGTTAAAAATAATTAATAAGATATTAATCCAAGCTTAAAAAAGTAAAGAAAAATATAAATGACATTAATACCTCGGATAAAAAGTAATTCCACCTGGATATCTAATTCCTCCTGGATGCTTATAACCTCTTGATCTAGTTAGAGATATAAGTGGAGTGATTGGCTTAAGCAGTTGCTTGTTCATTTTGTTTTTAATTCCTCCAAAATTTATTTAGGTCCTATAACATCTGTATAAATAAAACAACTTTTAAATTGTTCGATTTTTGTAATGTATGGTTTATTTCTGTCAAAATTGACAATTTTTCCTACATAAAAATGTCTAGATTTGAAATTAGACTTTTGACATTTCTCTTGGTATTTGTATAAGAAAATATAGTAATTCATATTTTATGAAGTATATACTTTGGACGCCTTTGCACGGATAAAAAACAATTTTCAAATAACCAGTTAATATTTTACAAAATTAGTCTATATCTGCTAAAACTTTTTCTTTCTAATTGTGTACTATAGTAACTTTTATCATCATATTTACATATTATGTGTCAATCTGTTTTTCTGTTATTTCTGATTTTGATTTAAAACATAAAACATGTGACTATAATTTATTGAATTATTTTTAATCCTTTTTTATAAAATAAAGGAACATGTGTGTCCATACTCTACAATATTAGGTTGTCTTAAAATGGCAACATTATTTTAATTGTCATACGAAAGTTCAATTTTGAATTTTTCTAAACACTGAATTTTGTAACGGTCCTGTATACAGTAGTTGTGCGTGAACTTTGTGTTAGTATTTAAATAGTTTTGTAAATAAGTTTTAATTGAAAACTTATTACAAACTTTACATTTTGGTGATATTTTGGTTCTTACGATTGTTATGATGATTACTCGATTTATATCTTGTTTCTATTTATATTTGTTTTGGAATAGAAGCATTGTTTATTGACATCTTAATGAAGAAAGTACGTTTCGAATCTCCATTAAAAACTGTTAACATGAACTCGTTCAATGAATCCGAATGTCATACACCTCGACCGTACATCGAGAAGCGCATTAAATCACCTCCAGATTTGGATGTATTACAATACAGAATACCATTCACAAATGATCCTATCCAAAGATTCGAGTACGGGGACTCATCTCCATATCCCACTCTTAGTAAGACATGCTTGACAAATTTACCTAAAGATGAAAATAGGTGGTCGCCTTCTCAGGAATTGGATTTAAGTATTCTCGACTGTTCACACGGCGATTCTAGGAAAGGTTTAAAAATATCCAATGGTGTGGTGGATACTCCACCTTTATACAACAGACAAAATATTTTATCCGAAAGACGACCTATGCAACCTCCATATTCAGATAAGATTAAACAGATTACTCCACCAAATATTTTAATGAAAAATGATGACTTTTTTCTAAAGAAGGAAAATTTACAAGGAATAAACAGTTTACACAAACAAATGAACAAATTATACATAGGGAAAGAAAATGATCCCATGCTGAAGAAAACTGAAATTATGAATTTAGGAGCCTTAAAAACACCATGTGCTAAACCTAATTCAATATCTCCTGCTATTTGTCAGACAGAAATCTTTGACTGCAAATGTTATCACTGTGTAAAAAATTGTCACACACAGCATTTACCACAGAGGTTTGTGAATCATTCTAGAAAACCAGTACATAATTACAATTGCAATGTATGTGATTGTATTGTGAATGTACCCCAAAATCATTTCCATTGCCCATGTAATATTCACTCCGTGAATCAATCAACACCAACATGTAGTAACAATACACAAAAAGCAATAGCTAAACCTTCAACCCCACAGCCGTCATTGAATGCCGTGGACAAAAAGACATGGCTCATTGAAAAATACAGTCAAAACAAAACAGACTGCCAAGATTTACAAACACAGGACAGTATTGTCAAAGATAAAAGAGAACCGACTGTTGCAGATTTATTTAAAATAATCAAGTTGCAAAATGAACAGTTACAGTTGCTGCAGGAAAAGGTCGACAAATTCATATCAGCCAATAAAAATGAACATCAGAAAATAAATCAACCTATGCAGAACTACGTGACAGAGCATGTTGCTCTGGAATCGGTCGGAACAGTATCAACAGAACAAAAGATATCCATAGGTGTTATGACAAGCTTTGAAATGGTACGAACATCAACCATCATAAATAAAGAAATTGTCACACAAAATGAAGCTCAAATACAATGCAATAGATCACAGATTAGTATCAAGGAGGTTGTAGCAAAACAACCAGTTAATCAAAATTTTTTAGAAGGATTGAAACCGATGCCAAATGAAACTCAATCACCACCAGTGTATAAACTTCATGATAACACAGAAACTGGGCAATTAAAAAGCACATATAATAAACATGATGAGAAGACTCTAAATGAAATGAGTCTATACAATGTACAAGTTGACAACGCTATCACTCCGAATATGTCGCCTGAACAAAGTCTTTATTTAGATGTTCGAGACTACAGTGAGTAAGTAACAAAAATATATATGGTCTAAATTATTGCATATTCTTATGATAAAATGTATTTTTTTCAGTTCAGATGCAAGCAGTGATGACCAATCAAATGTTGGGTGGACATATTACAACAAAGTTATGGTAAGTTGCTCTTGCTGCTGAAAAAATGAAAAATCCTAAAGTACTTTTACAACTAATATAATTACAGACACATGTGAATGGAATGCTTCAAGATTCGGACATGCCTTCATCAGCTAGCGCATTATATAGAAATGCAAGACAGAAATGTTTGCAAATGCAAATTGATAAGACGAATGTTAGTGTGGCTAAAAGGTATGAGGCATTTGTAATGTTATGTATTAGTTATACTAGCTTGGTATTAAAATAAAACTAAGTTTGTTTAATTCACCACATGTTTTTTATTATTTTAATAGTACATATGCCTGATGTTTTGGTGCTTTTTGCAGCAACTAATATCATGTGCATACAAGTTAAAAATATCTATCTTTGTTTTATTAGGTTGATAATTTTATTAGGTTTTGTCATTGTCTTGCTACTTAACACAATACATAAATTACGAACTTAAGATTGTTTATTGTGTACTACATCTAAGAAATCCAATGATTTTTTCCACTTATTAAAATACTTATAAAATGTTTGACAGGGTGACATTTGGTGAGGATGTAGCTCTAAATCAGGCGCAACTTCCGATTCCTACAACAGATACCAGTCTCAAGATGAACCAGCTGGCTGCTAAGTATCTTAAAAATAATTCAGTACCTCCAACTACTAGAAGACCAGAAGCAACTGATATATCTTTGGCTACCAGAAATTATATGGAGAAACATAACATACCTCAAGGTATATATTCTTTGTTAATACACCCTGTACATATAGAACAGTACAGTAAGTAGAATTTGATAAGGAAACTAATAAAAAATTATAATTTTTTTGCAGGTAAAAATAATTTAAAAATGACACAACATATGGAGATACCAAAATTTTTGGATATAACTGCTTTGAAACAGCAACCGAAGTTTTTATGACATAATTTTATTTTATATAGCTTGACTTATATTTATTAATATGTGACTCGTTAATTGTACTTTGTATGAATTTAATTAATATGATAATTTAATATAAATATATAGAATTTTTAATTTTTGTCATAGTTTTAATGGGTGTTACTTAAAAGATATTTTAAGTGCATTATTTATGAAATAAAATGTTTGAACGACTTTTTTTAAAATAAAATATTTCATATTGAACAGACATTTATTTAAACTTTACATAATATCGTAACAGAGTAAAACTTTAAGTCAGTACATGTATTTTATAGAAACACTTGAGATTTTAACACATCAATTATACATTTGCTACATCAAACTTCGAAACAGATCATTGCAATTATTTTCAGATTTTCTAAGCCTTTTGAAAAATATTTGTTGCTATACCAACAAATAAGTGCAATAATCCATATATTTATATATGTTTATCATTAGATAAATATTTCTTGATTAAATACAGCAATATCAATGAAAATTTCATACATTACATCCATAACATGGGACATCACTAGGCAGTAAAGCGTACTAAACAATATAATTTTTGAAACAATTTTATTGTTTATATACCATTTTAGTTCAAGGCATCAAGACATTACAGTTCACACTTGTACTTAAGAATTTTTCTGCATAAAATCCTTATACTTAAATTAATATTCCATTACATTCATATATCCATAGATTACATGTCTAGTAATTTTGATAAATTAATTTCCACATACAAACATTAATTTTAGTTTAAAAATAGTAGGCCCTAGCCAAAAGTATCTACTATCTAAGAAGGTGACTAGTAACATCGAGTAATAATATAATCACAAACAATTATGTACTCTAAGTAATTTATTTATATGCAGACTGTAGAACTGCATACATATCACAATCTGAGTCATGATCAATCCAATATATTTATTGTTACAGTTTATTCATATTAATCTATGGTAGTTGAATGGTATAATTAATTATTAATAAGCAAAATAAAAATGGGGCTAACGGTGCAAAAATTCAAAATTGCTAAGTGTTGGTTATAATTACAACTTTTTAAGTATTCTAAAGTAGGTATTTACTTTTTTAATGTATGTCATAGTTTCTTAAAAATTAATTATATAGACTGCCTACTATAACTTTGCTTCGCCAAACGTAACACTGACAGTCTCAAGGTTATTCATTCAATCTTTATGTAACTGTATCAACGTGTTATGAAAGAAAAATCTTGAAATTGTCGATGCTTACTCGATTTGAGCGCGTTCTAGGCCTGTAGAATTGAAGATGGAAGCCAACACATTCCCCGAAATGGCTGCTAAGGATGTTCATCTACGTATTTGTAACACAACGATATCCAATAATATTTGAAACATTAAAATGTTTGTTTATCAGATATACATACTTATCTCACAAATATAAAACGCATTTATCCAATTTTATTTTGGTTCTTTGTGTATATATATTTACTTCTAAACACCGAAAGGTATTAGTTATCATATCTATACAATTAAAACATTTATGAAATTATATTACATATTTAAAAATTGTCCTCACATCAATATTTAGCGTAAGATTAAATCGCCATTTAAAAACAGTGATACTATTAAATAGCATCCTTGTAGGATTTCGAGTTGTAGTTACCTATACAAAACGTACTAGACGAAAGCTTACTAGTCGCGAGGATACATTTAGTAATGTGGGGTAACAATTATAGTATTCAGTTAAATCTGTGTACAGTCATAATAATAACCGATTTTTTGCATGATGTTCAAAAATAAATTAAATAAATCTATTCAAAACACAAATATAAAATGTATTCTAGTTTACTGCTTAAAAATCATATAGTTAAATGCTTATTAGATTTGTTAGTAAGATAATAAGGTAAAGCTAGTGTTTCTTTTACACATTTATGATTATTATACATTTTTTACATATTGCAAGTGCAGGATTGTAAATGTTTTGAATTAACGAATCTCGCATAGCGTTTGGTTTTTCAAACAGTTGGTGAACTGCATTAAGCCGTAGCGGATATACTTCTATGTCATATTAATATTATATTTACAAATGTATTTTAATCTTAAACCATAATTCAATTCTCTTGCATCGCAAAAAGTTAAATTTAATTTAAATTTATGAAATGATAATCAATTCTCGGGATGGTACATACATGTGTTGTTTTTAAATGCATTGATTTCATATTTTTTTCCACTAAAAATATCTATTATACATCACTTTATGTCTTGCATGTCTTCAATTACATTACAGTTACTAATTATTAAGAACATCAAGAATAGCATGAAAATATATAGTAATTAATACATATATTCAAAATTATTTCTTGTATTGTAGTAGTTATGACTTAGTATTTACAAAAATAATGTATTTATACCTATGAAATAATAGTTTGGGAGCCAACTCAATAATTAATATAAGATAAATATCAGTATTTATTATTTATTTTTTATATAATACTGCTTGGTAATATACAATTTAGTGCTAATATTATCTAATATTGCATTTCTCTTTCTTTTTAAATTATTAAGAAAATATATAGTCTGCATTACTGTGGATAAAGAAATAGATACCTATTCTTAGATAAAGTAGGATAATTATTTGATATCAAAAAATAGAACAGAATATACTACAAGCCACTGATCTAGGGTGTGCTACAAAATTAAAATAGCTTTAAAACTTTCTCTTTGGTAAAATTATCATATAAAAATAAATATATAATTCCAATAAATAATTAACTCTTTATATATATATTTAAAAACAATGTTTTGAACATTTTTACTAACATTAATATGTCCATCAATTTTTATGTTCTTAAGGTACATAAGTATATATTTTGTGAATAATTATTACTTAATATATGTTTCTTAAACTTATCCCTTTAAGGGTACGTATATACGTTTTACTGCTTTTTTTATATTACAAAAACGATGGAAATAAAATGTAACAAATATGTTATGTCTTTACATAGCAAGGACAAAATATTAAATAATTTTAAGTTTCTGAGTTTTAAGTGTTTTCCATGACATGATTTTTATAATACTCTGTTGCCAAATGTCAAACAGTGAACAAGAGGTAGGTAGGGATAGGTACAACCATCGACTTATACTAATGGACATGCGTTAGAGATGAGAATTGTGGCACTCCGAAAGAAAGAGAGGAAACGAAGTTTCTGTCTATAGTTATCTCTCTCAAATTTATATGTCGTGCTTGTAATAAAAACTGAGCGCCAATCATCTATGAGGAAAGAGATAGTGCTAGACCGAAAGAATAGGCCATCTCTCTCACTCTTTTCAAACCAAAAATTACTGCAGATTATACGCGTGCGGCATGTCCATTAGTATACATATGTCGATGCAACCCACTTCTGAGTTCGAAAACAAGAGGACCTTGATTAATGCAAGGTGCATTAATCAAGGTCCTTTAATCAAGGTTAATCAAGGTTCTTTAATAATGGATTAAATTAGCAAGGATTCTTATTTTGCCATTATTTAAATTTTAAGAAACGTTGCATTATTTTACTTAAACTTGATAAGAATAATAGCATATTCACGATGACTCCATGGAATGCTGAGAGGTTTCGTCTCCGTCATATGATATTATATAAAAGGTTATCATTTAATATGGATTCGAAAAGGTTTAAATACTTTGGACATAAGTTTATGAATAAATGATAACTGTATTATCTTAAATTGTTAATAGATAATCAGTTTTAAGAAATATTATTTAGCAACGAAACAAAAATTTGTTGTATAATTTAGTAATTTATATTACCACAGTTATATTGTTATACCTGGTCCATTATATTATTTTTTTAAAATTAATTTACAGTATTAAAAATAAACTTGTTAGGTACATATAGACAACAATTTTTAAATTTTGAAAAAGTTAGGCTATCTTTGTAAAAATTTTTTTGAGGGATGCGAAGGATTGGAGACTCTAAGTTTATGATATTTAGGGGTATAGAAAATAACATAATGGACGGAGTATTAGAAGGAGAAGAAGGTGCCAGAATCTAACAAATACTAGTATTAGGGCATGGTCGGTTGATAATTTGAAATATCTAAAGATTCTTCGTCACCACCGCCTCTTGATTTGCTGTCCAGTCTTAATTCTGCGAGTCTTTGTCTTATACTATTTGGTCTGAAAAAAAATTTACTCCACCATTTTACATCATGATATTTCAGTGATTACCCTATATTCCAGTGATTGCTTTATTCTGAATTATAGTGTGAATGCAAGGACACGTCTACTTGCTGGATATTCAGTTCAACAGTACAAAATATAGCACATGTGTGGGTACTGGATATCTAAGAAATATTGAATTGATACAGAAAGACAAAAAACTTTATGAGAAATGATGCATTGCTTATTTCAAAGATGTTCTTTGCTTAAGGTTATCGCAATAAAGATACCACAAAACCAGCGGTACATTACAGTCACATTGTAGTCAAATATATTTCATTTCATTTTAGACCATTATATTTTTACGTTATACTCAATACTCAACAGACCTGTCAGAGAAGTATGACGTGACGACCTGGTCAGCTGATACGGACTGTCGCTGGTAAGTGGCGGCACTGAGATTGCTCTGCGGGATCTTGTATATACGAACACACCGGCCGCTGTTCTCAGGAAGCACTGTTAATGGAGAGGATTCAGTTATTTTAGTTATTGTAACTGCTATAGATATTTTCTACAAAGTTTTACCTTGTTACTTATCGGAAAATAGATTTTAAATTATAAATTTCTTAATATTGAAGTAACAAATTAAGATATCGATCAAAATTTTTCGCTGAATGAGAAGTTCAGTTAGACTTGTCTCACCTTTCTGATTCAATAAAAGGATTTAAAACTTAAGGAATTCCTTTAGGAGTTAACAGTTTCTTATTCCTATAGTTATTTATACTTTAGATATCAGTCATTACCTTGCGGTGACGTAGGTGGAGAAATGGGCGTCATTCTCTGAAGAGGAGGCCGAATATTCTCCTGTTCCGAGGAAATAGAGCTGCTGCGACTTGAAGCGGAGTTGTTTTCGGGAGTCCGATTGTTTAGGCTGGGATCGCACCTCGAAAAAGAGATAGAAAATAAGCGACTATAAATAGAAGTGAAGTTCATATCATCCAAGATATCGAACATTCTAACGGATTTTTACTATTTTTGCTTCCAAAAACAATGAGTATTTTTTTAGCAGTTTTGTCAAATAAGTTCTTATAAATTCTTAGGTACACCTTGAGAGAAACCAGTTTTATATTATTGTTATTTCTCTAGCTTAGCTTAACTTTTTCTGCGCCTACTCATTTTAAGTTATTTAAACAAATTAGTTGTAATAACAGCTTAAAGACTGTTTTCTTGGTGTAATTACTTGTCTGCGTCTTCATCATCGATGGAGTATCCGGCCTTATTGATGTGTCGTACCAGCTCGTAGCTGTCGTGTAACGAGAAGCAGGGATCCACTTCCCGGGATAAAGGTACGTACTCCGGGGCACAAGCCACGTAGAATATGTCCTATTCGAAGGAATAATTTCGTATAAGAATTTGGTTTAAGGCTTTTAAGTGATGCAATCTTTAATTATAAAATTAGTTGAGTAGTAATTATAACGCAAATTTGTACCTATAAAAGCACGATTCGTCATTGTCGTATGATTTAAATATATTTTTATATCATTGTGAGAGAAAATGAAAATACGTAATTTACATTTTTAATGATTTCATTTGTAAAATTTACCTAAATAATATGAGATAAAATTTATTTTAAATGAACTTACTCGTCGACCGCAAAGGATTTTAAGTCCCGGTATGCAGGCAGCGTGTACTAATGATCCATTAGCTACCAATCGGATTTCTAACAAGTCTTCAGCGAATGCCATGATGTAAGGGAAAGCGCAGACTGCAATTTTAATACAAGAATGTTTTGAGAATTGTAAAAACGAAAAAAAAAATTTTTTTTGTTACTATTTTATACACCCTTACCTACAGCTGTAGGTACCGTCGTCCAGTGGAAGTCATATTCAACATCACTCTCTAGACCCTTTGATGTTAATCTCTCAAAGTGACATGTGTCTGGAAAAAGTTGTAATCAATAGTCAATAAATTTAAATCAGAAAGAAGCCATAGCATAAATAAAAAGTATATACGTTATTAGGCTATGGTAACTTACGATTATAGCACAATATTATTTGTCCATCCCTATCATCGCCAATGCGTAATGCGTTGACCAGTGTCCCGCGCTGTGGGCCACAGTCTTCTGAGCCTTCTGCTCTTTTTACCGTCTGAAAAGAGTGAAGTTTCTAACATTTAAACATTTAAATAAAATCTTGGTTTTCTGATTTACTACGCAATTATTTCAGTGTACCCAAAAAGGAGATATAATATGCATGGAATTATTTATTACTGTTAACATTTACTGCATTGTCCTACCTGTGTTGTATTCATTTCGAGAACGTCCCAATGGTGTTTATATCCAACAACCAAAACTCCGACCTCATTGTCAATTAATTTTATTAGTATAGGAGATTCACTCAGTTGTATATCCTGAAAATAGGTTAATATTGAACTTCGATTGATACTTTCCTTATTACTTTAAACATTAGCTTGTTATATAATTACCTTTACGTGGGTATATTCAAATCCCATCTCATGATCAGGATTTGCTTCTTCTATCATCAAGAGTATTCTTCTTCCAATTGCCACAGCTAGAAAAGTTTTGCCACCCTCACCTAAGAAAATATACAAGATAAAACATTCCCACATATCATATTCATAAATTGAAGCAAATACCTTCATAAGTTTAAGGTAAAATTTACAGAAAAGGTGTTTTAATTAAAAAAACTTCTGTCTGTTTTTTATTGTTTCTATGTAAGCAAATTATTGTTTTTATATAATTGATTAATCATGATTCCTTTTCTGCAGAAAGATCAATCATTATAATTTTCTTGATATTTATGTATATCTATTACTAGAGACGAGTTTAAAACTTTAATCATTTAGTATTAATATATCTGATATTCTATTTTGTATACAAATAAAGTTGTTCACCTTTCATTACACAGCTTAAAATAAACTAAGGATCTGAAATATGAATTTTAAAACATGTAAATTATAAAACAAAATCAGCTATGACAGCGCGTAACAAACCTTGTTCAAGTACATCGAAGAAATGCGCAGTTTTAGTCCTGGGTAGTCTCGCATGCTTGCAGTCCTGTAGTGGACGCATGGCCCAGGCTCCAGCACATAGTTCTGGTAAGGGTAGCGCATACAATCCGGCTCCCCCAGCGCCACCTGTCGCCGAGCCGCCTCCTATCGACACTCGCGCCCCCACTCGGAACAGACCAGCACGCTCTGTTACCCTCGCAGAGCGCACGCATCCCTCCCAGCGGAGAACTACTTTTGTTGTACCGCTCTCTGTGCACAAATCTGGCTTCAGTGTCGTTGTTTATAAGTGAATCTTCTAGAAAATACTAAATAAGATTTTGAACTCCTATTTTAGTTTTTATTCTTAATTGGTCAGAATGGTTTTGGAGTTTCTCTCCCTCTCTTTTCGTTATTGGCGTTTGCTGATAATAGATTTCGACAATATCATGTGTGAATATTAAACTGAACTATGTAAAGAGGGATTTATGAATGTAGAAATTCGCGAAAAGAGACTTCGAACTTTGCTAGTGTTAAGGTTTTGGTGTTTGTATAAAGCGTAAAATCATTCAACAATATAATAAATTTCTCCTATGACGAAGATTTCGAAGTTATAACTGGGAAGATTTCCGGTTTAGTGAAACGAGGCACTTAAAAAAGTGGATGGAATGTTTTGCATACAAATTGATGTTAGTATAATTGATGTATAAAATGAAAAAAACTAATTGATAAATCGTACTAAAAAATATAAAATGAATATTAGTTACAAGCGTGTTTTTTTAGTTTTTTTAAACTAATAATTATTTGATGAAAACTTCTCTCGGTTTTATTATTCACCTTCTAATATGTATGTATTAGATGTTGTGGACAATAGCAGCCTTCCTTCAGCAAGTTGCTCTGCACAGACCGGCGTGGCTGGTAATGGAGCCGCACGCCATAGACGACCCTCCCAAGGAGCACGACGAGAACCTCCACTCCCTTGGAACAGTGTTAGAACACTACTCTGAAGTTGTGCTTAGCTAAACTTCAATACTTTTAATGATAGAGGCAGGGCTTCAAATTTTCAGGAACTTGCAATCTTGGTTTTCTCAATAAAAACATAACAAATCAACATTTTGTTTTATTTTGCCTTGCAGTAGTTTGTTAATGTAGTTATCAACCCAAATAAATCAATGCCTGATTATAATTTTTTGTCAAAATTTATGAAGATATATAATTTTTCATCGTCTGAATGAAGGTACTATATGTGTAGATTCCTAGTACCGGGAAAATGTGTACATTCTGTTTCACCTACCACTGGATACCAAGCTAGTTGGCGCGTCACCCCTCAATACTGCGTCTAGTTTAAGAGCTTGTCCAACATGAAGGAAACGTTCAGTACGAGCCGCGCCCGCCCCACCAGCGCCAGCGCCACCCGACCATACATCAGACAGAGCACGGCGGGAGAGCATTGGCTTTTGAAGATTAGCATTGAGGAAGATTTAATTAACACAGACAGTATTTTATTCAAGAAAATACTAAAATTTTATGTGCAAATAATGCGTGTCTTGTCTAAAACATGTTAAATCTTGATAAGTATGATAGTACATTCAGATAAAACCTCACCACTTTATGATCCGAACAATGCTCTGCGTATATATCTCTTATCAATGTGTCTAGAGTCCTTTGTCGTTTCAAAGCAAATGTAGGCGTTTGGAATGCGGCCTTTTCACCGTTCATTAATTTTACCTAAAAAAAATATTAACATATTTAACCACGAAATTTCGGCTAAAAAGTCTTAAAAAGAAACATATAAGTTATTTTCAGTGTAAAAAGCATAAAAATGTTAAGCATTTTCAATTTCATGTTATTTTTATTTAAAATCGAAAAATCATCTGATTTTAAAAAGTGAAATCAAATGTAACGGAGATTTATTCCAAAATTTTATTAAGTCAGAAACGTCAGCACTTAACTCGTAATTTGATAAACACTGTCGCTGTTGGTAATAAAGTTGTCAAACGAAAATTCCCTAAGGCGACTATGAAGTAAAGACAGTTCCCAAGTTTCGTAAAAGATTTAAACAAGTCAATTATCTGGTTTTCATAAAAGTCACCGTGATAAGTAAACCCTGAATCAATATAGTATACAATAAGATTAACAATAATAATAATAAATAATAGGTAATAAAAATATAACAATATTTTTAATATCACGTACTAAATTAGGTACATTTTATTAAAAATTTCCCCCGTGGTTAAAACGCTTACGGATCACGAAAGCTTTTGACGGAGCTAAAGGAATTTTAAAGAGGCCTTATATATAAAATACGTTACTTACTAGAAGAAATTCCCTGAACAACTGTGGGTCGTTGAAGATGGGCGGGCAAGGTAAGGATGGCCCGAACGGAGGTACAGTATCGTCTGTATACACACTCAACCTGTACCCCTCCCCTTCAACCACGGATACCACTGCAAAAATGTCTGTACAAGCTTAAAGAAATTACAGGACTTCACAAATATTTGCTACAAAATTAAATTTGTATCTCAGAAAATATGTTTGCTTTCGGTGCTATGTAATCCTCGGATTCCGTCGTGTTTATAATTGAACAAACATTATTCGTTTGAATGGTTTGAACTAGACTTACAAAAAACAAAATAATATAGAATTATATTGAACTAAATCGTTTTTTGTATACATTTAAACTTTTAAACATACTCTGCAAACCACTTGTTTAACAATATAAGTATGTAATTTTTTTTTAAGAAATTGAAAGAAACTAAAACATTAGTTCCACAGTATCTTTTACAGCAGTTTTATTATTCTCGGAATTCAATTGCATCTATTTAAAGTTTTGTATATAATTATTGTCAAGGATACGAGTGAAATGGCTCTTCACACATTGTGGATTGAACGTGTTGTGAGTTGAGTCTTCAGTGAAAATAATATTCACTATATCGTTGCCGATGTGACGCTTTCGTTCCAGCTGCAAGAATGGCAAAATATGGTTATGATATTTACAAACCATACTATTGTACTATAAGATATATTAAAACTGAATTATTCTTATTTTATTCATTTGAGATCAAATTTACTTAAATATTATTCAAGCTGCCGACTAACTAAGAACAAGTGATTCATTATTTCCTAATGCAAACAACAGATTATTATTTAAAAAAAATTAAACTTATCGATTTTTACTCGTACAATAAATTACGTAGAGTATTTATTATTAAATGAAATATTTTAAATACACACTCTTAAACTTATTTCATCAGAATAAAAATATATATGTACATAAATGAAAAAATACGTATAATGCTTTCATCTATACAATTAAAATATGGGTAATAAAGAAATATCTTAAATATAACATGTATCATTTTGCGATTAGACATTCAAAGGGTAATAATTTGATATCTACAATTACTTCATGCAAATTAATGTGGCTTTGCAACTAATTGATTTGGATATGTCGAAATTTCGACTCACTGTATGCAGATATATGTGTATGTAATTGATGTATATGAATTTAGTACTCGCAACTAGGATATATTACCAAAGCCTATTTTGAATCTAGATTTTAATAGTAACATGAAAAGGAAGCATAGTAGAAATATGAGTGATGTAAATTATAGTTCTCATGTAATAAATTTATAAAATAATTTGGTAGTATTCTGGAGATCATTATTTAAGAATACATAAGTTTTAATTTTATTCAAAATTATGTATGTATGATAGAAATACATGATATATACGTATATACCTAATAATATAAGTGAAAAATGAGTTAAACTGTGACAATTTTTATATTTGTTAATTTAAAGGTAGAGTAATAACTATACAGGGTGACTGGTGAATTACTATCGATACTTGAGGACGTGATATTTGACGAACAAATATGACAAAATAAAAATTAATATAACATAAATATTAATAAACTTCTAAGTAAAGTTAACCAAAAGTTATGTAATTAATTACGCATCGTGTGAACACCCTACAGATTAGGCATACACACACACACACACGCGTGCGGCGGCGTGTTGTTGTATCAGCACGCCGCCGCACGCGTCCACACTTGGAACACTTGGAACGTCCACACTTGGAACACTTGGAACGTCCACACTTTATTTATTTATACGGAAATTTGGTCAAAAATTAAGTACCAAATTTTTTAACATAATTCGAATGGGAATCATGTACAGAGTATTTTCCTTAAATATTGATAGTAATTCACCAGTCACCCTGTATATTATAGTAGTTTCTTGACATAAGTTGTTATACTGTCTTAGTTAATATTCAAAACCTTGACGTATTGAAAGCAGGAGTTTCTCGTGCGACTTATATTAAACCGAGTTCTTGGGCTAACCCAAGAACTATGTCATAGAAACTAAATATAAAGTATATATATATTAAATATCTATATAATGACGTGGAATAAATGAAAAATTAGATGTAAACGATGATTCATGCTATCAGAATTGAAGATGCAGTCGATAAATAATTTTATTTCCTGATAAAACTTCATCTGTCGTATCCTTGAAAACAGTTCAAGCTGCTCAAGTACCTAACGTATTGCTTTCAATAAAAGCCGTATATTACATTACCTCCTATAAAGGTTATATATTTTATTCTAGAAAATTAAATTTTGAGTTAAAAATAATGGCACTTTAAATATACATAGGTATCTAAATATAGTATTTTAATTTAGATGATTAGTTAAGAATAATTTTTATATTGAATAATTCAAACAATTTGGTTGTTTTCTTAACGAGTAAGAAAATAGTCACAAATGTTTTTTTTAATAATTTTAACATATTAAAACAAAATTTTATGTTTGAATTATAAGTCCTTTCGTATAAAGTACCTTTAATTTAATGTTCTTTATAGACTGTGCTGTATCAAATTGATTTCGATATTTTGAATAACTTAATTTTATATTAATTAATGTGCGTAATTAATAGGGCAATAAGTACCTACATGGTATATGTATTATACGCAAGTCAAATCGTAAGTATATCTGTTTAAACAATACTAAATTGAATTTAATACAGTAAAATATGTATGTCATAATGTATGATGGATTTTTCGATTTTATGATTGTCTCTAACCTTTAAGTTAAGTAATTACTCTGGATCGCTCATGAATATATTATAGATTACGGCTGAATGAATTGGATCAAGGAGATTGGCGGATTTGAAATACATATATGTTTATATATCTATTGCAAATAAAATGTTACATTGTCTGTGGTTCACTATTGCTTGTTAAAAATTCGAATTTTAAATTAAAAAATCTTTTAAAGAGAGCACGAATAAATTTCTTAAGCTGAAAGAAAAGGATAATTAAGTTTTTAATCAACGCATCGTAGCTCAAAAATTACTTGATAGAAGGTTGAATGTGACTTTTCTGACATTTTATTTAATTGATATGTTAAAATTAAATATGTAATGGAATGTACGTTTTTCCTTTATTTTATTATGAGATTTAAAAAAAAACTTATTTTCGCTCACCTGTTGTTTGTTATCTTTAGAAAATGGCAACATTGTTGAGATATGGAACATTATTTCGTGTCCTTGGTGCATAGTGTAAATTGAATGGCTGCCGGTCATGTCGCCTGTAAAAAATACATAGCTTTAGTAAAGACCTACTATTATTTTACTTGCTAAATATATTTTTGTATTTAGTAGAATATTTAATTTTTACTTTCTTACTCGAAAAACTACAGTTGTACTTGCAGTGTCATTGGTTTAATATTTTACACTATGAGTTTTTAATAGTGATTGATATAGATTAAAAATATGTTAATAATTTAGTAATGCTACCTTTGACATCGAGACCACCGCGAAAGCGATTCCAACCTCTTAATCGAATCTTGTCTCCTAAAAGTGAAATGAATCGGTCCCATTTCTCGTCTCCCTTCTCTGGAAGACATGACCTTTATGTAATCGTTCATCGAGGTGCTTCAAATTTTATCAAAGGTTCACCTTTCATTCATTATAAGTTTATTAAATGGAAAAGATTTTTTCTTTTTGTAAGACACAATGAATTAAGTTAAATGAAAATTATATAAATTTGAAAATATCTCTTATTTTAATTATCTACTAATTTAAATGTTTGCTGTTTTAAATATAAAATGTATTGAATAATTAAATATTGTGTTTCAATTATAGTTAGTTTTTAGTGTTTACCGTTAGACAGCATTTCGTCATCAGTCTTCTGACCGGGCTTCATTATCATGACGCCTATTTTAAAATTCACGGAGCCCTCTTGTTCTTCAAGCAGCAAAATGTCTTTTTGTAATTCCGGGCATGTTATCTAGACCAAAATAAAAATATATGATTTTGGAAGATATATATCACTGTTACATACTGTCTTAACACGACCAATAAGGTTTACTTGTGTGTGATAATATACATAGTTTTTAAATAACTTTACCTCTCTAGGCATTTTGTCAATTCGTTCGATGGAAGTGAATTGTGCTAGAATCTGTTTCAGTGTAGGTCTTGTGGGAGCTTGGCCGCCACCGCCGCTCCATGCGCTCGCAGGAAGATATATTTTGTGAGCACCCTGTACAATTACGTAATCAAATAAACCAAAAGGATAATCATCCAAGAGCCTAAATAAATATTTACCACAAATCAGTGTTCATGTTATTTATCTATATACACTGTGTACATAAATACTTCATGTAAGTTTAAGTATCAATCTACAAATAACTTTCACGTGAGCATTTATTTCGTGAAAGTTAATTGGCTAAAGCTAAAAATGAAATTTGAGTTAAAAATGTACAAATAATTTCATGAACATTTGAATTACGTGCATTCAATTTGAATGTGTATTGAAGTGGGTAAAGTAGCGCTGTATATCCTACAACAAATACTCCATCTCATGAGTTTGAAACGCGGCAATATTTTCAAAAGTGCTCCAGTTGCTTTAAAACGTACTAGATCTTTGTACATATACACATGTACACATAAACTAGATTCTATTGAAAATTGCATGTATTTCGTAAGCGAAATTGTGTACATGTTTGTTCAGATTGATGTAGTAAATAAATGATGTAGTAAATGATCGTGTAAAATATTTTCTTTTGTGCTACGTGAAAAAAAATGCATTTGATATCATTCTTAAATTAAAACAGGCTGATATTTATATGTTAGTCAATGGTCCGTAAGATTTGACGACCTATATATAAAAAGACATGGACTTAACTTTCAAGAATAGATATGTAATAAAAGGTGAATCTATTTATACTTTGGCAATAAACTCAATGAACTCGTAAATGTAGCGGTGCCAGTTAATTTTAGTTAATTGACCTTCCCGTCGAAGGGAAGAGGTTAATTATACCTCAAAGGCAGTCCTGCACATAACTTAATGGATTGCAACTCACCATTTTATTGAAGAGAATAGCTCGTAAAAGACCTGCGCCCTCCTGAACTACGCTCAAGAGGTACGGTTCTCTTGCGCCGTCCACTCCAATATAGTTTTGATGCACTGCAATAAAAACTTTTATTATACTCTTTATAAACCTTGAAGAAAATAAACATAACGTTTCTTATATTTTCATAATTTAAGATAAAGAATTAAGGTGAATAAGAATCATTTAAATTGTTTATTTAATATTTATTTATGGACGCCACTAAATTTCGAGACACGATAAACGACATCTCTATATGTATGTGTTGAAAGTTGTGTTTTCTCTTTATTTGGTAACTAATAAACTGATAGGTTCAAATTTGTAATTATTATAGTAATTTGAAGTATTTCCTAACGAGGAAACATTTTACCGTTTAGGCAATGCTCTACATTCTATAACTGTCTACTCGTAAGTTTGCCGTGAGAAATATTTAGCGGAAAATGATATATTATAAATTAGAAAATTTTGCAAGAATTAAAATATGAAACCTTAAGAAGAAACATAGTCGAATAAAATATAGAAATATATAAATGTATTTTAGGCAATACATTTTAGGGTAATCTAAATTCCTTAATATATGAGTATTTAGAAGATATTTATATATTTCTATCGAAAGTTACTTGCAACATAGGTGTGATCTAACACAATAAAATATAAGTAAGAGTAACAACACCTTCTAAAGAACAGATCTCTGCCTTAATTCTGTTAAATTATACTGTGAATTCTACCCAGACGGTAAACCCAATAATGGTGTTAGACATTACCATAGTGAAGATCCCTTGAAGCTAGCCGAACTTGACAATAATGCCACTTAACTCCTCTCGCACGGAGGGGATTATAGATTTAGGGGCGGAGGTAAGAGCACTGGCTCTAAAGTGATTATAACAAAAGGATCACGGACTAGGCGACAGGAAACTCGGGCAAGGACAAGGTTGTCTCTAAAACAAAGACTTGTCCTGCATAACATATGTTCTATGTAAATTATATTTATTATGGAGTTTATAAAAGGCAATAATAAGGTTACATTTTATACGAGCCCTTCATGATAGTTTTGGTTATGAAAAAAAATCGACATTCCAGATTTACTAACTGTACATGGACACTCAATATTTTTGATATAGTGGCACTTAAATATTAGTGTGTAAATTCTTCAAACGTCTATGAATATCCTATTAAATTTAGATTTTGTTGTGTATTATATAACATTACAGACTTTAATTGATAAAAAATTGCTAAATAACAATATCTTCTTCGCTAGATAAAGAAGAACAGATGATAGCTTTCACTACACAAATATTTAATTGCTGAGAAAGAATAAGGGGAGGAGATTAATTTAATAATCTCAACAGTAGACTATTGACAGTTAGGTTAAAAAAATTCTACGGAATCCTTTTCATTCAGTGTAATTATTATCTGGAATTATATTTCATTTTGCGGTTTTTATTATTGAATTTCATTATATGTTCAAGAAAAACTTATTTTTAGTTGACCCTGCGGCCAAGGTAACGGTCTCGTCCCCAGCGTGGTTTTTCCGAAAGATTTAAGCGTTGTTATTAAGGAAGAGGGCGGGCTTGTGGTTAACTCCGGGGTGGGCGAAGCAGACCCTGGTTTCTATTACGAAGTCACTGTGTGGAGAAAATAATCTTCTCTGATCTCTTCTTTTTGTTAGTGATGTTTCTGAGAGCAAATCTGAACCCGTCTGACCATGGAGCCATCAACTTGCGTCACCAAAGGGAAAGGCGTGGTCGCAATAAGGGTCCAGTATCTTAAGACGGTACTGAAAAATCCGGTAAAAAATCAGATGAGGTTTAGGGGTTCACAAAGGTGCACTCCAACCCCAAGCTACAGTAGCATCGCTGTCCAGTGATTGTTATAACTCTGTAGAGTGAACAGTGAAGTTCGATGCTGTGGAACGTGATGAGTAGGTGGCAGACTTCAACTAAATCAGCCTCCAGGGGGGCCTAAAGATAAGGAGGTTTGCAATCAACGCCAGGCGGCGCGAGATGTGTATCATAAGTCTGGCGGGGTCTGGTTATGCGGCAGGCATCTTGGATGGCCCAAAGTTGACTTTCACGTCTGTCAGGAGACCTTCATAGCCAACCTGGTAACCGTGCCTAGCTATGTCATATACAGTTTCAATTTTTAAAGTACAGTAAAGTAAAGTAAAGTACAGAACAATATTTCACTTTTATATATTGTACGTATGATTAATAAACCAGTTTTCAAGTACCATGTGTTTAATATCAACAACGGTACATTTTTTTTATTGTTCCATATTATTATTTAAATTCTGCAAATGTTTTATGTTTACATAGTTGGATAATTTTTTGCTACTTGTAGAAGAAACAGATATAGGCATTAATACTTTAAGCTACACGTTCAGTTTTATAAAGTCGAGTCTCAAAAAATTGCTTGTTTTTTGCAACATTTGTCGTTGTCACCAATCAAGGATAAGACATTATCCAACTTCGCTTGTCTCGCATAATCCTTAGCGGTCAACAATTTAATGTACCATGTCTATATCTATGTACTTATCATAAAACTTATAAAAAATTCAACTTCATATGTAATTAAATTATTTTCTTGGAATAACATTTTAATGATTTTTTTTCCAATGCTATGATGGATAATTCGCAAATACGTCAATGTCAAAAATGATTAAAATGTGATTTATTCGAAAAATTAAATAATAACTTCGCATGTCATCCATCCATTACCGAAACGACAAATGTTCATGAAAAATACCTTTTAAAATATATCCAAATGCCTTAGGGCCTCTGTTCGAGTAAGTGCGTACTTCTATTTCTAAACGATAGTCTAGAGATTTAGGAATAGGAACCTTTACATATTATTTTTTTATACATAATAAAAGAGGTGAAATTTATAATGGCTTAATAGAAAAGAATTTTAAAGACAAAATAAAAATTTTAATATCACACTATCAGATATTTGTATGTTTATATTATATACACTATTATGGTTATATTACCTATTTTAAATTAACATTGTTGTGTTTATGCTAGAACTATAGTTATGAATTATCGGACATGAGCAGTGACGAGAATTTAATGTTGGAGCTAAAACAACGTGTTCACGCACTAATTAATGTTAATACGTATAATCATGGCGACTTCCTATATTATATTAAAAAATGTCTTACTGAGTTGCGAATTGTCAATAGCCAGAAAACTAAAACATATTGTTGAGTATTAGAACTGAATTAGAATTGATTATGATGATTGGATAATCGACGATATCCAAATGCGTTAAAGTGGAGATCGCTAGATGCTGGATGCTCATAACGAAGAAACCTACTTTTTGATAGAAAAAGTTATTAAAGATTAACCTAATTAAATTTATCTACATTCATTAAAGCTACATAATTTGATGTTAGTGCATACATTTATTATTCTACAAAGTGTCATGTCAATTAAAAAATGTTTTTTGAAGAATTCTTTACACTTGAAATATGTAGCGTAAATAAATATACATATTTACTAGTATCGGAAAAATAGTAAGAATAAAAGTAAAAATTGTCAATGTTAAAAGAATAGTTTAGTTTCTCATCAATCACATGATTCGAACTGTAATGGCTTTGGCTTGACTTGAAATTTAACAAAAACAAATAATTCTACGACTAGTATCGAGACATAAATATTGTAATTGTTACTTTATTGACTACAATATAAAATTTATAATAAGAAACTTATTTTGCAATAATAAAATCTACTATGGTATTTACTCACTTTGCGTATAATAAAGGCGCTCTTTAAAGTGTTTTATATTCCCACACCAAACCATTCTTTTTGTCGACTAGAACACATAAGGACAGGAAGTGCAATGTTGTGTTAGAGCTAACCACTATATCGCAAAAATCTATACATACTGCTGCCAATAATACTCAACATTTGATCTTTTTGCATGAATATCAGCAACTTTAACTTAAACGCCAGTTTTTCTGGGTTGTCTGACAAGAATTCCTTCACTTATTCCGTGAGGAATCTGGTGCAAATAAAATATGTTAATCCCCTATTTATCCTTAATGCGATAATTTGATAATTTAATTCAATAAATTTAATGCTCTACTGTCTAATATAGATCACATTATACTCAAACGAGTGTAGTATTTTCTATTCAGTTTTTTCTATTTAAGGGTATTACGAACTAGAGGATCAAGATATTTCTTAAGAAAAAGTAAGATATCCTTAAATAAAGAAACAAAATCTACGCACGTATCGACCCTTTTTGGTTTTATTAATTCAATAACAAGCTGTCCTTATAGCATTCAACGGTCTCCAAGGTCGGATCTAGGAAGTAAATAATGTATAAGAAGCTGAAATTGCATCTTATGCTGATATTGCCTTAATTTCATGATGTGTTCTTGTCAAAAAGCAGTTCGATAGAGCAGTAATAAATGGTTTTTTAAAATTCACTATTGATACAAGATAACTTCCTTCTATGGATTATATTATATAGTATTTTGAGATATTATGTATTTTGTATTATATAGAAATATTTAGTCATGAAAGAGGAAAAAAGCTTAGTGATGATTTTCTTCTACAAGTTACTTTTACGGAAGCATAACTCAGCAAACTTTTGTTTCTGTTCTTTATGTACTATCTTAAAAAAACAATCTTCTTTTTTTAATTACTAATAGGTATCCAATCAACTAGTTGGAGGAATATTTACAAATACCAATATTAAGCAATACCTATAATATGTATAACAATAGCAATGTCTTACAAATATATTCACTAAGTACAATACTAAAAGTAAAAAAATTGATTGAAACGACGGATAAACTCAGAGTAAATGAAATAAAAAAAGCATGCATTTAAAGAAAACTAGATATCAAAAATCGTAAAGCTGTTATAAGGACTATATATTCAAATTATTAGACTTGCATCTAAGAAAGATTTTCTTGATTATTCTTAAGAAAAAGCTATAATTATTCTGAAATAAAGACAACGTAGGAAATACATTAGAAACTAAAAGGTTTAACAAAATATACACATTTATCTTACTTCGGATAATTATATAAACTATGTATAACAGTCTGACTTATTGGAGTAGATCGTAATTCTATTTTCTTTATATTTGAAAAGGTAATAATTTAAAATTAAATAACGTGATCCAATTTACGTTATAATAGAATAATTATTTTACTAATTTTCATTGCTCATATATTTACCATCAACCCTCCTATATTCATGAATAATAATATTATATAAACAAGTTTAATTTAATTTCTAATTATAATGGTAATTTATGACGCTAAAGCTTCTGAATATCGTGTGTTTTAGGAATTCTTAAAATTGATATGTATGACCCAGTTTGTACTCTCAAAGAAAGACAGTGGTCGTAGAGAAGACGATTTTCGAAAATATTCAATTTTTTAAACAAATTATTATTTCCATGATTGAGATTTATAAGTGTATTTTGTTTGTCATTTAATCAAATATATATCTTTTTATTTTTTTATTTAACTATAAAAGAACCCCAAATATTTGATTTTATAAATATCTTAGACCAAAAAGTTTTATATTGATGTTTTACTTAAATTATCGGTAAATTGAAAAGTAATGGGATGGTAAAAATGTCCTTAAGCATTTCAGAAGTATATTATTTAAAATTCAATATTTTTATAAATCAGCGCTTCACAGTTTAAATAGGTCGTGACCCAGATAAATGGTTTGGTTGGAGTTTTGCAGGCCGCAAAGTCATATTTCCTTAACGAACATCAACAGATAGGAAGCGTCTTTATCGTCGAAAGATCTTTCATGTATAATTGCAAAGACAGAGGATAGTTGTGGATAGTGTAGCAAATACATACATATAAGAAATAATAACTTACTTTTTCCAAGGAAATACTTGAAGTACCATCGCGTTTGGAATTCTGGATTTTCTAGAACCGGAGCGCTGGGCGGCCCGAATAACTGTAATAAAAGTGAAAAGGTGAAATTGTGACAGTGACATATTAGAAACACGATAAAATATGTAGGTTGCTGCTTGCTTGATCACCCTGTCAAACATCATCATATCAAGTTTGATGAAGTAAGGATACATCATTTTCTTTCAGGAATGATTCGTTACGAACGAATAAGGTACATCAACTCAATACACCCTAAAATCAAACAGATTTCATCCGAATCCATCGATCTCGTTTCTCAATCTATTTCACCTGACGTTTAATTATAGAATAAATATTATAATAAAGTAATATGATATTTTGAATATTGCAAAGTAAAAATGTTATATGTAGATTTAGTCTCTTATTCTTTCTTGTAATAGCTTTCCAATATCTTCTTTAATTATGATTCACATTACATTAAGTTTTAAAAATATGTATACAATAAAAATGTATTGGATTAAAGTATCGTTGTACAAATACTCTGTAAAGGCATTATTTTAAATATCATATTAATATTTTGTTATTTTTTTAAATATCCATAATAAAGAGAAACAACAAAGTATTAAGAAAAACACAAACATGAATTTAATAAACTCAATTTACCTGTGGTACCATGTAGAAAATTCTACGAAACAATTTGGTAAGTATTGTTTGAACTAAATTAACAAATAATATTTAAGTCTAACTTAGTTTTGTACCGTAGTGTTAAGTAGATTTTTATTTGACCTTATTGCTCGGACTCACTATCAGGAAAAAATTTCATATGATTCTGACAGAAACAAAATATTAAGGGCAAGTTGCAAAAATATAATAACTGTCACTGACTTGAATGATTTGAATTTGTGTAGTACGAAAATTATCTGAAAGCAATTAAATATATATAGTAATACATTTATCTAGAAATGTATTAAAAATTGTAATAGACTATCCTTGATGGTTTTAATTCATTATATATAAACGAAACTTTGTCCTAAAAAGTCGAAGTATGTAACGTATACCCTTAAAGTTTACACCGCGCTATTCCCCATTTAGTAGATACGATGGTCGAAGACAAATTGCGATCGCGATTGCTAAATAAATCGTGCTTGAAATAAAGAAAATTACATAAGAGAATTGAAAAAAAAACTAACATTAACTTTATCATGAAATTAGAATATAAGATGTAATTTAAAAAATATGAAGTTAGGTTCTGGTTACGGCTTCAACTGCACACGAATAACTTTTAATTATTTATTGATAATAAAAGACTTTAATAGCTAGTGATAATATTTTTGATAAGTTACATATTTTAGTAAACTATGTGTATATTTATTTTTTAATAATTCAGTAAAAATAACAAAATAAAGTTAACATTCAACAAACTAACAATCTTTATATCCAAGCCATCTTGTATTATAAAACGAGTTCTGTCTGATTTGTTTTGGACACACTCCACTGAAAAATGGCAAACATTTTCCTTAACGCCAGTATTAAACGAGTACGTGAAATCGATCACTTACTTGGCAGTTTCGATTACAATGAAATACTTTACGAGAATTAATTTACGTTTATGAATATACGAGTATATATAACTTCATATGAAGCATGGCTAGAAAGATAATCACGTATTTTATTATGGTTACTTCCATCCTGACATACAATCTAATAATACTTAAATCCACTAACATGTATTCATTATATTATCAGCTATTTAACTATTCGTTTATTTGTATAATGGAAGTAATAATCCCATTCTAAGTATTAAAAATGTTAGAGCTATGCAGTCACCTCAAGAAAATAGTCTTTTTACATATACATATATGTTACAATAATCCCTTTACGTGAAAAAATAAAATGTTTTATAAAATTTTTTGTATTAGATTTATTGTTTTACAATATTTCTGTTTCCTTAGAGTACTTTTAAAATAGGTATTCTAAAACCTCGTTGTTCTGTTAGAGCCTATGTTGAGTTGAATAATAATCTAAGTTATTTTTTAAGAATATGAATAAATCTGTAAAAGCATGTGCGTTGTACATTATTCATAAGTCTGCTGTTAAATTGACCCACTTTTATAACTTAGAGAAAAATAAAAAAGTGAGTGTAATAGATTTATACAGTTGTAAAGTTCCGATTAGTTTTATTTAATGATTGTAATGAAATTTGACAGATCGTTTATTTTTTATAGTAAAAACTAAATGAAAATTTTTATAGCTGAAAGTTTTTTACTGCGACATAAATTTTTCCATACATCAAGTCGATTCGATGTAATTAAGTAGTTATGTTAATTTTTCTTAACCTCGTAATTTAAGTAGTATTAATTATTGTATGAAATAAATATATTAGAACATAAAAATTTTGAAGTATTAATATGTAGAACTGATATATGGTCGTATTATGATAAAATCTAGAGTGACAAAAAAATAAAATTATGAGGGTTTAATAATTTAATATAATATTTAATTTAATAGGAAAAATACATATAATTACTTATATTGTGTCGGTACATATTTAAATAATATCAACGATCATATGGAGGTGGGTAGGATTACGTTAAGAGATTCATAAATTCTCACCTCGTCTTTTTCCCCGAGAGAATTTCCATTTTCAAGACGATATCTCCGTACTATAGCATCCGCGGCTCCGCCGTCCCCGGGCGCTGAGAGCTGCAACATTTTATTTAATTGTTACTCAGCCTATATTAAAAAAAATAAAAAAATATACATATATGTATAATTGAAAGAAAAACTTGATCAAATTTTTGTTTAATATAGAACAAATATTTCAGATGATTACAAATTTATATGGTTTCAATATATGGGTAATAAATACCTTATGGTTTTATCGAGATTGAATTGTTGGCATATATTAGAGATGAGATTAAAATGGCTTACATTTGAATTAGACAGAGTTAAGGTTGTAAGTAGACGTTTTTTTCTTTAGACAAAATATCTATAGTTTCTAAAGTATTAATGAAAGATGTTTAGAAATAAAATAGTATTATTTGTACCATTTTATTATGAATATAAGCACATATAGTATTTACAAGGAATTTATGGAGCAGAAAAACTAATTTCCAAAGTACGTTAAAGACATTTGTCTCAAAGGTCCATGATGTTTGTCGGGACTGGATCAATGGTTTCGCCCTCGATACTATGGCTGACCCTACGTGCTTTATGGACCGAATTCACTCTTCTGACTTCAATAAGAATTTTTACACTATAAACTATATACAGATAGCATTTAAATATAGTAAAGTAATCATTAATTATCATGAGTCATTCTTATAAAGTATTGGCAAAAAATTACGGTCTCTAAATTCCATAAATCAGACAATTCATAAAGTCGTACTGAAGTTATGATACGTGAACATTTCATGCTTTTCCATTATTGTAAGAGTGAATAGTATGATGATCTTTATAAACGAGATATTGGAATAATTAATAGTAGGGACAAACCCTTATGTAAATTCAACAAAGGATGATTCTAATGATGTCGCACATAGGACATGTTTAGTCGTTAATAGCTCCTCGAGATAAAGATTTTTATTATAGCCATTATAAGACTCATGAAACCAGTATATTAACGCTAAGCTTTAAGAACTTTTGCCGTTAAGTAGTCCATTCTATACGGATATTAAACGTTTATATAAAGCTATGTGGGTTACTCCGTTGCAAACTTCAAGACTATTAGAAATTCCTGGATGTGATCCAGATTAATAAAGTTTGACCAAAATATAAGCTGTTTCCTGAAATCGAAAATAGAAACATTTTAATTTTGTAAATTTTACATCGTTTATATCTCAGTGAATATTTCCAGCCTCATAGAATTCAATGTATACATTCTAGTCATTTTAATTCAACTAAATTTATAAACTTTACAAATTTACGACCAAAAAAGTACTAATTAATTACTTTCGCTGTTATAATATTTGAACTTAAACAAAAATTTATAAATAGGAGTATTTTAATATTTAAGTACCTGAGTGTTTTAAAACGACTCTTATGCTTAATGAAAACAGAAATAAGAGATTTTTTTAATAGAAATTTTCTTCTTATTAAAAGACGTTGTCTCACCTGACATTAGAATTATTAAATCTTTGTAGGGCTTTTAACTTGATTTAACGAATAACGACTGATCTATATGGTACAGTAAGAGCTATTAAAACGATTTAAGAAACGAGGAGTAGGTAATAATATTTTTGGTCTCATTTTGTTCGTTATATAAATTTAAGCTTACATGGTTCCAAAGATTGGGAAGCCCGTACTATTGAAAAATAATTTTGCTGACAGATCGAGCTAACTATAAGGCTTATCGGGTGTATAAATACGAATTGATGTCCACAATATGCTAATAAATTATAAACAAGGAGAATATATTAGGAAAAAACGATATTCTAACTAGTGATTAAAAGTGATGTTTTTTTATTTTTTTTTAAATGTATAATAAAGCCAATTTAAAGGTATGTGTAGTGATTAGATGTCGTTATCATTCTCTTTGTGCTGAAGCCATACACTTAATGATTTTATATACTATTGTTTGGAGACCATATATTTATATGTAAGTACTTTAAAAGAATCTCAGTTCTCATAGAAAAACTATCTGTCCTATGAATTTTTTCATCCTAGTTCCAATACCTTTGTTACTGTTACAGGACCCAGTAAACCTTTTATCAAATTAAATATAATACGTTCCTATAACAACACGTACTTTAATGCCGTATTTGTATCGTTAAAATGCGACCCTGAATTAAAAAGAACTTGTTTATTCCAATGCTACATTACCTTTTTGTAATTTCCTTTAATGCATAAAATGTTAAGTAAATAATAACTCAGTACGTGTTACAGTAAATAAAAAGGTTTTAAAAATCTTATGACAATATAAGATTATTTAAGGATTGTAGAGCAAAATCGGGTCATAATTTATGTATGTATTTAGACTCCCTGATTATTTGGAGTAACACTTGGACACACATGCTAGTAAACTGCACGGGCTCAATTAAAGCATGTTTTCGTGCTTGAAATAAGCATGTATAACAATAGCGTAATAATAATATCAGTCATACTTGTCAGAAAAACATCTTGGTCGCAGATACACCCTCGTTGAAGTCTTGTAAGATTTAATTTTTGGTACAAACTTAGTTATATATGAAATAATCTTTTTTATTGTAAACGTCAATATTTCTTATATTATTTATGTTTGAATGTCTTGGATGAAAACACTTTATAAGAATGTTCAGGTTGTTTTGACGATATATAAGTGGTAATGTAACACTAAGTCTTTCTGAGCTATTTACTAAATACTTGATTGGCCATACATTAGGGTTTTGTATGACATTCCGTGTGATATACAGTTTGTTATAAAAAACATAGTTAATATTTTTTTTTAATTAATTATTTATAAAAGCACATTATGATTTATATGTTTAAGAAGAAGCATTAGTAAAATGACTATCGGCAATAATTTATTTTCAGGCAAATCAATATTGACGTCCATTAAATTAATTTATTATTTGATGGAACAGATTTTCCTTATAGGCTGTTATAAACAAAAATAATTTTTTTTAGACAGCTTCAATACGAATAATATTAAATAGTTTTTTGAAATAATTCTTTTTAACAAACAAATTATTAATATGATTCAACGATGTGTTGCTTACAAATAAAACCAGTAGCTTTCGAAAGTTAATTACTATCTAAATTGCTCGCTACAAACGTATCCAATTTTACACTTTAACAATTTTAAAACATATTAAAATGGATAACGAGATATTCGTTTATAAATATAGTATGTTTATCAAACAACAGTTTAAATAACTATGCAAAATGTAAAAGACAAAAGTTTTAAAACCGAATTCTTCGTGAACTAACTGATTTTAAACACGATAAAATGAGTATTATGAAAGCTATCACAAAGTAGGTTATTGCTGTGAACTGTATAACTTGTGGCTTAGTAACCGTTTGGTGAAATATTCAGTAAAATAAAACATTTCAAACTAAAAGTTACACTCAACTACGCGATCTATTGGTTAGGAACTGTTGGAGAAACTTTCTACTAAGGACCTCCTAACAACAAACTGCTGGGTAAGTAATTAGGGAATCATAAGAAGAATGTTACATGTATGTACTTCTTGTTTCTGTTTCATATTTAGTACCTAATTTGTTAACAAAATTACTTCTTGTAGTGGAATCTGGAAAAACTTACGAAGTAGGGTTTAGGTATATATAGAAATTAATTGAATTACTGGTTATCTTCTGGTCAAAGAAATGTCAGAAGCCATTTCTTTGTCTGATCCTGACGTTGGTAGTAAGAGATCAAAGGAAAGTTTTGTTTATTATATCTTTGCTATACATTCATTTATTGTTTGTCTATCTCAAACAATAAATTCGTTTCTTATATTGTCGTTTGGGTAATCTTAATTGATAAAGGTTCTTAGCTTTAGAATAAGAAGCTATTGCGCAATACGTAATAACTTTTTGAAGTTATATAGAAGAACTTATTGTATATAGGTTGTTTGCAGGTAACCATATTGAATCAACATGGTCGTAAAAAGGCTAATTGCTTAATTAGTGAATATATCAATCGGCGAGGGCACACCTCAGACAATACATCACAGATACACGGACATTAATGTGTTGACAATCAATCACGGCTCACTGGCAACGATCATTATATTAAAATAGGTTAATCGAGCTTACATTGTGTGCTGCAGCCGATATTATTTATAGTATCTTTAATTTTCATTTTATTTCTAAACATTATATTGTTTTGATTCCTAGTATAAAAGTATTCGGTCGATATTTTGTTGCTATAACTGAAACGGCAGTATAATGTTCAAATTGAAATGATTTATGTGTAAGTTGACTTTCGGTGAATTATGGTAAAAATTTAAAAAAATCAAATATCTTTTCTTAAATTTCAGGACTGTAAACAGTTGTATTATATAACGACCCGCAAAGCTGCCGATAATTACCGGCTGTATTCGTCCGTGTATTCGCGGTTACAATATGTACCGACGTCTAACGATGTGGCTGGGTCACCATTACCCATATCAATCGGGGGATTCGATTTTCAAACACACTGTAAATAAATAATTAAGTTCAATTTATTGAAGAACCTCATTTATAACAGTGTAGGTCAATGCTGTTATTTGTATACGAGTTTCGATTCAGTTTCGATTACTGTTCAATGACAAATACAAATTTTATTCCATTATACTTTCACTTTTTAAAACAATATGCTTTTATCATTTTGATAATACTTGGTCTTACTCAGCAGCGGAATCTTTTATTGTCTTTTAATTTTGTTTATCATACACATTTATTTGTTATATACGAAAAAAATGTTTTCTATGTCTTAAGAAGAAAAAAAATGTATTAATAGATTTGGCAGAATAGTTTAAGACAATGTAAGACATTAAATAAACATGCTTGCCTTGTATCCAATAAAATCTAAACATCGAGAAATAACGAGTTTTTCACAATGAGACACTAAAGTTTCTGTTGAATTTAAAGTTCTTAGGAAAACTTCGATTTGTTTAACTTTAAAGCTTGCAGTAATACACAAATTTTATTTAACCTGTAAAGCGTATTAGTATATAAATGATTCTAATATAATAATGCAAAATTTTTGATAAAGGGTTTCTATGTTCCTTGATTAATATGTAAAACAATTAGTAATTTCAGCGGTAAAATTGTTGATGTAGCACAATATTGGGCCGTTTGTGACGACAATTGTACGTGTAATTCTCTTATATACTGCTTTCATATTTGCAGACATTGACATTAAATGGAGTTCTGAAAATGTTAACTTCATCGGTATGGAATAACCAGGAATGATTAGAATAACTTGAATTAGGGCTGTCTCAAAAAAATATATTCTTTGAGAAAACGTGTCATTAATATTGATTTTGTTACAAAATTAGAAGAACTCTTAACGTTTTCGATTCTAATGTTTGTGTTTTTTTTTATGCAATAAAGTGATACAATAAAGTTTTATACATTTTTGGTAATAATTCATAAAATCGGCATCAATTTGTCATATGTAATCTTTAAATTCTTTCAAATAAAATAATTTAAAATGCATTGCAAATCCGATGTCGTTTTTTAAATTGTAATCATCAACAATGTCATTCTTGTTACTTTGATTATTTTCATCAAAGCCGTGGAAATTTAAAAAGTAAACTGAAAAAGTAAACGATGTGTTTTTAACTAAACCTATCGTACTGATTTGGTATAGAAACGATAAACAAAGAATGACTTTTGTAATGAAAACGTCGATCAACGATACCTGTATAAGCTTTGTAATAAAGGAAGTACGTATTTTTTTAATAACTATGCATATAATTTATTTATTTTATAAAGCTTGTATTAATGAAAGTATGTCCTTTATAGTACATTATGCTAGCAATTTATTTATATATGTCCCACATATATATGTATGTCCCAATACTGTGTGGGATCCTGTGAAATGCTATTCTTGCTATATTTTTTGCTTATAAAGATCGAGCAAAATATTGAAATGACAACCTTTTTGTTTGTACACACATTGCATTCATATTTCTTTTAACAACAAGAAATATGAATGAAATTTCTTTTTAAAATCTACACTTTAAAATGATTGTTTAATTTTATGATGATCGCAAAACAATTATTGAAGTAAAAAAACTTGGGTCTGACAATACGAGTCTAAGTAAAAATACAAACTATTGACGTCTGCTGACCTTCTTCTAACGGCTTATTAGGTTCAAATTGTTCCCGTCACTTCGTTCGAATGGTATTCGGAATAACTAATTTCGTGGTTCTCTGAATTGCTATTAGGTATAATGTTATTTATAAGCGATTCTAAGTAAACATTAAATTACGAATTTTTTTAAAGAAGTCTATTTTCGATATGTAAGTGCAAACCCGCCTCAAATTGCTTCAGCTGTTCATGAGGTTATATGACGCAAAATAGATACAAAAAAATTAAACATTTTTTTTGGGTTCCTAGCTTTTTGGTTGGGTTATTTATTACTTTTTGAATGTTAGCCCAAAATGATTTTTATCAAATGTTTTTCATGTAAAAATAACAATCAGAACATAATTAGAGATATTAATCATATTTTATCGAGGTGTGGGTTGGAATGAATATAAATGTGTAGTAAGTGATATTAAATTCATTTTCTGCTAATAGTTTTTAGGAAAACAAAATGATTTACTGCGATATACGTTAGAGGTCAAACGGGTACTACTGTGAGAGTTGCGCCCTGTACTTTGGCCTTCCCTTTAGAAAACTTACGTAACAGTTGTAGAATTTTTTATCACTTTCAATAATAGTCCTAGCCGTGGGAGACATTTAAAAGGGCAATCAAAGTCAGAAAGTTATAAATTGTGACAGTGAGCCCAACTTCATATAAGTTAAGGAAATGTTTATGCCTTTATAAAATACAAAGAAAAATTGTTCGAATAATATTTTAAGTTAATTGGTACTATATGAAAATCGAGTAACTTAATTAAAGATTAATGCAGGTAGTCATTTTGCGATTGGATCAAGTATCAACCAATTATAAATAATATTTTATGAAATAAATTTATTTCATGTCTGTGTTTTCTGGTTATGAATATACAATGAAAATTAAAGTTAATAATGAAATCCGGTGTTCAAGCTTAGATATTGTTTTCTCTGGAACCCCAAAAATTGCTAAGCTTGCAAGGTAGTAGGTTTCGCTTCATTAAAAATTTTTAATTATCACTCTTTGAGGAGCTTAAACTTTTAATAACTTGATAGACAAATCTGGCACGCAAAAATAATAACTTTTTTGTCCTCGATCACTTAATTGAATTTTTGTTCTCTTTCTTTTTAAAAAATACAACATAATTTCAATATTCGTAGATTTATTTGCAGATAATAACTTAAAGTTTATTTACTTTTACATGATTAATTAGCGTTAACGATACCTTCCGACAAAAGTGAATATCATTCATTACCTACGAAACTGTTATTAAATAAATTTATTTTATGTGACAATTTCGTGTAATTGTAATATTTAATTTCATCTCATTATAGCTTCATTCTGCTTGTTACCAACGAAATCATCCGTATTATTTAAGTTTTAATCTATATAAATTCATAAACATTAATATTAAGGCACTGGTATTATTTATAACAAATGATTTATTGTATGGATTCGTACAAAGCCTGTAGCGAGTGTGTACCAGATATAATCCGGGTTGGAATTTTACTGGGATGAAAGCTTTTGTCATTTACCAGCCCTTCAGTTGTTGCGGTTCAATAAATCATGTCAATGCGTTGTTCCACAACATTTTGAAAGGAAACATACAGACAAAAACATTTTCACATTTTCTTATTTACAATTTGTAATTTGATGTTATGTTTAATTAAAATGTTATTTTTAAATAGATCGTAATAAACTTTCTTTTTGGTTTGAATAACAATTCAAATTTATATTTTCTTTTTTTTCTCTTTAGTATCATTTTTCTGCTAAATTTTGTTTAACAACCGTAAATATTTTTAGTAATAGACAATGTCTTGTTTTATTTCGGCAACACTTAAATCTTCAAAGACTGGTAACGTAAAGTCTCTTTGCCGTTCCTCTTTGTTGATTTATTTCTACTCAAAAACAGTCGTTTTAAATCTTATTAATTATAAAACAGCTGAAAATTGTTTTATTTCTACTTTTTTTTTGTAGAGAATAGATCTAGACTAGAACACTTTAAGAAAGAAATTTGTGTAAAAGCATGACCATTCAAAATGAACTGCGGACGAAGTCGAGCGTTACCTTAGATTTTTTATTTACTAAGACTATTTGGTATTTTACTGTATTTATAAATAATGGTAACAAGCATACAGACTTGCTTGGTATTGAGTGGCTAGCTTTCCATTTCGAGATTCATAACATAAAAGAAATTTCGTATTCGTTGCAACTCTTTATTTAGAAGAAACATTTTGTTTCTTTCAGGTGAAACAGCTTAAGTAAATATAGCTAGCTTCTGGTTTAGAGATAAATAAGATACTCCATGTATGAGTGTCAATAGACCCTGGACTTAAAAGAAATCTGGCTTAGTAATGCAATACACATACAAGATAGAAGCTCTATTATTGTTTTTTACTAGTGGTCCGAATCTATATTTTCAGAAGTCATTATGTTTCTAACTATCTTTTGTACTACTGCTGGATTACTAAATATTTAACCGAACGACTAAGTTTAGTATTTGTAATCCGCTTCCAGTAACATCGATCTTCGAAAACACAAAGGTTTTTTCTCTTTTTATAATTCATTTATTGGAGGCTACAGTATAGAAAAAGGTGCTTAAGCTATTTCCTGAGGTCCCCCTTAACTCTAGTACAATTTAAGAATTAATTTTTGAGGATAGAAGTGGGTATGCAGATCTCTTACATTTCAGACGAAACGCAGCAAAACCACCAGTTCGCAATGACATACTTTGAAAGGATTTTACTTCTAAAGGCGAGTCGAAATTTATAAAAACAGAATTAAATACTATAAGATTTCGTTTCTAAAATCTCTTCTCTTTCAAAATATTATGTAATTAGTACTGTCTTCAGATAGACAGACAGACATTCTTTAAAACATATCATTATTTATTTGGAGAACTAGATATTATAATAGTTTGAATTTGTTCGCTCTAATTATATCTTAAGGTTTATCGGTATTTTGTCTCTTATCATTGTGTTGTTTGAATCATGTATTTTTTCTTTTTGATATTTAATTATAGAATGGTGCTCTTAATAAAAAAGTATTGATGACATAGCTCTCCTTTTTATAGAAAATTGCATTGCCCTTTCCTAGTTGTGTAATTCAATAAGTGTATTGAGTTGCCTTATTGGTCCTAACACTACGTCGTTCGTTTCTAAAAACACCTTTATAAGATTAACTTCTTGTGTTTATTTAATTTCTTGGTAAAATAAACCAATTGTTAATGTCATTAAAAAAATACTAACTTTATCGAACAAATGTAATCAAAACTTTCAGAGGTCACTCATCAAAAATTTATATATTATGTATGTAACTGTGAATTCTGAGTTGTAGACAAAATATTCACAAAATAGCTAGTATGATTATTAAAATCTAAAATATTGTTCACTTAAAATTTGATACTGCACAAAAATAAAATATGTTTTCTGAAACTGGGATAATACGATTATTTTGTAAGCGAATTGATATAACACTTCAATATGACTTATAAAACACTTTAGATCTGACGCTAAGAACACGTTTCAGATATAAAGGAAACCTTGAGAGATGATATGAAGGGCTTACCTGTTCCACGGAGCCATACTGTCTGCGAGAGAAGACGCCGCGTCGTGAGATGAGTTCACTCGCTGAAGAGCTGGGGACAATAACAAGAGCACTCTTAATGTGTTTATAAACCATCTCAATATTACAAGATACGAACAGACTTATGACCTCTATTGTTTTATATTACAGTATTTTTGAGTCTGATATATATTTCCTTTATTTTTGTTGTTTAATTATTATTTAATTCTTTTTTCGTTTTCGTGTTGCTACATTTATAAACTCACATTTTAAACAAATATTTCGTAATTATATTATTTCTTTGTGGCCTCAAAACGTGTTACTACGCGTTACTGAGCTCAAAATCGTAAATACCATATTCGTTCAACCAAATTCATATTAGACACATGGTTCTAAAACCAAAGAAATAAACAGTGTTCAATGAAAGTTTATTAATTAGTGATACACAAAAAAGTGAATCAATAAGAAATACATTATAATTTTTTCTATTCGTCATCAGCCTATCAGCGCCCACTGCTGAGCAAGGCCTCTTTCTCACATGGAGAAGGTTTGAGCATTAATCACCACGCTTGCTCAAGACGGGTTGGTGATTTCAAACTTATAATTGTGAAACTATAAGTCCAGGTTTCCTCACGATGTTTTCCTTCACCGTATGTCAGTGATGTCTAAATAATCTCAGAAAGTACATATGACTTCGAAAAATCACATTGGTACTTGCCAGGTTTGAACCCGCGCCCTCCGCAACGAGAGGCGGACCCGTTAACCACTAGGCCACCACTGACTTTTTCTATTAAAATAACAAAATGGTAATAAACCATGTACAACATTAATTAAACTTAGACTTAATAAAACACATACGTACTTAAGTCTATCATGGCGACAAAGTAAAGTGTAGAATACATTGTAACTTCACTTCATCATAAAGTTCCATCGTTAACATTTTAGGAGCGAATGTAATCAACATATATATTCAAAAGGTGAAAGGATGAAGGTTATTGCTCATACGTCTATTAAGATGAAATCAAAAAGCAAATATTGTGAACGCTCCGACATATTTTTGCGAAATAAATTTTGTCATAAAGTTTGGAATCATAAAAGAAATTATACGAATAGTCTTGATTACTTTTTCTTTTAGGATAAATCAATATGAAATTTTACTCATTGTTATTATATAAATATAATCAATGGGCTAACAATCTAAGGGTATTGTAATTTTTATTGAAATTACTTTATGTATTGCTTTGAATATATGTCTTTGAATTCTATTTTGGTTGTCAAATGGAACGGATGGCCAACAAAGTTATTTATTTAGGATCTTAATAGGTCCAACGAAAGCTAAACATCAGAATAATATTTTTAAATATGATATTTGATTGAATAAAAATATTAAAGGGCCCTGTTTTGTAGGAATAATAATGATAATATTTTATTAGAGTTGAATACTAAATTGGTTGAGAATTTATGATAGTTTGATTGATTGTTTTTTCCAAGTAAAGGTATTTTATAAAACTTTAGAGTAATGTGGCACCTACGCCAGAATTATATGATAATTTCTTAAATTATCAGTAGTGATAAATAAAAAAGTTGCTATACGTTGGTATTGTAAGAAAACAACAAATTTCGATGCTGACACATAATTTTGAACATTTAATCTACTCCTACATATTTAATTAGATTGCATAAATTAATATACTGAAATAAAAAAATCTAAAACTACGTAGGTTCTAATAAAATCGTCATATATATCAGTAATATTATTTTGACCTAAAGTTTTTATAAAATATAACAATTTTGTGTTTGTTCTCAAATTTCACGAAGAGGATATATATTCACACTAAAAATTAATATACAAGTAAAAAACATACAGAAACATAACAACACAAAAATAAATTTAAAACAATGATATTGCAGATTTTTGCGTGTATTCATTTAAATACAATTACTCGTAAGATATATATTTTTATCTCGACTGCTCGTGATCACGGTTGCTGAAAAGGAATCGAAACGTCGGTAGTAGGTACGTAGTGTTAAAACAATAAAAAACGCGTATAATACGGAAAATTTAGATTTATGGAAATAACATTCAAATGTTTCGGTAAATACAAAACGTTTAAGGTAAATATGTACAAATAAAGTATTTCCAACTATTGACGTATAACACCTGACAAAAACTATAGCAGAAATATAAACAAGTTGTTCAAACTGGAGCTGAACCTTGAACCAGCACGCTGAAAAGATCGATAATTTTAATTGTGCTGTTATCGCCCGTACCATCAACAGACTTGGAGCCAATTTATACATACGCTGAACCCAGGTGTCACTTCAAAGACGACGAAGTAATTACAGTCATGCTAAAAAATATATAGTACTACAAATTGTATCGCAATTGGTCAATTAGGATTTTTATTGGTACTTTAATTTTACATCATTCATATAAAGCAAATTGCATGATAATTCATATCAGATTTCGGCAGTAAGTATTGTGAATAGTTTTTCTTTTGATATTAAAATTGCTAACTTGAAGTGAATTTTAAGAAACCTATTTCGTGAGTATTTTTAAGTACGGTCCCCAGCGACCTTTTTGAGGATGGTTTTGAGATATCGCTTACCGAGCCCCTCAGTCACGACGGAGCTCTTGACGCTACTCAAATCCAATATGGACGACACTCAAACTGTTCGACTTTTGTAGGTACGTAACAAGTTTTCCATGAAATCTCAATTCATGTATAGAAGCAACGTATATCAAAGTAAATGTTTTTGAATGATTTTTAAATTTCTTATATGTTTCCCTTTTCATCAAAAAGTAATTATGTCGTGCGTAGAATATATGAACTAGGAATCAATAAAAAGTTATTGTGTTCATATTAGACTGAAAAAATACTCTTTTTAACAACGGCTTGAGAAATCTAGAAAAAAGTAATATTTAAATTTTTATGACGAAGTCGGTTTTAAACATTGGTTTAATTAAGTTTTTGCTAAGCATAGTAAGCAATAATTAAAGTAAAAAAGAAAATAAAAGTGTATGCCGCAGCGGACTGAATCCATGTCTTGTCTTTCAACACTAGGGGGTAATAGGGACTACATTGAAACTTTTCTTTTTTATGCCTAATTTTTTATTTTAAATATAAATTCGGCTTAACCTTTTTCCATATTTTATTCCTTCGTTTAGATTGTTAGAAGTTGATGAACATCACAGAGCAACATAAACATAACCAATTACGTTCTCATTGTAACAAAAATATAACAAGGCTTGTCTTGATAATAACATAGTGTCACTGACGAAGTCTGATATTAAATTTTGGATGCATATTCATTTCAACCATATTGAAGAGCACGAGATAATTAAACAATAAGGTTCGTTTGCGCTCCGACGGCACGGATTACGTGATCTCTTTAGACTAAAGTCTTCGTGTCGATGGTCAGAAACTTTTGATCAGAAAATGTTGTGTCCCAGCTGTTATAAACCGTTTTTATATATAATTTTTGAACATCAGCAAATTACCATTTACTGGAAGTATTAATAAATTGAAAAGAAAACAATAAAATAATTTATGAAAAGAATAATATTGACTTTAATGTTTATTTCACACAACAAAATTTACGTTTGATCTTTAATTTATGAACACAGTTAAATAACTTATTGTTTGTGGTTTGCTGTGAACACAAAATGTAAACTATATTCATAATTAAAGTTGAGAATAAAACAAATAAAACTTCTCATAATGTTTTAGCGTTAATAATTTCCACTTATTGTATATCCTTGTCAAAATATGATATGAAAACTTTTTGTTGAAATTTTATTTCTTTTGTATAATCTATTTAATTTATATCTATTTATATTGAAAACCTCCATTAGTACATATATCGTGTAATCGTGTATTGCGCCGCTAAATTGTTTGAATAACAATATGTTTTGGTTATGATAAAATGTAGGTCTGCTTCAAATACCGAAAAAAATAAATGTATATACAATAAAGCATAATTTTCAGCATCTTTTCATTGTCACAATGAACCTCAAATGTACTCTACACATCTATCCCTTAAAAATAAATAGTTTTAACCATAATTTTATTTGAAAAGTGTTTCTCAACTATAAACTCTAGTATTTATTTAAAACATTTATTGATTTTATTACTTCATATAACTTACACGGTATATTAGCGAAGAATTCTACATAAATATCTAATTTACGTGCATGTTGTTACAATACTCTTTTTATGTGATATTAAATATAAATAAAAAGCTTTTATCTAAGATACACAGATTTTATTTTATTACGATTTGCGACCAACAGTGCACACTGGGGATTCAATGTGCGATAAGTAACAAAGAATGTTGGGGATTGTACGATTTAATCGCAAATCTGTCAGGGGGTCTACGGTCGTTGATAATGTTATTGTATTCTTTATACGGGGACAAGTTAAGGTTTCTTTAACTTTTATTGCATTTGATATACATAATATATTCAAATAAACGGCCTCACGCATAATCTGACGAGTCTAATCGAGCACCCGCATTATTACCTAGGGTCGTTGACATGTGTCACTTTGACATTAGAAAGGGTTAATGCAATAAAACTTAGTTTATTTTTTAATAATTATGTGGTCTTGGGCTCTTGGTATAAGTCAAGAAGAGAGAAGGTTTGAAGTTTTACGTTAGAGTCGCAAAACGTAGTTGGAATTGTATACAATGTCTCAACAGAAAATCAATAACTATTAAGCGGTCAACACGTGCTCAGCAAGAAAAGCAGCCTGTGTCGAAATGGAAGAAATATTTTTATAAAATTTAATTTCTAGAAAATATTTTCATCATAATAACACTCCCATATAAATGTTCTGCAAAGTAACACTCCCTTTGAGTTAAATATTATTTAAACTGTATAGAACTTATCTACTTTTGTTTAATTTTATTAAAGACTTAACTGTACTGACGAAGCAGTAACTTAAATGTTCAACGCAGTAAGGATTTATGTCTGTAGGGTTGCTACCGTTATTGTCTATGTATGTGAAGGGACGAAGTATAAGTACCATATATTGTTGACATTCTACATAATAATGTCATTTGTATGTCTAT